AGAATTATCCACAAAGTATCAAAGTATCGTACAGGTACCATTTCTGGACATTTTTATGCATTCCAAACGAAGAATCTGGCTGTGCAGAGTTTCGGTGGTCTTGATGGGACAGCCAGTTTATAGGGGTTTTATCTTTATATGTGTTAAGTAAATACCAACCGATTTTCTAAGAATGTTCCATCGAGAGTAAGCTTTTGTACTCTGATAGACGTAGATTAAATTTAAATAATTATTTAATCTTAATTTGAATTTAAATGCATATTTAAAATTAAATTAAGATTCTAACTCTAATAATAATGCTTCTTAAAATTTTAGTATTTATCATTGCCACCTTTTATATATTTTTAAGTTTGCAAGCCTAATATAAATTAAAATTTTTTGTTAATGCTGTAATTTAGGGTACATAATGACAATTAATATTTTAACATTTCTCTATAACGTCTCTAATATTTCATATTTGTATTAAGGATCATTTGCGAGCTGTGATTTATCTGCCTTTTAATAAGATAATTTGGTACTTTTCCGTTTTGCCGGCGCAAACGATAAAGTCGCCAATAATGCTACAACTGATGCCAAACGGAATATCTTCGCTAGTAACCTTTTACGCCTTATTTTCAAAACAAGCCACAGCCATTTCTTAACATTTCTTTCAATACTGGCATACAATTACATAGTAATTTTACAAGATAGTTAAATTTTATGCCCTAAGACCATTCGCGGTAATTAAGTCAATTAGGATGCAATCACCCCACTCACAGGCGAAAATATAGAAACGCAAAATCAAGGGTTAAATTCATCCATTCTAATGGAATGCACAAGCGAAGCAAAGCACTGCGGTTTTACATAATTTCTGAGTAAGCTACTCGTGAGAATTGAATAATTCTTGCATTTAAACTTGTATTCCAAATTAAGATTTAACTTGAAATTAATGTAGATAATTACTGGGAGAATTAGATTTTTGTAGCGTAGTTTACGTGAGATGAGATCACTTGGGGTCACGTGATAAGAACCGGAGAACCAGGATGTTGAACCATGAAAGCATAGTAAATTCTTAAATTAATGTCTTTTTACAAATTTATTGTCTTTATTTATTGGCTTTTTACAGAATTTTAAGCCATATCAAAATAAAAAAAAATCTTAGAACTAAAATGTTTTATGTGTATACTGAATGCTGTCGCCAACAAAGTCTGCTTGGCAGATTTGCGCCGGCGAAACGGAAAAGTACCGATAATTTTTATGATCTGAATATATCGTATCAAACAAAAAATAATTAATTTTATGACATATTTTGGTTTTGCTTATTCTCTGTATTAACAAAAACATAATTTTTTTTTTGTTCAATATACGACTAATTTCTATAAAATATAGTATAACGCTTTAAGACGTTACTATTCTTATTTAAACAGAGTAAAAATGTTTAATTTATTCATTAATGTAATATTATTAAGATAGGAAGGATATATTGCGTGCGCATACTAAAAGCTTTCTTTTATTTATGCTTATAAAATGACAAATAATTTATGAAAGTACATTTGTAGAAAATTTTCAGAAATCCTATAACAAATTTTTGAGAAGTTAAAATGTTTCAGAAAAAAAACAAATCAATGAGCGTTGCAAAATTAGGTATTTTTATCATTATCCATTTTTATTCATGCTATGATCATAAATTAATTTCTACTATGCGTTGAATTACTAAATTTAATAAGTAAAAATTAAAGGCATTCTTCCAGTTTGTTCTTTTGGAATTGCGATCAACAGATCGCAATTGGAAAGTGTTGGGTTTGATTCCAGGCCACAGTGCAGTTTGTTTATTATGTTTTCTCCCAAACAAGCGCCCACCAGCGGCCGAGCGGTAAAGTCGCTGAACACTGGTAGTTCGGTCCGAGGTTCGAATCCCGCGAACGGGCTGGCTGCATGGGCGTTTTCGTGGTTTTCCCCATGTGTAACGTGTATACGAGCCAGTTTTCCTTAGAAAGTCCTCCACGAAAGGCATCCCTCCCCTTAGGCAGATAGCCCTCGTGTGCTTTGCCAGAATTAAATACACCTACACCTCCCAAACAAGCAGTCCCTAAATTTACGCTAACTAATAATAGACGCATAGGTGATTTGTCTTGTAGCCTTAGGATTCAAATTAATCATTCAAATCCTACAAGTTATCAGTGCCACGTATGTTAATCTTTTTTGATGCAAGCTGCCAAGTTTTTTATCTATCCCATGTTTAACCACGGAATAATTATATCCCATCTTTAATTAATTATTGTTTAATAACTCTCTGACGCTTATATCTTAAGCCGTATATCTCTGCACAAACATATACTATAAATACGCATTGTTGAAGGCAATGTATTTTGAGTTTTACACTAGGAAATAGAATGCCTCTCTCATCCATGGTTAAAAATAAGTGAGCCGAAGGATGCGTAATGGCAAAAAACACATTGAGTTGATCAATGTTAACGAGTTTCGTTTACTTCGCGTGCTCAATGGTCTACCGTTGGTGTGGGAGAAAATGCTGGCGATTAAGCATAAGCAACCGTACACAAGCCTGCTCATCATGTAGGTCTTATCGACTGTTTACAATTGCAATACTGCCGAAATTTGTTTGTGCTTAATGCATTTGCTTCTGCTTCATTTCATTTTGGTTTATTTTGTTCATAAACTTCATATTTAGTATCAGTTATTTATAATAATATCCTTGACTGTAATTCAATAATTTTAACTGAATTTATTCTTTAATTTGTTAAAGTATGTACGAATGGAACTTTTGGAAATACGCAATTGCTTTTATTCCTCAGAAGTATTATCAATAAAGATTGAACTAATAATATCCAATCACGTTTCCTATTTTGTAATCATTTTTAAACGAAAACTAGCTTATTGTACAATTTATATTTACACTCTAAGTAATGAAGCAACTTACAACCTAACAAGTTTGAAAACTCCGAAATGTTTACGCCCAGAGATAACAGAATATCAACCACACACCGTATTTATCTTCTTTTAAAATCATTCCAAAGTCATAATTGCGCCAAATTCTCTTCTGGGAATGTGCAGTATGCGAAATTCGTTTAGCATTGGTCAACTGAATGTGCAGTTTGCCATTACATGCCCAGGGTTTGAATCCCAGAGGAGGCATGGATGTTTGTAAATGTACAGCGTCTGCGCGGCATGCACCCAAAATATCGTCCACCCGAAAGTCCTCTTAAGAGATTAGCGGTAGTGGAAGGGGTGCTATCTTTTAAGATCACAGAGTTGGACTGTCACCTGTATGATGCTCAAGGCTCTGGCCAAAGACAGACGCAATCTTACACTCCTTGTTACGATAATAATTCGTGAGCTTGCTCTGATTACATCAGGTAAGTAAGATTAGTAAAAACAATAACAAATATAAATGATCATATGATTCAGAGTTGTTTCCTAAAGATGCAAATTTATCTTGCTTTTCAAACTGAGTCAAAAATTAATAGACTCGAAAAATCGGGTAAAAAAACGTAAGAAGAAAGAGATTATTTGAATAAAACCATATAATCACAAATATTACACAATTTGTTTTAACCAAATTTATTATGAATGATTGAGCATTTCATTTTAGGACTAAACTGTGTTATTTAGGGGACAATCAATCGCTTTATATATGACAGCTTTCCCATACACATTATCATACTCAGACGAGATGATTTTGAGAAGTGGTTTGGCAATTCAGGTGAATTTTGTCAAAATGCTTTTAATACTAAGAATGAGAGATATCTTTCCAATTGTTTCAGAGGCATTTTCCCTCATAATACGCTTATTGCCTTGTATATAGTTTTAGTGGTTAGTTCGAAGATTTAATTTTAATCATTATCTTTATTTAATGCGAAAAATTCCAATACTACACTCAGAGATTGAACAAGTCTGTCAGTTATCAATATTGTTGAACTTGAGAGTCATCAGATGTTACTGATTTTGAAGAATGCGTAAATATTTCCTCATTTGAGACAGTAAGGTAAATTAGTGTCCCTGTAGTATCTGAATTTTGTATCTGAATAGTATTTGTCCCTGAAAGTATCTTACATTAAGAATAATGACCCCATCAACAAATTTTCATCCTTGATTTAGCATCCGTCCTAACTTTTCACCCGTGGCAAATATTTCAGTTTATCTTACCATCATCTGAACCATGATAAGCAGCTCTTCTTATTCCAAAGCCATTGTTTTCTTCAAGTGTCTTTCATTTGTTTTTATTCGCTATACATAATACAACGCTATACATATACAAAATACATATCAAAGATGCGGGACAAGATCTACAAATTTAAAAGGATTTGCTTTTTTTAAATTCGTCATTGCAGAGTGGTATTTATCATTCTGAGGCTGTATTTTAATTTAATTTTCTTTTCATACGTTAATCATGCACTTATATGTTATTCCAGAACAGAACGTAATTCTACACTAATTTAAAGACTTAATTTGTATTATTTTTAACATTACATATGGAAACTGCATTTAATAAATTATGCCTTGAATTATAATAATGTATTATGGATTGAATTAATAATGTATTGTGGCTTTAATTATTTCTAACATTTTTGAACCTGAAAAATATTCATACTTTTTCTAAATGAAGTTTTATCGCAATCTTTCCTTAAAAAATATATATATATAATCGTTCGCCTTTGTAGTCACGGCTTTTCTGTACGTATCAAAGAGTTGAGTCACAAGCTACCAACCATGACCGAGGCCAGGAGGACAATTCATTTACTCCTGCACCTCTCAACATTCTTCTTAATTTGCGTAAAGCATAATAATTAGTAACTAAAATAATTTTATAATGATAATTTTTATGTTCATAGGTTTTAGTACTCTCTGCTTTCACTATGAATTATCAAAATTAAAATTCACGAATAACTCATGTAATATCGCAGAATCATTGGCAAATGGTGACATCAGTATGCAAGATTAGTGCCCAAATCTTTGTTGCAATTAGTTTAACAATTATATTAAGTGAAGATGCTATTCAGCACTAAGCAAATTGATTTCGCCTTTATTTTGAATAATTTCATACAAAATCATTACCACCAGTTTATCACTGGTCCAAAACTTTCTTTCAGAATCATTACATATGAACATATAAAACGAGTGAAACAACTGAAGAAAATCATATATTTAATATTCTGCTTCAGAGTTTCATTCATTGCTGAATTTTTTTCGCTGAAATATTTTATGATTCAGAGTTTATTAACAAGCAGTGCCTTGCATTGGATCGTTTGATCTGGTAACCACGTGGTACACTCTGAGCATTTTCTTGAGCAAAAGACCAAACTCTTCCATATCCACCGCCGTATCATCAGGCATGCCATTTATAGGAGTTGAGACTATTTTATAAGCGTTGATATCGGGTACGTAAACATGAATTTCATCACTGCCGCCCTAGAAATGTGAAATTAAAACATTAATTTCTATGCAAAAATTAAAAGTGACATATCACACCTGTTTTTAAGAAATGTCCATATTTTTTATATTATTATATTAAATTACATTCTTAAATATCGTAATATTAAACTATGTGGCATGTTAATGGCTTAAGAAACTAACCTATTTCTCAATATAATATTTTCTTAAACCAGCCTCCAAAACATCAAAAGTATGGTAGTAATTGGCCTCAAAAATTAACTAACTACTAATTTGCAAATTATATATATTTTTACGAAAAATAATGAACCAAAGGTACTAATTATGCTAATTAGTGCTTTTGGTTCATTATTAAGAATAATGAATATTCAGTATACAAATACTGCCATGTTACTCAGCTTTTCTGCTAATTAGCCAGGAATAATAATATAGCATTAATAACTGTATAATATAAAGGCTATAATTCCGTGTAAGAATACAGAACATTATACTGATCAAAAAAGTACAAGAGAATAGCGACCAAATTTTAACGTTTTTAAAAACTAAATCCATTCTCTCTTACCAGTGTATTCCCCTTACATATTCTGAAAGTTACTATCATGTTTGGAAAGCTTTCTAGAAATCTCTTAAATGAAGAATGTTTAGCATACTTTGTTATTCGGTCTGATTGTGCTATATGCAGTAAATACATTCGTGTGCAAAATTAAGATAATTTGCAAGTTATATATATTTTTACGAAAAATAATGAACCAAAGGTACTAATTATGCTAATTAGTACCTTTGGTTCATTATCAAGAATAATGAATATTCAGTATAGAAATATGCATTATGCAAATATTCAGAATCGAATACGTAAGCGTACATGTGTGTGCCTGTGGAGCTGTGATTATGGTGGGGATGTAAGCGCCCGAAGGGGTTTGAGACAATATGTGTGCTCATAGCTCCTTCACGATATTCGCCGTGTTTCTCGAAAGAGTTGGGCAAACATTATTAAGATATCGGGTAAAATGAGTAGCCACGAATGCATGGAAGATGGAATGAGATGCAGAATTGTCGATAGATTGGGGAAAAACCAGTCACAATTATAGGTGGCTCACAAATCTGAATGCAACGACCAGTATCGTCTGCATTTTGCTGAAACAGTTTCAGGATATGTGTTCCATATCAAGGAGGCGTGGACAAGGTCGATCAAGATCCATAACACGATGAATAAGGATAGTTATTTGGGCACTTTTAGCGCTGTGACGTAGGACTGCTACAGCTTCACAGCTCTTACTGATTCGTATTCTGCTACTGGAACCCTAGTAGTGCCCAAAGGTTTCTGGAGATAGGGTTGTATGCCAGATGACCACTACTATTTGCGTCCTGAACACTACAGCACAGAAGAGAACGCGTTTAACATGATGCAGACAGCATGCGCTTAGGACCAAACTTCGGTGGAGCACCGGGCTTTACAGATGAATCGAGATTCAGCCTGAACACGAATTCTCGGCATAGTTGTATCCGAAGAGAGCCTGGAACACGATACCATCCGTCTCGTATCAGGAATAAGGATCATTACGGTGGTAGAGGTGTAATGGTTTGGACAGGCATTATGCGTCCTATTTGCTATGAGGTACAGAGAGAAGATCTTCTAGCCATAGTTTAGATTCTCAGGGAAGCTGTTGGTCCTGGGTTTCTGTTAAAAGATGACAAATCTCATACGCATTGGGCTCAGATGGTCGACGATTAGATGGAAAAAGGAGATATTCGCCGTATGGATTGGACAGTCAAATCTACCGACAACTGTAGAGCATGTCTAGCACGCTCTTTGGATGGTAATTTCCCCTCCGAGAACCATCTCGGAGTTGAAAACTGCCTTGCTATAGGAGTGGGTTCGACTGTTTCAGGGATTCCTTAGCTGCCTCCTGTCCAGTACGCTGTCACGCTGCGCGACCTGTCTGGCTGTGAGAAGGGATCATACCAAAGATCTGACTCAATTTCAGTTCGAATCGCAACGTGGATTTTGGATATCTCTACTCTGAGCTTTACTGCCAATCATGCTTACCTAAAATGACTTTTGAATGGTACATGCTCTATTGAAAATATAAAAGCATATCAAATTTCATTGAAGACTGTCCAATAGTTTTCCAGAAATTTGGCATAATGTACAAATTCTCTTAATATTGCACACGAGTGTTATTTTATATATAATGTTTTCCTTTTGTTTAAATTTAAACGCTTTGTAGTGAATATGCTTCTGAATTATCTTTTATAAATATGAATAAAAAATAGATAAAAGTAGATAGAAAATAATAAATCATTTGGCTTACCGGATTCTCGCTTACGAAAACAGCATTTACGTCAATACCTCCCAATGCATATCTGTTTGCATGCAGTTCTGTCAACATTTTGCAGATAGATACAGAAATTTTCAAGAGATGGCGAGGTCTAAGGCCTGGCACGGTTCTTAAATATTGCAGAAGAGAAATGTAACCATGAGGAGGCTTAAAGGCACGAGAGTCAAGTTGATCTCTTAGCATCACACGCTTGGTTTTGTCTGAAACTAAAAATTAAATAGGGAATTTATTTATTTTTACAACCGAATTCAGTCATGGTGTTTCAAAATGCCACATGAAAATCAGTGGAAATAACTCCGAAAAGAAAAAAAAAATTATTACTAATAGTAAAACAGTAATAATAATAATAGTAATTATATAAATTTAAAAAAACTGTCTCTAATGCATTTTTTTAAAAATTATTGTTGTGTTATTTTATTAAAGCAAAAATATGCAGAATGAAAATAATAAAAATGTTGTTTTATTTCTTTATTTATTGTTTTATTTATCAATAAATAAATTATTGTAGCTAATGCCAAGAAAACCAATTAATATATACTTTCATTTCATTGTACTACTCTCATTTTCCTATTTATTTAAAATACATTGATGTTATTCAAAGGATTTTATTTGTTGCAGAGGGGAAGGATTTTCATATAGGATCACTATTATTTTTACAGCGTACACTATGAGGTATCTTTATATACATAGAAGATCTGCACATAAGTTACTTACAAATTATGATTTGCATTATTTGTAAAAAGTGATCGACAACGTCGGAATGAATATAAGATATCATATTTGGTCTTTAAGAAAGAAGGAACAAAACGGACACAAAACGAGGAATAAAGTCCTGTAGGAAAATTAGCATGTCTTTACATTTCAACATACTGATACTGCATGCCTAACTTTGTAGATACATACTCTGTAAGATTATCTAGATCAGCAGTCGCCAACCGGTGGTCCACGGACCACTGGTGGCCAGTGAAAACCTTTTGATGGTCCGCAGAAAAATTGGGATATTATTTATATTTTTATGAAGATTCAGTTCAAAAAATGATGAGTAACAAAACTTATTATGGAATATGTATTAAACTTTTATTTTAATTTCAGCTACATATTTTAGCGAAATTCTTTCTGAATTTAGACACATTTTAGCTACTTTTGCAGGTGTATCTGGCGACACTTGAAAGGGAGAGTTAAGATCCATGGATATGCTGGAAAAATAACTTCTCTGTTACCTTGTTACCTTTAATGGGTGCATTTCACATTAATAAAATAAAAGTTTGCTGATTATTATTGTATAAATGTACTCGTGTTTACCTTTTTTATTAATTCATATTAGTGGTCCGCCAAATATAAAATTATATATGTAGTGGCCCGTTAAGTTCTAAGGGTTGACGACCGCTGATCTAGAAGATACTGTTTGCCATTTCATTTTTCTTGTTTTACCTCGACAAATATGTCTTTTATAATAGTTGATGGAAGAATGAGTTCTGCAGTAACCATTCAAGGCTATTTTTACGCGATTTACCATCCAAAAGGTACGCTGGTTAGTCCATTCGATCTATGCTTTCTAGTTAAGCAGCACAAAAAAGAATATCAGCAGCATCATTCATTATCTTTCAAAGTACAACAAATTTATAACACTATAACAAAAATTCTTGACAGGCGATAGAATAACCTGCTGGAGGTCAATGGAGCCATTCAACCCCTTTGTTTTTAAACAAGCCAGCTTAATTCAAGCTCCTAAACACGCTTTGGCTATGAACTTCGTGAAGGGAGGTCATGATCTGACGGTGACCTTCCTGGTCTGGCCGATCTTGGCGTGCTACCAATTACGTCCTGAAAGCACGCTGTAAAGGTGGTAGGTAGGTAGGTAAGTAGGTAGGTATGGGACGCTCCACCCTCCTGGCAAGCTCGCCCTATGGTTTTTCTAGACCGGGCAGAAGTTGTAAAGATGGTATCACACATTCAAAACATTTCGGACATACAATTCTGTAGAAACATCTTTCTGCTTTGTCACACGATGTGAAACAGCCAATCACGGCGGATCGTTTTGGGGTTGCCATGTAAAGGGGAAACTAGTTCTTCATTACAAATGATGATTGATGACGAGGGGATTCGATACTGATAGCTAGCTTATAGTAGGTTTTTGAAAACGAACAACTTAATTTTTTTTTTTTTTTTTTTTTTTTTTTTTTTTTTTTGCGAAAGAAAGGAAAAAATCGTCCGTCTCTCTTTCAGTGGTAAAGCAGAAAGAAGAATTGTTTGAAACAGTTGTTCGTCTGAAATAAAATGTATCTGTGATACCAACCTAAGAAGGCAGAAAATCCCTTATAAATTTATTAGTTAGCATGCAAAACAAATCTCACATTAAGAAACAGTTACTGAATAATCTAATAGTTCAAAACACACGAAAATAAAATTGAAGTAATTAAATTATTCAAAATTTTGAATATTTACACTTAATTTAATTGTTTCGAGGAAAGTTTATACAACCGCAAAGAAACTGTTACAATTGATCGCGACCTTTAAACACATAGAAGGTTTAGCAGACAAAGTTAGCTAAGCATTAGATTATCATTGCAAGCGAGATTTATAAGAACAAAAAAACAAAAATCAGAAATTTTGAAATATCAGTCACAGTGCTGTCCATTAAATATAAGAGAAAATTAAAATATAATTATAAATGAAGACTTTCTAGATGATTACACAGTATGATTCTAAAGGTTTATTTTACAGGAAAGTAATTTGTATTTATAAAATTATAAATTTTACCCAGAAAGTTTCTTTTTTTTTTTTTTTTTTTGCATAGATACTTACTCGGATTTAAACTAGTTTTCTTGCTGTCATATGCACCTTTTCCATCTTCTGAATTAAGGCCAAATCTTGATAATAATCGCTGTTGGATATGAAGAGATGATATAGTATATATCAGAGGATTGGTAGCCGAATTCAAAGGTAGGACAAAAATGGCAATCCACGAATAAGCTTCTCCTAAGTATAAAACATATTAAAATCTGAGTAAAATTGACTAAACACTATTATAAATATACCTTTAAAAGCGTCTATTTAAAATACCTTTTAAAGCGTTAAATTCTGAATAAATATGATTTTTTATGTTAGTGCTGCATTATTGCAAATTAATTTATAACAATGAAATAGGATACAAAAGGTACATTAAACGATTTCATAAGCCGATTGCAATTACTGGACATTATTAATTTAATATATAAAAATAAATAACTAGAAACCTAAGCCCTGTAAATCAACCATTCACCACTTCAGAGATAGAACAACGATATTAGAACGTTTAAAATTTATTTAAAATTTAAGAATTCATCATTAAAGCAATAATAAATATGAAAACTCATAGATTTATTTTAAAATATTAGAAGTATATTGAAAAAGAATAAGAAGTTTAAAATCCTAACTTATATCTAAAAATAATATGGATATTTTTTTAGATACAAGTTAGAAATTAAAACAAATATTATCTGCACATTCACAAACGTTACGTACATAGTATATATGTTACAGTGACAAATCCTGTTAGCATCAATTAATAATAACCGGTTACTATTAATAATAACAATATTTTTGTGAACGAGATAAATAATGCATAATAATCGCATTCACCGGTAGATATTAATAATTGCCAATGCAATTTGGTCAGTGTGATTAATTATGCATAATAGATTGAAACCCGAAATTCTAACGTAATTTTAACGTCCTGCGGTACGATCTGCATGAAATTACACGCATAACAATTTTATTAATAATGAAATTTGGATCAATGTAGAAAAATATTTAAAAATAATGATTACTGTTATTTACACGATACATTACATTATTTATTACGTGAAACAAATTTCAAACAAATCCTTTTGGCGACAAAACCTGCAAACGAATTATAAGCACAATATTATTAATTTTACAGCAAACAGGAAAAGGCAAACAAATTATGTAACAAAAAGAGTGATTATATTTAAAAAAAAATATTTATTATGGCAGAAAGAACTTCTATGGGATTTGGAATTACAAAAGAATTTTAACGTTTTTTATTTACACAAATTTGAGTTATAATTGCTTTTACAATTACGATATTAAAAGCCTTGATCATCTAAATTAGAATTCTTAGAAGCAAATTATCTTAATCTTATTTCAATATCTAGAATTTCTATGACTTAAAGCCTTCTTGTAAATAAAAAAAAATATTATTTTGTGTAAAAATAATTTAAAATGGCATGTCTGTATATAGTTTTATAAGTTTTGATTTTCCTTAGAAATTATCACAGCTACAGCATTCGAACTATTAGTTTTATCCCTATCTACATCTAGTATTCTTAGTTGCACATTTTTTCTGCTACATTCTCATTTGGAAAGTTTAAAATCAAAAACCTTAACTTTTCTCTTCTTATTTAGTGACTGTTTAGCAAAGCATTAAACTTATTTAATAAGTTGAGGCTTCATCGTGTGCAAAAAAAAAAAAAAAAAAAAAAAAAAAAAAAAAAAAAAAAAAAAAAAGAGACTTCATCGTTTCTCCACAATCTTCCGATTCAATATCAACGAAACCTTTTTGCTTATCCTTTTCCATACTTATTACAGAGGCTGTTCACACATTTTTTTAGACGATGTATATTGTATTCACAAAACTAAATTACATAAAATTCTTGTGTTTTAAATGCTTTATTTGACATCCCTTATTCTGAAATATCTTTCGACACCGCAATTTTCAGGATAATAATGCCTTTTGAAGTGGCAGAAGAGATATTCTATCCCATTCCTCCCGAACAGCTTTCCAGAGTCCTGTTAGGGTTTTGGGACAACGTTTGGATAATGCAGTCTTTAAAAGTCCGAAAGCATAAAAATCCATAGATGACACATCGGGAGATTTAGTGGAGATATCAGTGAAGGGAACAAATACCCTTGCCTTAATACCAGTTTTTTGTTCCATTTCTTTTAGGAAATTTACAGTGGATTTTGATTTGTGACTGCTAGCTTTGTCCTGATGGAGTCTCACAGATTGATGGCACTGTGGGTAAAGCGATAGTATTTCATTCAGAAAAATTGGCGATAAAATATGTTCCTGATAGTATTTGGGGTTAATCTTGACATTTTTGTGCACTCTCTTTATTTTTAACTTTCCATTATAAGAAAAACCAGCAACAATTATGAATCCCTTAGAAAAACTTTCTTTCGATTCTTTGAACCACTAAATTCTTTGAACCATTTAAATTTTTTCTCCCCTTTTATGATAATAAATGGCTCTTTTACTGCTACAATAATTTAAATACATCCATGCTTCATCTATTGTCACAATTGTTTTCCATTTTTCTTTGAATAAGTGTTTCTCATATAGAATTCTGCAGCGTGTCCTGCGTTGAGCGATATGCTTAAGCATATCGCTTATATATTATATACAGTGAAGACGATGCACATTGCATTTTTTCGCTTTCTTAAGATTTAAATCAACGTTTATCATTTTGTTTACAGTGAACACCGAGCATTTTAATGATTTTGCAATTGTTCTTTGAACTGGAGGATTTTCTTTTAACATTAAACAACGTACCTTTGCAATAGTCGAAGATGTCCGTTTTTCCTTGGATACTTGTTTGCAATTTTTGTCCCATTTGAGGCTCCAATTTGACGTTTTTTTTTTTTCCCTTTCTCGTTGATGATATTACCTATCGACGCTTTAGATATCACAAAACCATGACTCTCACATTGTTTTTGGATAACGGAGTACGCATATTTCTCTTCGGAAAGAGCATAAATGTAGTCTTCGAACCACTGCTTTGTTAAATTCGCCATTTTGAATAAAAACAAAACTTTCAAGCCACAGACGATCATTTTGACTTTTAAAAACATAGTACAATTGCAATTACTTCTTTTGCAGCAAGCAAAGTTTTATTACTGCTTACCAAAATCGTCTAAAAAATGTGCGAACAGCCTCTGTACATTACAGAATTATATTGTTCTCATTCTGTTGGCCAACATGCTTATTTCTTTTTTGATTAGACCGGCAAGAGTTATTACTTCCAAATTTTTTCTAATTACCAGGTTCCACTTCCATATTGTCAACATTCAATGCACCTATATCTTCATTCCCAGCTGAGATTATTATCTGAAGTTGGACATCACTATTAGACTGATTTCTTAATGCAGCAAGATATTCTTCACTTGCAATTCCCGATAAAATATCGACTGGAAAGTAAGTTCTTAATTCTACTTTATTTTTAAAGTTAAATATATTTCCATATGGTATTGATCTATTCTATAGTGATGTGCTCTATTTTTCGTATACTGAATGGATGCTATTCCTTCTGCCCAATTTTTTTTTATTGCTTGTTTCAAGACAAGTGGATAACGTGTTCTCAATGTCTTGGTTTGCTCTATCAACCATCTTGTGATAAAATACGTCATAGCTTCCCATTAACAAATTTGAGTTTATTCCACATTCCAGAATTTTCTCAAATACATTTATTAGCAAATTCGCGGCTATTGTCACATTGCAAGAAGCATGGCGCTTCAAATGTTGTGAACATTTCCAGCAGATGATAAATAACTTCCTATGCTCGCTTTGTTTTTAACGCTCGTAACATTATAGGTCTTGATAAAACCTATAAATTTAAGTCTTCTTTCCTCTTGTGATTGTATATCAGTGAGATCAACTTGACATCTCAGATTAAATTCTCTGCTTTTAATTAGTTTAATTAACAAGACGTTTCTTGAAACGCTTTGTTTCTTTTCCCAAAGTTCACAAATATTTAAAATATTTAATTATGTTATTACAGTTTCGATTGTAATGTTCTTATACTTTGTCTTAACCTCTTTCATTATTCTGTCTCGTCCTACATGACCAATTGTAATGTTCTTATACTTTGCCTTAACCTCTTTCATTATTCTGTCTCGTCCTACATGACCAATTGCAATACCGACCTCATGAATGTTTTAAAAATTCTCCTCCCTAAAAGTATAATAAATAATTGGGTATTTCTCATTTTTAATTGGAGTAATATGGTTTTCAGCAACACCAAATCTTACAGTATTATATCTTGATAGTCTTTGATTATCCTCGGTGATTTGCCAGAAATCTTCCCTTAGCTTCCGTTTACTTTTGCAAACAAATAAGCGAATTACTGTAAATAACTGATGAGATTTTCCTTTGTTTCGATCTGAGCATATCCAAATGACCTCAGAAACGTGACTCCATGACCTATAAATCCTTTCCATTGTACTTACAAATACAGTACAGACGATATGAATTACAAATACAGTATAGATGAATATGAATGCCATTGAATATGAATGCCATTCTACGTATCTGAAGATTATTATGCACACGCTAGTATTTGACAACAAAAGTAAAATCAAATTGATACTACGCAGTACAATGTACAGTGCAGCATCAAAAGGTTTTTTTCCAACTCCCAGTTGATTTTAAGTCATAAAAATTACTTTATACTGCATAGGTATACTCCCATCTAAAGAAATTTCGATTTAGCAAACTGTGGCAATATTTTTTTAGAAGACTGTGAACTACTTGTTACGTAATTCGATCAGGCGATGAAACATTTTTATCTCTTCCAGCTGTCAAGAACAGTTCTGCTCGTCAGAAATTTCAAATTAATGGCTTTATCAAAAGAGATGAATGATGTACACTAAATTTTAGAACCGAAAACATTGCCACATGTTCAGACAAATGCGTTAATCGGCACGGAGATTACGTCAAGAAATAAGGCATGCAACATAGAAGAGACTATATACATGATGGTACGCTGTATTATGCTGAAATAAATTATTGTGTTGTTATGATAATATTTAAAAATTTATATTAGAGGAAAATGTAATATACATACAGAGAGCATAAGTAACACATAAGTGATTTATAGAAAATTTATAGTGGTTCAGTAAGGTACCGGGTGGCCACAATTAAACTGACAGTGCTCACAGTGTTCTGTAGCGCGATCTATTTGCGAGAATGACGCCACATTTTGTAGGAAGATTAACAAGACGGGGAACGAAGGATTCCGCGAAAAAACAAATTAGTTCCAAAAGTCACCGCTAGGGAAATATTTGGCGTTGTGTAATATTAGAAAATAGAGTGTTAACAAATGCAAATTAATAAGGAATAAAATTACCTTTTATTATGGATATGCCTTATGGAATATGGATATGCCTTACAGTACGGTAATACAGGTTTTGGGCTTCCCCGTTCCGAGAACTAGCTCACTACAGGTCGACTCTGCCTTCGGGCACGTCGTGGAGGTTCAACCTCCACTATTACCCTCTAGCAGAGCCGTGTACCACCTGGATACGTCACCAGGCAGCACCGGTCGTCAATTGCTCCTGCCAGTCGCTCGGGCGAGCCCGTCGCGGCGGGACATTACCCAGCGACCCCGGGGGAAATCCCCACGGGTTACTAGCACCACGCCGCGCTAGGACGTGCCAGACTCCGAGGCCGGCCAATAAGTGACCTTTCCCAGAGCCTTCAGAACCACCAAGTTCATAAATTTTATACCCCCGTGGCCGAGACTGCCTAGGTACAGATCCTAGCCAGTAGCTTCGCAGAATTCTCTACGTCGACCCCCGGGGGGAAACTTAAAGTACGGTAAGGAAAAGCTTACGAAAGATTATCAACTTCTATCCGTACAAGATCAGCCGTGTTCAGGAGTTACTGTACCCCGACCATGATAAGCGATTGACTTATGCTCTCACTTTCTTGCCAGAATGGAGGTGGATGATGCTTGGGCGTGGAAAATCTTATGGGGAGACGAGGCCCACTTTTACCTGATTGGAACTGTGAATAACCAGAACTGCCAAATTTGGGATGACAAATCACCACATGCAGTCACAGCAATTCCCTTACATTCACCAAAGGTAACTGTATGGTGTGCGTTCACAGCGGAATTTATCTTAGGTCCATTCCTCTATGAGAACATAACCCCGACAGGACCGGAAACCGGTGTCCGCCGATAAAATCGCGGCAAAAACATCGCGGACGTAAACGTCACGGAGAAAACAACGCAAGGCGAAAACGTCGTGCTACAAAACATCGTAGGAGAAAACATCGCAAAGAGAAAACATCGCAGTTCTAAAACATCGTGGTACAAAACATCGTCGTCGAAAATAAAGCGGTTCAAAAACTTCGCAGTTTAAAAACATCGTCGTCGAAAATATCGTGGTAAAAAATAAAGTATCTACAAATCATCGCATGGCGATAACATCGCAGACATGCTATTTTCAGGCTTTAATAACTGTAAATGGATATTCCCATGAGCGCAAGGTGTAAGGGAGGATAATTTTTACTTTCATATTTTTAATTAACTATTAAATTTTTGCACAGAAAATAAGAAACTTAAGCATAGAAAATTAATGCAACTTATAGCACTTAATAGAATTTTAAACCGACATAGTTAACTAGCAAAGACCATTAATAAATCATTTTTTATAAATTTTTTACTGGTAATCTTTCATAAAATGTATAATCTATTAAGTTGCATTTAATTTTCTATGCTTAAGTTTCCTTCTTACTTTTTCAGCAAAAATTTATTAGTTAATAAAAAAATGTCAAAGTAAAAATATCCTTCTTACACATCTTGCGCTCACAAATCATTATGGGAATACCCATTTACAATTATTAAAGCCTGAAAAAAAAAGCATGTCTACGATGTTATCGTCATGCGATGATTTGTAGATACTTTATTTTTTACCACGATATTTTCGACGACGATGTTTTTAAACTGCGAAGTTTTTGAACCGCATTATTTTCGACGACGATGTTTTGTACCACGATGTTTTAGAACTGCGATGTTTTCTCTTTGCGATGTTTTCTCCCACGATGTTTTGTAGCACGACGTTTTCGCCTTGCGTTGTTTTCTCCGCGACGTTTTCGTCCGCGATGTCTTCGGCTGTAACCCCGGAAACCTGTTCTGTTACCGGAGAGAAATATCGCCACATGTTGAACAGCTTTGTCATTCCGGCACTTCAGCAAAGACAAAACCTGGGGAAAATCATTTTCATGCAAGATGGAGCCCCTCCACACGTTGCAGTACGGGTGCAACAGATGCTACGACAGAAATTCACAACAGAGAGAGTTATTAGCCGCTACTTTCCAACTGCATGGCCACCTCGGTCGCCTGATCTTACCCCATGCGACTTCTTGTTATGGGGTTACCTTAAATGCAAGATCTATCAAGGAGTGTTCCAGGACCTGGCTATGTTGAAGGATAACATATCACGGACTGTACGGGAGATAGCTGTTGATTTTAGCTGTTGTGCATACTGTGCACAGAATGCAATATGTGGTCCACAACAACGGCAGCCACATTGAACCTCATTTGAATGCAAAATAAAAGGTAATTTCCGTATTGATTTGCATTTGTTAACACTCTATTTTCTATTACACAGCGTCAAATATTCCCCTAGTGGTGACTTTGGAACTAATTTTTTTTTTCGCGGAATCCTTCGTCCCCCGTCTTGTTTAATCTTCCTACAAAATATGGCGTCATTCTCGCAAACAGATCGCGCTACAGAACATTGTGAGCTCTGTCAGTTTAATTATGGCCACCCGTTACTATAATTAGTATCAGTAATAATATCTGCATGATAATCCCTTTTTTATTAAAGGAATAATGAAGGTCTAAAGTACAAAAATATGCTTAAAATAATTCTTACCAGGAATTCTGATTCCGGACATAGCTAGCAATCCCATAAGTATAATGGGAAACCAACACATAGAATTTGTCAAAGCAATCAGTGCCATTTGCCTTCCAATTGTGTTTTCTGTTGTTTGGCGAGACACAAGTCGACTCATGTTTCTGTATGACTTCCTAATTGTAATATACATGTAAAAATATGCAGAAACGATGAATATGAATGCCATTGTATTCATGCAGAAGAATATTCCGACTGAATATTCCCATCCTGCTGGTCTGTGATTTGTAATATGCAAAGCCAGGCATACTCCAGAGCGTGCATAGAAACGTCCTTGAAAATACGGTTCCACTACTAGAGGTATGATTGCCATGATGGCGGCTATAATCCATGCTGCAGCAATAAGTCTGTATGTGAATTGAAGACTGAACCTTCTCTGGGAAAGGGGAAAGCAGAGGCAGATTAGCCTATCTAATGTGATGAAGGCGAGAGTGAATACCGAAACTTCTGTGGAAACTGTAGACAAAAAGCCGCAAATCTTACAGAGGTTGCTTCTTTTCCATTTGTCGGAGTTTTCAATATAGATACTTCTGTAATAAACATCCACACTAGCAATGATAATGAGATATATTCCCATAAGGAAATCAGCGCAACCTAGGTTGAGGATAAGGGTTGAACTTATTCTGCTCGAATCTTTAGTCTTCAAACGCCAGATGATGACGAAAAGATTACTCAGCAGGCCGATGATTCCGAGAACCCATAAGAAGGATCTTTGGACCAGACTACTCATCAGGTCTTCACAGGACGAAATTTCATCCTCTGGTGGGAGGCAGTTCTGTAGTGATACTACAGAAGATGCCATACAACAAAAGGTGTATGAATCACTGTACCTGAAAAGTTTTAATGGTATTTATATAATGAAAATTTTTTATTGAGGAGTAAATTGAAAATAGATAAAAATAAAAAACAATAAACATATCCTATAGTCCATTAAAAACTGTAAACAATTCTAGACAACTTTTATATCGTTGGAAATACCCAGCTGCGGTGAGAAAGCTTTCTCGTAAAGAGGTGTTAGGGTTGCCGGAAAGTAGAGGCAAATCAAGGCTGCCAAATTTGGAGCTAAATCGCCCGTTTGGCGATATTTGACAACAAAATTAGCGGAGTTAGGTAAAACTATATATACCTTGCCTATATACAGATAGATTACAGTATCTTGAGTTCAGAGATTGGCTTGAAAGCGATCGACTGACAGGAGCTGTACTTTAGTACTTTGCCGTGAAGCCATTTTCACCGTTATAGACTGAAGGCTGCGTTGCTAATTCCTTCAGCGTATTTATTATATTTTTTTGACGATTGCAAACGTGGCTTTGGAACTGTCCTGCGTAATACTGGCGAATAAATTGTGTTTTCATTCTTCTTCAAGGGTTTTCATCCATAACTTCAAATCCACGAACCCGTAGAGTGCAAAAATATATATTCTAAAATGATATATAAAATAGACCTCAGTTAACGAACACTTTAATTATGCGAATTCATTAAAATGCGTTTATACAATTATTGATGAAAATTTGGAGAAAAGTACAGAAAAAAAATGCAGCTGTCTTGCGAGAAATTCTTAATCTATCGATCTCTTATTTTTTTTAGTACTTCTGATTCAGTCCTTCGAGTTATAAAGTTTCTGATAATCACAATTGATGTGTTTATCTGTCCTACATTACTTCAATTCTTTCGCTTTACTCTTTTAATCAATCAGTGGGTCTAGGCTAGAAAAATGTGATTTCTTCCATATATTATTACTCATTAATATACGAGATCAGAGCAGTGTGGTATTACATAAAGTGAAACTGAGTTGTTAATTGTTTAAAAAATCGTGAAAGAGCATTTGAGATAATTGTGGTTTAGACACATAGGAAATATTCATAGCTTATCAAAACGAGCTTTTTTCTAGGAGAAAAGAAAAAATTTATTGACTAGAAATTACTTTACATTCGCTTTATATGAATGAAATTAACGTTGGTTGGTCTTTACCTTCGAACACGAGAAGGTAATGTTAAAATTCTTCAAATGCGTAAAATATTCTAAAAGTTATAATAAAAATTAGAAACTTAGCATGAGCCAAATGCGAGATTTCGGAATATTTAGATGGACCTATAAAATTCGCAAAACATTCTGCGGCAATAAAATTACTACTCATACCGTAACTTAAAGTTACAAGGTATTCCATTTTTTGTTCTTTTTTCGGAAAATTACAAAAGATTTAATTCTTGAAAATAAATTTTTGTTTGATTGAATTAATGGAGTACACGAAAGCATATTAAGTTCGGTGATTATTTGAGAAAGTAATTTTTACGATATGGAAATCACTCATTTGAACCTATTCTGATCCCATTCAGTTGGGATAAGTGAAGCTGAACTAAAAGCAAACGTCAATACAACAAATAAATAAATAAATGAAAATAAAATATGAATATTGTGAAGCAATAAAGGAAATGCAATTGGACTCGAATCTTATTTTAACTTGATACCTGAAAATTTTTCCAAGTTTCAATTCTTGCCACATGAGGAGGTAGCATTTCGTCTAAAATTCGATATAAAATTCATTTTAGTTGATGTGCACACTAAAAACATGGGACACTGCATTCACACTGTTTGCTATCGAACATTCAATACCATGACAAAACAACAGCAGACTTGAAATTTTGCAACAAACGTAGACCTCAATAGGTTGCGCAAACGATTAGCATCTGCAAATCATGTGCGACAGTAGCACACAAATTACAGAAGCACTGTTGAAACCATGGAGGTAGGAAAGGGAGGAGGGGCCATTCCGCGCTAGAAGTGAAGCACTGCTTTGAAGCTTGGGTCACCAGACGGGGTGTTTTTTGTTTACATTCAGAAGCTCGCTTGACAAGATTCTGATAGTATTTCGACACACGACAGTTCCATAGAAATCGAAAAAGGGACACTCTCGCATGAAAGAAACATTCACAGTATGATGGATAATAGCAATTTGTATAGTTTACTGACATTTGCGCAAAAATTTTATCTTGGTTATTTTTCGATAACTAACAACAGCGATTTTGATTATGAATTTGTTTTATAAAATTCTAAGCTGTTGCACTACGAAAATATAGATTTTAAGAAAATTGCTAAAAGAGATCTGCCAAAATTTATTTTCTAGAAGATTTGAAAAGTTTGAAACTTGATGGCTAAATGTAAATATAAAATTATGTATGTTAAAATATTTGTAATTAGGCACATAAGTCAGATTAAGTTTTTATTAAATAGAGTAACGCATGCAAGGGCTGTCTGCCTAAAGAGAGAGATGCCATCGTGGAGGAATTTTGAAGAAAAACTGACCTTTGAGTGGGTATTAAAAATAATACTTATAATTTTCATTCAAATTATATTCATATATATTTTTTATGTAAAACTTTCGCGTGTATGCTAAATTAGTGTAAATTACTTTACACGAAAAATATAGTGAATGCACAGAAATTAAAGATTTGCACGTGTCGGAAATGATAAATAGGAAATATGTATGGGTATTTATGCATGTGCTTGCAAAAAGCATGTATCTGCCTTTGACAAAATACTTAAATATTCATTAAATTATTTATAAATGTATTTGAAATGAAGAATTTATTCACTTATAAACAACTGTGAAAGTACTGTGAAGAAATCTAATGATTAAATGTATCTAATTTATAATGATTATAAATGTTATCTAAATATATAATAACCTTAATATTGAATTGTAAACATAAATTGAAATCCTGTTGACAAATACGTTATAAAAACTATTTAAGCAAGAATTGTTCGCATTGGAAAGCAATCTCTTAAAAGGTATTGTAAAGCAATGCTATGAGATGCGCACTTAAGAGATGTATAAACTTAAGAACGTAATAAAGAGTTTTGGAATATGTATTGTTGAAATGAAGGGTAAAAAAAAAAAAAAAATCTGATAAGTATAATTAAAAGAATTATTCCTTTACATTTTATAATAACTCAGTTACAAGTTTTAAATAATACTTAAAAAAAAAAAAAAAAACTTATTTTATTCCCTTTCAGAAATGTTCAGAGAAAATCAAATACTACTCTTTTAATTCCTAATAATTCTCTAATTTAAAATGAACCAAACAGAGCATTAATTATAAATTGACTTACATTTTTCGGTTTAAAAGAAGCCAAAAAATCATGTCATATTTAAGAAAGTATTTTAGAAAGAAGCTCTATAAATAGAAAAGAAATAATGCATAATTTTAATATTAATAATACAATAATAATTTAATATTAATAATACATCTCTACTTTGATGTTAATTTTTGTACCTTAATCGAATAAAATCAAATTACCTTAATTTTTATTTTCTAATGTAATTAACGAAAACTTGTGAAAATATTTCATTCAAATTAAACCATTCTGAGAAAACTGTCCTGTGAAAAGTATAGCATTTAATTCCGTTCAGAATGAAATGTTGTTTAAAAATATGTTGTTTTCACATACTTAGGACTCTGAAGTGTTGTAGAAAAAGAAAATATATACATTTATATGTATATTTGCGACGTAATTACAAAATATTTACACCCGAACGCGTCAAATCCCATAGAATTCAATGGTAAATGACCCAATGTTTTGGTCACCACGTAGGGATTGCCGGTGCTTCAGAGCAGGGTACGGAGAAACTTGTTTAGGGCGACTCCATCTTACTTCCTACCTCCATGGTTGGAACAACATCCGAATCATACTGTCTTAAGTAACACTGCAGTGAAGCTACCATTTAATTAATCACATTAAAGTATTAATTAAGAACCGAAACTTTTTGACTCCATCTGTGACGCTTCTTCTGAATGCGTAGTCACTTTTCCGCTTGCTTCACTCTTGCTAATACTCACGCGTCTTGCTTCTCTACATTGCCCATTGTCTGAAGATGTGCTAAGCTATCAAAAATGTAGGTGCATATTGCACTCTTCATGCATAATGATGAACATCAGATTATGCGTCTTAAGAATTAACTTTATCCAATAATAATAATAACCTAATTCCATTAATAATGCTAATTATGTTGAATCTACGGTTATCTCTCTCTCAAGTCATCCTTCTATCTGCTCAGTAAAGACTCTCCAAGTTATTGCAACGCAATAAACCTCTCCAATTCATTACAGCTATCGCCAAAATATTACACACACACACATACATACACACCCGTAGGTTAAAGGAAGCCATTGATAGATATGTCCCCCAGTGAGAGTGTGTGTGTAATTATGGCAAAGCCTCGAGGGCTATCTGCCTAAGGGGAGGGATGCCTTCATGGAGGACTTTCTAAGGGAAACTGACTCGTATACACGTTACACATGGGGAAAACCACGAAAACGCCCATGCAGCCAGCCTGTTCGCGGGATTCGAACCTCGGACCGAACTACCAGTGTTCAGCGACTTTACCGCTCGGCCGCTGGTGCCCCCCCCAGTGAGAAATACTTAAGTTAAAAAACTTGTCTTTCAATAAATCTGCACCTCATGAAATTGGAATGCATTCTACAACATACAAATAGGTATAAATCGTCAATTAGTAGTGAAACAGTTAACCCTAATGAAGTATTATAACATATAATTTGCGTAAAACTGCATTGATTTGAAATAAAATTTTATTATCTTATTTACATTAAATTAATAACTGTTGTTAGATATAAGACTTAAAAGTAAAACTTTTCATTGTAATGGGAACACGAAAATTATTGCTACTAAAAGTTATTCAAATATTTACAAAAATGAGAGTGGTTTATTTTAAATTTCGATAATTTTCAATTTCCGAAATGATCTAGTTAAATGAAATTATTACTGGCATAAAATAAAACTGGTATAACATGTGTAATTAAGTAAAAAAATCAAATAAAATTGATATAACGATGTGTAAATAAAGTGAAAATATTCAAGTTATTTTTCGATGTAAAAAATAGGATTTATTTTATAAATTGAAAGGGATTTAATATCCATAAATAAGTAGAATAATAATAATCTATAATACTTACAAATGCTCTAAACATTTCATGTCTGTAAAGAGATCAGATGTAAAATCCTCTATATTGTTTCCTCTGATGTCTCTAAAACAGACATTCGTTAAATCAGGGTATACAGCCAAGAAGTGATATCAAAAATTATATCAATTAAATATGGCGATGACGTATTCTCTTAATCATTTTGGTACATCAAATTACAGATTAAAAAAAAATTAAATTTTAAGTCTTTGATCAAATTGACTTTATATGCATAACTTACTCCTGAGATAAACGATCTCCAATAAAGATTGCACAATTTTGAATGGAGTTTTAGTTACTTATTACTATACTTTTTAATAATATTTTTAATGAAGATTTTTTGCACAAATTTTAATTTTTTAATTGCTAAAACTTTTCTTTCGAAGAAAAAATGATCATGTTTAAATTTTCTATCTCCTTATGGCTTATAAGAATTTATTTTTTAAAGTATTAATTAATTTATTTAATTTACAAATTGAAACTTGCTTCACGTAATGTAACTGCAGATTTTCTCTTTCAATAGCTAAACGATTTTATGATGATAAACTTTTATTTCTTTTAATATTAAAATTTCAAGTCTCTTAAAACTATTTTACAACCCAACTTATTTCGTTTTCCATGTATTTTTTTCTACGTCCAACCAAAGTACTTCAGCTTCTGGTGACACATCTTTTCTTACCTCTTTTCGAGAACAAGGTACTGCTGTCCATGGTTATGCTGCTTTTACGGTAAAAATATTATTTAGGCTCTAGTTTTTTAAGAAAAAAGTTTTAATTACTACGTTTTTCTATGTGGTTGCAATGATAAATTATTTATCTATCTTAAAATTGATTTATCTGATTTATAGACAATGATTTCACTGCAAGATTAACAAAAGTTTAAGGTACATTATTAGTAGTTTTCTTCTTACTTATTTATTCCCAATCTAAGATTAAATTTAAATTTATTTCAAAATTTTTCTTTTGTAATTGACTGGAAAATTTATTCTATGAGCTGAATAATTTTTTTTTTTTTTTTTTTTTTTTTTTTTTTAAAGAATTTATACACATTTCCACTTTGTGATCTTTGTTTTTACTGATAGGTCCTACAGTTAAAAATTACTTCATTAAAGAATTTTCCAACACTATTTTTGTTACCTGAACATTTTAAAATTTGTTTATTAATTTAAAACATTTTTATGCGCATATTCTATTTCTTCACTTTTGCCCCCATTAGGGGGATACTTCGACCACTACTAAGTGTAAGGAAGTGGTAGCCACTTTATTGAGGAAGCACCTAATAAGTGTGCCACTGTGAATTGCTATAAAGTGGCGGGCAGTTACAGCTATGCTTTCTGCAAGATTCGAACGCGAGCCCATAAGTATAGCAGTAGGTTAGGTTATTTAATTACAGCAAAGCCTCGAGGGCTATCTGCCTAAGGGGAGGGATGCCTTCGTGGAGGACTTTCTGAGGGAAATTGGCTCGTATACACGTTACACATGAGGAAAACGACGAAAACACCCATGCAGCTAGACCGTTCGCGGGACTCGAACCTCGGACCGAACTACCAGTGTTCAGCGACTTTACCGCTCGGCCGCTGGTGGGCCCATAACAGTAGGTGACACTAAATATTATACTGTTTGGGCGGCTATTGCTTTGCTTTTGTTTTTCAATCTTTTTTTTTTTTTCTTTTCCGTTCTGGCTTATTGAGGTTGTGCTGGAGAATGCATAGTTTGTTTTTGAATTATTTCGAGTTAAATTAAACTCGAAATAATTACTGCATCTATTAGCTCAGAAACAGACGTATTCGTTTGCATTTTTCGGTATACAATCTTCCTGAAGAAGATATGCTGGAAAATAAAATCCTTTAATATTTTCAACTTTTTCATCTATTTTCAGGCTTTTCACTCTTCTGGATTTGTAATTTTATAATCACCTAATGCAGTGTTTTTTTTTTTTTTTTTTTTTTTTTTTTTTTTTTTTTCAGTATTTGTCCCATTTCTTGTTTTTTGCTTTACCAAACTGAGCGTGATATTTGAATTTACTTTGAATTTATTGAATTCATATACGTAAGCACACAGAGCTACTCAGTGCTGAAATGAAGTACAATCTACGATCGAATAAATTGAATGAAGATCCAATAAAATATAATATATGATGTATGTTGAAGAAATATGAAAAATTATTGCTTTTAATGGTTACGAACGATCTAGCTCATATTTGAAGTTTTTCCTTTTATTGAGCAAAAACGAGCTCAACTCGGCTGAAGATTTCTGCCTAAAAGCACACACACGAGTAGTATCCATAAAGCAGAATTTTGTTCTTATCTCATGGCCGAGCTAACCTCATATCGGAAAATAATCTATAATATCCTTCGAAATTATATTCAATAACTAGCCCAGTCTAACAAAATGTGTGTATGTGTATGTGTATTTTAATTACGGCAAAGCACACTAGGGCTATCTGCCTAAGGGGAGGGATGCCTTTCGTGGAGGACTTTCTAAGGGAAACTGGCTCGTATACACGTTACACATGGGGAAAACCACGAAAACACCCATGCAGCCAGCCCGTTCGCGGAATTCGAACCTCGGACCGAACTACCAGTGTTCAGCGACTTTACCGCTCGGCCGCTGGTGGGCCTATGCCCAGTCTAACAAAATTTTACTACATACGTTTCGGTATAATTAACACTTAACCCGGTGTTTTTCTACTTTGTCATTTGGTTTTTTAAAATTGTGGCGTAAAAACAGTTGTCTATTAAGACAAACTGTGGGGCTTAGACACAGCATTCTTTTAGCATGTAATAAAAATAACTGCTGATTGATAAAAATTTGAGTAAATATATTCTAGCAGTAATAAATATCATTATCATTGATAAAGATCACAATATACTTTAATGCTAAGAAATACAGAACTTAGTTACTTACAAGAGTGTCACAGAATAAAGTCCATTAAAAGCACCGCTTTCAACTTTTTCTATATTGTTATTCTGAAGATTTCTAAAATCAAATTTCAGAAGATTTTAAACCTGTGTTTATTTTATGTGCATTAAATACTGAATAACATTGAATCACATTTCATATATACTAGATAAAGAATTGAGGAGGAAACGAAAGTTTCAGCCTTGATTTTACTTCAATATGTATAAATTTCGCTGAAACATCACAGAACAAGGTATAAAATAAAAATAGTTTTTTTCCAGCGAAAAGTACTAGTTTCTTCGAGCTATAGTTGAATAATAACTGAACTAATTCGGACGTTCTTATACAATTATCTAAAAAATAAATTATGGTTAAAAGATTATTCTGATTGAAAGGAAAGTAGAAACAAATTATTATTAAATAATTAAAATATATGTTATGATAAAAAAAAAATGTTTTAAATAACGAGAATAAAATTATTTAGGCAAATAAAATGTCGAAAAAGTAAAAGTTAGTAAACGTTAATCGAGTTAGTAAAAATTATTAAAAACATGTAGATACTTAGAAAATTTAATTTAAGATAATATATGTAATCATACAAGAATTTCTTTTTCCCTATTTGAATACTTCGTGGTATCTATAATATTCAGAAAATAAGTAAATTGTTTGTTTACTATACTTTTAAAATTATTATACGCATATATTTTCCGAAGAATTAGGTAATAACAACAAAAATCCTTATATTTTTACTGAAACATTAATTAATACTGCCTACTGCCTAAATTACACTAATAGTGATGTAGCCAGAAAAGCAATTCATATTGCATTAAGTCAAACAAATGTTACTGGCACGTATTATAGTATTTATGAATATAATAAAATCAAGCATATGTGCATAAAATGTGCTTCAAATTGTTGACAGCTGACTATATAATCAAGCATATGTGCATAAAATGTGCTTCAAATTGTTGACAGCTGACTATATAATCAAGCATATGTGCATAAAATGTGCTTCAAATTGTTGACAGCTGACTATATAATACAAGCATATGTGCATAAAATGTGCTTCAAATTGTTGAAAGCTGACTATATAATCTAGCATATGTGCATAAAATGTGCTTCAAATTGTTGACAGCTGAATATATGGTAAGGAAAAATATGACACGAATTAATGAAGGGATACTGCTTGAGTTTGAATAGTTATCGCCGTGAATTTCAATGTGAACTTTAGTGAAAGTTTTACGGTTGAGCAATGCTGTTTGTAGAATTTAGAAAAGGATTGTATTCATCATAGTTCTTTACAATTATGGAAATGAAGGAAATAAAATGACTTCCTAAATAATTTCAAAGATTCTCAGTTGGGTTAAGTTGTCGGATTATCCTGCACAATCGATACACAAAATATTTTTACCTTTATATATTAATATTTAAACAAAAAAGACACTTTCTTAACTACAATATAAAAATATCTCTGTTTTTTTGTAACTGGGCTCTTTTCCTCGCAATATTCTACTTTAATATCGGGGATCGATTTCAAGATGCTTCTGTGTGTATGCCCTTAAATGAATTGGGACAAATAATGATGAACACCATTATAGAAATTTGATGGAAGAATTAAGATAATTTGATTTCTTTAAAAACATTTTGCTAACTTTTTCAGATTCAATAATGACTTATCTCTCGGATATGCATAAAAAGTTGAAATTTCAGGGAGGTCCTTAGACACTCGCAAGTACTGCAATAAACATCACAAGAAGGATCTACTTAAGGAACTTTTTTACCTTCGGGAAGATTTTTCTAAAGCAAATGGTAGTATGAATACAAAGATTCAAGCGATATATATTCATACAAAGACTTAGGTTGTTCTAAGATAATTCATTTGGTCTTCAGCAGCTAAAAATGAACAAAAAACTCTGATTCAAGGTAAATTAATGAAATCTCTTTCGTGGAATAATTTTTCTATCTTCAGAGAAAGAGAAACTGGAAGTAGACTGTAATACTATTAGGTAGTTGATAAAAGCAAGACAGAAATATTTACATTTCAAAGGCTATGTTACCTGTTACTTCAAAATGTAATATGATACAACTAGACAGGTGATGTAAAGATGATAGAGTGTCGATGTAGAGTAAAACAAATAATTATGCTAAATTATTTCAAAAAAAAAAAAAAAAGATTCTGTGATGTTGCCCGCCTATGTTAGAAATTGTAGTTACTGCTACAGTTTTAATCAGTTACAAATTCTAACCCGCACAGTCTAACAATCTCAGAAAGTTTTTAATTTTGGAAACACAATCTTAATCTTCAGAAATTACATCAGAATTTTTGATATAACAGTAAAAAGAAAAGTGGGGTTTAGGAGTTATACAAGATGGTTAAGTTTATAATGCACATATAAGATTCCTCAGTTTGCTTGATAAACTACAGGACTCCTTAAGTCTCAGAACTTTAGAACATAGACAGGGAGGTCATAAGGAGAGGGATACATGCAAGGAAGTCAGTACTGCATGTCATTTGAAGCACAGAATTTCAAATCACATTGTAGCACTAGTCTAAATTTATAATATTTGGTCTTCACCGACTTTGTTAACCGTTCCATCTATATTCCAATTATTAAATAAAAGTTTTAAATGGTAAATGTTTTGAAACTAATCATAAATCATATTTTGAAGATTTTTCTTTATACCCTTAACTAACATCTTATTAAAATTAAATAATAAGAAAACATAAAAAGATAAAAATTACCGTGAATTGCTTAAATTTGAAACTGGATATTATATTAACATCCTTTTGAAGATTGTATGTAACAAATCATACTTACAAAATTCTATTATCATTCTTTTGAAGACTGTATATCACAAATCATACTTACAAAATTCTCAGGTTTGACATTCCGTGAAATGCACGCTTTCTTAAAACTCTCAGAGATGTTCCAGTTAAATTCCTGTTAAAAGAAAACTTTTTCTACAGAACAATGCTTGACGTATAATTTGCATGCATGCATAAGTTCTTAAAATGAAACAATCAAATATTAAAAGGTATAAAATTCTAGACATTTTAGCTTCATTTTTCTGTCATCAGCATGTTTGAATTCGGCAAGAATGACAAAATAATATAATTTTATGCTAAATATTTTAATTCAAAATTTTAATTATGTATTTTTTACGATAGCTGTCTTAGTTTGTCTATTCCTAATGTAGAAAAAGATGATGACTTATCTCTCGGATTGTCGGGAATCGTTTTTTCACAATAAATTTAAAGCTCAGGCATTCTGCTCATGTGCATTAATTTATTTTATATCTGATTAAAAATTCTTTAAAACTTTTTTCGGTATGATGAGTGATATATATCCCACTCATTCTTGATATTAAATAAGGCTTAAATAAATTTATTGCGCTATGGTAATTTAAAATTCCTCACTTAATGTGGACCAGGAGACAGATCTTGTTGATTGTTTTTCCTAATCTCTGCTGGTTAAATATCTAAAATACAGCGCACAAACCACTCACCTCCACGCTGAGCAACACGATTGGCGACCGTAGTTTTGGGCAGACAAAATAGCTCGAGATTGTTTATATCAGACCTTTTTCCATTACGATTCTAGCGTCGACTTTATAGGATATTTTTATATTACAGATCATGCTGAAAATGCTGCATGATGCCCTTGTGTTCGTGTCCCATTTATTTGTTCCTCAGGGGTTACCTAAAGGACCTCCTCTGGAAGATCGGAATTTGACTTCATAACAAGAGTTATTGTGTTCGTGATAAGCTTGATATTCTTGCACAGGCTTGTTAATATATGAGTCGACTTTAATAGGTATTATTGGTGGTGGATGTAATTTTGAGCACATTTTCTGTGATTTCTGCATGTGCACCTTAATATCCTGTAGCAAACAAATGGTGAAGAATAATTATGTTGTAATAAAATGTGTAAACTCTTTTTATTTGTTTATTCTTACTTATTTATGTTATATGGCTATTATTATTTAAATTAACCAGTTATTTATAATTTAGCCTTTACTATAATTTCTCCTATCCGTTTATTCACCACAATGCAAATCAGTTAAACTGAGGTTTTGGGATTGTAAGACAAAGCATATGCCTTGTCAGCGCGGGCACGCTGCGTTTAGTTCCCATCCACTCTGATAAGCTGTAATTATACGGCTTTGCGTTATCGCTACGAACATTTGAATTTGATACGCTGGTTAGAGTTATTGAGACAGATTGGAGTGAAATGTATTTGTGTAGTCCTTGACTACTATTCTCTGTTTTAAATTGACATTCAATGTTTATGTTTAATTGCATCACAATGAGCTGCGGTTTATTTGGTTAGCACGAGAACGTGCATTTATACACTAAGTTCTGTTTAAATTAAAAAGGTTTATTTAAACCTTTACCAGACTCTGTACTTACTTTTAGACATAACAATAGTTTACTTCACGTCTATTAGGGAAGGATTCACTAAGGAAATCCCATAACGTTTAGTATTTTAGGTAACATTTCCGAGCATATTTCCCTTTTATAATAAGGTTTCCCGATTTATGCTGGATCTACCTTTAAAGTTTAAACACATAATTTCTAATCACCTTCTAGGAAGAAAAACACTGAAAGATTTATAAAATATAGTAAAGTGAAAGTTCTTACAATGTAGTTAGATTAGTCAGATCATGGAAGGCTTCCGTTTCAATTTCTCTGATCGTAGGATTATTTTCCAAATTCCTGTAAAACAGATGTTTCGGCAATTAGTTTTCATTTAAAAGACATTCTTGTAAAACATTCATTTTATTAGATGACATGTATAACATCAAAACAATATTCAGTATCAGTAAAAACTATATTTAGTTATAAAATAAAAACTTAGAATGGAGTAAACTGCTTAGGATTTAAAATAATGGTACACTGATTTTTCTGAAAGATGAAGTTTCACCTGATTTCAACCTGTTACTGCGAAAGTCCTAGTTATTTGCTGAAGTATCATTTATGATAGAAAATGAATGAATAAATGGTATTTTGCTTAAAAGTAGTCAGTTTAGATTATAAGGCATTTCTCCCCCCTTCTCAGCATGCCTTCGTAGTGTAGTGGTCAGTACGCTCGGCGCGCATTCAAGAGTCCCGTGGTTCGAGTCCCGGCGAAGGCGTTGCTCATTTTTCATCTCTCCTGCTTCGAAGTAACTTGATGTCTCTAGAGTGGCGCCCGAACTAAATAAAGGTGGTGGATCATGATTTTCCACCACCAGGCTTAGGCGACTGGGTCCCCTAATCCCCAGCCGTCCTTTAAAAGGGAGCCTATATAAGGCATTTCTTCCGCCTTGTTAGCATGCCTTCGTGGTGTAGTGGTCAGCGCGTATTCGATAGGCCCGTGGTTCGAGTCTCGGTGATGGCATTGCTCATTTTTCATCTCTCCTGTTTTCAAAAAATACCTAATGTCTCTACATGTTTAACAGTTTTTTATTGCTCAATTTGATCCTAATAATTTTTTTCATTTAGCAAAAATATTCTAACATTTAAATATTTTAACATTTAGCAAAATATTTAGCAAAAATATTTTTTTTCATTTAGCAAAAATAGTATAATTTTATTAAATATAAAAATATTATTTTGCTATACTATATACTGATATTAAATTCTACACATACATTTGTTTTAAACTTAAAAACACATTAATGCATTAAATACTAATAGTATAGAAACTTCATTTTAATTTCAAATGTGAGATGTATTTTAGCTTTTCTACACAGTTTTCAATTATCGTCCCTTTCACATCACTACTAATAGGCTCTCTTGTTTCCACCAAGTGCGAAGATACGTAAATGATATATTATTAATTTATTATATAGGAATACCTTTCTATCGCACTTTTAACCTTTTCATCTCCCATCTGACAGCATTACTGTATTTAGTAAGAGTAAATTCAGCTACTGTTAGAAATTAGTATGAAACGCAGAGTGGCGTCTTTTCATTAGTAATTTAACATTATAATAATTAGTTCATTTAATAATTTAACTGCAAATACAAAGCAAATTTATTTTTTATTATACTTACTTATTTGCACGTGTATTTTTGGCTGTTTTCTAAAGACCTTTTCCACTTTTTTCTTAAATATGGCGTAAAAATGATGTCAAAAAGCGGAAATGAAGTATATTTTATAAAACGGTATGCATTGTTTAAAAGCTGCAAGATATACATGAACAAAAGTTCGCCCCAAACATAATTTATATAAAATATCGCATATTAAATGTGGGTTATACTTAAAACGGTCATTAAAAAGCGAGCCATTGCACGTTTTCTAGAGGTATATATCAAAAACTGACTAAAGCTTTCATTTGAAGACATTGGTTTGGGACCTAATTGTGACAGAAATATGCAAATTTCCATTCGTGAGAATAACATGAAATTCTAAAACTCTTAGTCAATCTCATTAAGAAACTTATTACATACAAAGACATCCCTTTGTCTAAACAAAGTTGAAATAGAAGCACTTTTATGAAAATATTAATGTTACAAGTCAGAGAGTACTTTCTTTTATATTCCTCGTTCTCTATAAAACTTTCTATATGTAGGATTTTAGATGATTGATTGTACAGGACTAGCAAAGGAAACTGACAGTATAAACGCAGGTAAACTGTATTTGTTATCAGGAAACGCTCAGTACAATTTTACAGAAGCAGACTTCAGGTTTAAGACCTCCACCTTTACTCTGTTTTCGTGACGTTTTTAACCCGTCCTATGATCACTGTTGACATCAGTCGAGCAATTAAGATGCGAATTTGAAACGAAACGCTATCTATATGTTTCAGTTTGCAAAAACAAATGCTGTTATTTAGAGAGTCATTTTAGAGCACGGGGTATGGAGAAAAATCTGCATCGATGTTGGGTTTGTCTATAGACCAGAGTACGTTTCTAGTATGCTGACCACAAAGAAGTCCATTTCTGACACTCTGTAACTACTCGCAGAGATACATCAAGGACTGAGATTTTGTTCATTCCGTTCCTAAAAGTTTAGACAATATAAAACAATGCATCAGAGCAGTTGCTTTGACTTTGACACAGACACGTTAGGATGTGATGAAACTTGTTTGACTATATTATGAATGCCTATTGTATTACAAAAAGATCGCAGAACATTTATAAATCAGGTAAGCAGATTTCAGAATATATTCTTCTAACCGTACAATTTAAAATATGTTATTAAAACTTTAACTTTGCAATGCATCTATTTCTTTGAAATTACCCCTCTTTATAAGGCAATCAAATATGATAATCAGGAAGTAAATAAAACATGGTGACTGTTATAAGTATTACCCACATTTCACTATTTTTAGCCGCACGTTGAGAGTTTTCAGCAGTTTCAGAAATATAGAAATCATCTAAAATAAGGATATAAATAGGATGCGAAATTATCAATTTCGTGTAGGCAACGTAATGCTGCAATAATTTGACACAGTATTACTTGTAGTTACATTACATGGTATAGAGGACTTTAATTTAACCTTAAAGTAATGAAAATAACCTTAAGCATTAAATTAATAAAAATAAATAACAGGAGAATAAACCTTTATAAGGAAGAGAAGGAAAATTATCGATATGCCAATAATCATTTTTTCAACTAAACCAAAGAGGAAGAGAGAAGAAATTACGAATAAAATTATCTGAAGACCCAAAGATAACAATGATTAAAACTTGCTCAGTAACTATCGAACTTGAATAATGCATTAGAAAACCTATAAATGTAGTTAATTAATTTATAATAAGATATAAATCTAAAATATTAAGATACAGATTTGATTGCCTTTGATTCGTACTTGTCAATTTTTGTTCTATGAAAACCGCTTTGTTTTTGAATACATTTATATTTGCATAGCTTTATTTCACAGTTGAAAATTAACCGGCGAGCATCTATAATCTGCGATGAAAATGTATTATCAATTGATAGCATCAGCCGTTAGGTGGCGCTGCGAGCGTCCTATCTGCTATTTAATGCGATGACTCAATTTTTGTTATAGAAGAACGAAAGTTAGTGGAGGAGTGTGCCTAATAATTATGTTTGCAAACCATTGCATATATGTAAATAAATTTCTGTGTGTTAATAACAAAGCAGAATCATCACTTACCTCTGGATTTAATGCTCGAACAGAAATCTAATGAATGGTAATGTAAATAATTATCACAAGATAAAATTTAATAACTTTTCTAAAAGGCTCATAAATTGTATCAAATCAAAACGCCATCAAGTTTCAGGCTGTAATTTAAGATTATTTACGTACCAAAATATGCATTTTTAATTACATGTTAAAAACACATTAGGGGAAAAAAAGAAAGAGACTGGTTTGGCATTATTTATCTTCAGTTTTTGCCCCACTTGGAAAGTTTTCTCCGAAAGCTTAGAATTTCACAGTTGTTTACCTTTTTAGTTTAATTTAAAGTAAGCAACTTAATGATTAGTTAAATACTATATTAAAGTTATTTGAAATAAATATCAGTCTAAAAATTTAGTATTTAGTATTCTGTCAGTATGTTTGAATTACAAAGTGTAATTAACAAAAATGTCTCTCAGATACCAAACTTCAGATTTAATGCAGAAAATAAATTTAAATTTGACTCCCCCCTTTTGGCTTACAATGATTAATATTATATTATGTTAGTATGTTTTAATAAATATTTAGTAAACCACATTTAAAATTTAGTTAAAATATGTTTTGTTCTATCGATAAAAAGATTTTCATTCTCTTAAAAATATTGCCTTTCAGCTGTTTACAGATCCTGCTTTATGATCCTGTTTCCTCTAACTCAAATTGCAGATTTATCGGACCATATGCGATTTGAGTTTGAGAACGCCGATCTAAACTAATTTCTGTTTTCAGTTATATGTTGAATTATATCTGTTTTCAGTTATATATGGTGAGTTAAAAAAAGGAACCTTTTGTAATAAGACCTGAAAATAAATAAAATAATTTCAGCTAAATACAGTTATGCAGTATTCACATAGATGGTATCACAGATAATTAGCGTTGATACTATTGGGTTGGCAACTAAGTAATTGCGGATTCTTTTTTAGAAAATCAAAGACAATTATTTTCATGGAACTAAATAACTTTATTCTGTAATGTATTGCCCATTTTGATCAATGACCTTTTGCCATCTTTCAGGCAGCATCATAATCCCACGTTCATAGAACTTCTGGTTTTTATTAGCAAAAACCTGAATCAGGTACGATTTGACATCATCATCATTATTGAAATTTTTACCATTCAAAGAGTTTTGTAAAGATCGAAACAAAAAGTAATCATATGGTGCAAGGTTAGGACTATATGGTGGATGTAGCAAAACATCCCAACCAAGCTCCAATAATTTTTGCCGAGTGACCAAAGATGTGTGTGGCCTTGCATTGTCATGATGGAATACAACACCTTTTCGATTTGTCAATTCGGGCCGCTTTTTTTCAACTGCATTTTTTAATTTCGTTAGTTGTTCAATGTAGACATCAGAATTGATCGTTCGGTTGGTTGGTAAGAGTTCAAAGTAGACAATTCCTTTGTAATCCCCCAAATTGATAACAAAACCTTCTTTTGATGAATATCAGCTTTTGATGTTGTTTGAGTTGGTTAACCTGGCCTGCTCCACGATATTTTCCGCTTGATATTGTTGTAAACAACCCATTTTTCATCGCCAGTTATCAGCATTTTTAAAAATGGATCATTTTCATTACGTTTCTTTAGCAAATCGCAGCTGTTAATACGTTGCGTTAAATGAGGAACCCATGTATCGAGTTTTTGAACATAGCCAAGTTGTTTTAAGTGATTTTCAATGCATGTATGTGATACATGAAGGTTCTCTGCAATCTCACGTGTTGTACTGTGACGATCCAAATCGATTATTGCTTTGATTAGGTCGTCATCAACTTCAACTGGACGACCATAGCGTTTTTCATCTTTGAGTGAAAAATCACCAGAACGAAATTTGGCAAACCAATTTTGACACTGCCGTTCTTATAAGGCTTCGTCACCATAAACATCACATAACTTTTTATGAGCTTGCGATGCGTTTTTCCCTTTGCGGAGATAAAAAAGCAAAATATGACAAAAATGTTCCTTTTGATTTTCCATTTTTCAACGAACGCCAAACAAAACTACGCGTCCGATCAAAAAACGTTTTTTACTAATTGACAGCTGAATTGCCAACTATCAAATAACAAAATGTGTTTTACATTTGTACTACTTCTGCAACCCTAAAAATTCAATTGAAGCCATCTATGAGTGAAATTCGCAATTACTTAGTTGCCAACCTAATATTTGATAATAAGAACGATAAAATGTTTACTTACAGAACTGTCACAGAATGAAGTCCAACAAAAGCACCGGTTTCCACTTTTTCTATTTTATTATTCTGCAAGTTTCTAGAAAGAATTTTACACTGATTTTAAAACTGTAACTTCCGCTTACAAATATAAGACACTAAATACTGAGATAATATTAAAAATATTTTCAGCACGTTTGAGAAGAATAACGGTAAGAGGAGAATGCTAATTTCTAATTCTATACCAATTTTAAAGCACTGAAGGAAAATTTGAGGATACAGAAACGAAAGAAGTACGATAAAAGGCAAAATATGGTCAGTAAAGACGTGTTGGAGTTCTTAAAGTGAAATGAATATTATAATAGAGAAATGTCTCTAAAAAGTTTGATCATGAAACTTGTAGAGTTATTGAATATTTTATGGGAGGAACAGGAGACACGAAATGCGGAGTGGCATCCTCTAAAATCGATCACCGGATATGAAAACTGCTAGCCGGACGTGCTTCCAAATACAGCACGAAAAGACATAACAAGGAAGGAGAAAATACCTTAAATACTCCTTCCCTGAAAGAGCGATTGGGTATTGGGACACCGAATTTCCAAATTCTGCTGGTGACGAATTACAATTTACTACCTTTTAGTTCAGGGTCCACTTTAGAAATCATATACAAATTTTTTCGAAGCGAGGAAACAGAAAAATCCGCAGTGCCCTTGACGGGATTCGAACACGGACTTTCGATTGTAGCAAGGTGTTCTTTCTAATTACAACACGCGGAAAGGAGAGTTTGATTTATTTTTTGGTTTTGTTTATTTTGATTAAGGCAAAGCACGCGAAAGTTATCTACCAAAGGGGCGGGATACGTTCGTGGTCAATTTATAAGAGAAAACATTTTATATTCACGTTACACATGATCAAAACCGCGGAAATGTCCATGCAGACGGTCCGTTAGCCTAAGTCGAACTCATGTTAAACTACAATGTGTTCAGTGATTTTACTGCTCAGCCGCTGATTGTCTGTGGTATGAAAGGGATAAATACCTCATAAATGATGATTAGATTTTAACAAAATTGTCTATTAATAATACAGAGAAATATGTAAAAACTGAAATATAGTCATGCTAAGACACACTACAGGCGTTTCCCACGCTGTTCGTTCCATATATTTGTTTGCAAATTGTTACTAGGTTCGTTATATATATCTCCTGAAAATTTTCATGATACTAAGACAAGAAAATAATATATTTTAAATTTTAAATACAGTATATAATAAATAAAAAAATAAAGAAAGAAAGAATTTGTTATAAAGTACGTATCGTGGATTGTAGCGTTTGAGGCATGTATGACTGGGTGTGTATGAGGATAATAAATCTTTAAATGGATGAGAAGCGTCAACGTCTGACTCGTCCTCTGAATACTCATCGACAGGTAAAAATGCTATTTAATGATGAGGAGGTTGTATGAGAGGTGACAGGAGTGTGTGTATGTGTTAGATGGCACAGCAAAACTAACTACTGAAGTTTCGTTCTGAGGGCAAGATGCCTTCATAGAGGATCTTTTAAACTGAAAATACCTCGTATTCGCACTACAAGCGGAGGGAATCCACGGAATATGCCCATGAGGCAACTTTAAACGATTTTTTTTCCAATGTGCATAATTAGGTGAACAGGAAATACTCGGGAGATAAAATTTTGAGCTCTTTTCGTCAAGTATTTATTTCATCTCTTTCTAAAAAGTAGAATTTGGAAACTTCCATTAACTAAAAATCTTAATACTACTTTGCACAGTATTTATACGTGAGTACGGGTTCGAAATGGATTGAATGCCCACAGTACCAATGATAGTTTCATAAAATTTATTTTCCCCAAAGAAATGCTGTATAGTTCTGGAACTTTTCTCAAAAGCACTCGTATAGCTACTTTCAGTATGACAGAACACAAATCAGTAGTTGCCATTTCAAACTACCACGAACGTTAAACTCAACGCATCCAAAGAACGAATTTTGCATGGGGATCTCTCAATACTCTGAACTAAAACCTGAGAGCTAATGCCATCTCGGGTTTTATATAGTTTTGCCCGGGTGCGGAGAAATTTCCAGTACCTTCGATTTCTGGAAATTACTGCAAGTTACAGTTACAATTACAAAGCAATAGGATAATTACAGCTATAACGAGATCAATCCAAAATGTCGCCAAATGGTCAGCTAGCTTGGCAAATTTGGAGCTTTTTCGCCAAATCTGGCAACAAAAATTAGTCGCCACAACCATTGCCAGCTTAACGCTAACTCACGAAGTCATTTACCTCAATGTTAAATGGAATAACCCTTGTAGCCTTATTTATCCTGGCAGAACTTCATTCTCTTGAGGCCTTTCGTATTACATTATGCAAGAGATGCTACAATTTTGCATATAATTTCGCTAAAATTATTCATATATGTGCAAAATTCGTAGCCGGCCAGAGGGGATATTTGTTAGTGATTCTGACTGCCGTACCGAAGGGCATGGGTTCGAATCGCGGAGAACGCATGGATATTTGTAAATGTATAGTGTCTTTGCGAAATTAGGACACTCTAAATATATGGCCAGCCGCAAGGTCCTCTCGTGTGTTTGGGTGGTACGGGAGAGGAGACTTCTCCCCTCCCCCCTGGGATGCCCTCCCTCAAAACTGGGGTTGAAGTAGAAATCCAACGTTCTTGAGGCTCTGGCAACCATTCTTCCATGAAATATGGACGTGCCAAGAAACAAATAAAATTTGTAGCACTATTACTATTCTGCTTAAAGAATGTCAACCATAAATAATACTTACAAAGTCCTTAGTTCAGGCATTCCATAAAATACATTCGTTCTTAAAATCTTAAGAGATGTTCCAGTTAGATTCCTGCGAAATAAAATATTTTCTAATGAATTATGTGTGACCTAAAATTTTCTCAGACAAGTTAGAGTTCCAAATTAAAGCGAAAGAATTTTGCGCATTGTAGTACTTATAAAATATTAATATTTATAATTTGTCAGCCGTATCTTCCCACATGGCTGTGCTTAAAATAAATTGAATAAAAAGCGATTATTAAGTACATAACATGATTTAGGTCCAAAGTAATTATGTAATACGATTTTGTAACTAACTTTAATAAAATTCAAATGCTTAAAATAAAATGAATTAATGACCCTTTTGTAAAAATATAATTTTCATGCATTTACGTGAATTTTTAATTTTACTGGTTCAAAAATAAATTATACAGGTATTTCAATGCTTCATAGGAAACAATGAGTTACAAATGTATTTTCTTCCTTTAATAATTAAAATATAACATCTGTTGGGAAATTTGCATTTCTCCCTTGGGTGCGCAGTGTTGAAGACATGTAAAGTTCAACGCTATATAGACCCGATGTAAAAGCCAAGACGTTGTCTCTGTGTCTGTGAGAAGACTGTGTGTCTTCCCATCATCCAGGCATCGACGTGGCCAGTAGCCAGACGTGCTCGTAATTCTCTTCAACGTCGTATGGCGAGTTGATGTATAGAATCCTGACGTAGAAAGGATCTATCGAAGATTACAATGGAAACAGAAATCTAGTCGAATGTTCCAGACAGCATTTATGTGAAGTATCTTATGGAACCGTTACAGCCAAGTACCTCGAAACATACCAATGAAGTTAATCGACCGATATCCATCCTCCCATCTTCTTCCTGGTTTGTTTATTCCTCATATCCTGTTAATTGGTTTTGTAAAACTCAAGCACCCATTAAAGTTTATGTTTAACATACAGCATGATGTTCGTTTAGTAAGGAACCAGGTTCCCCACTACGACAAAACTCTCATCATCAATAAATTAAAATCCAACAACATGAAAGTATAATTTTCTTTAGTTTGAGGGCCAATGTTTATTTCATAATCTTTTAAAATACCTGCAGTTTAGCTCAAGATCTTTAAAATGAATTCTTTCAGTGATGTCGCGAATTCTCTTTTTGTATTTGTACTCTCATGTAGCATTCATTTCCGATCGAATATCGCGATCAATTATTAGCTATTAATGTGATCGAATATCATATAAATTGAAATTAATTAACTAGTTAAAGTAATTAAATAAATAAATTCTTTTCAATGCAGCAAACTCCATAAGAGAATTTCTAGTGACTACCTATAAGCAAAAGTTCCATAATAAGATGGAAATATAAATTTTGGTACAGTTTTAAATATTAAAGCAATAAATCACATTTCTGTTCTAAGTCTGAAATTTAATAAAATTAATAATCAAGGTCATTGTTTTTCGTACTTGACATATGATACAATATTTTGCTACTTTATCAGTTAAAAGTATAACGTTTATTTGATAGGAAAGTTACAAGAGTTTTAAAATAAAATGCAATGAAAGGAGAAAACTTACAGTGTTGTCAAGCTATTGAGACCATCAAACGCTTTCGATTTTATTTCTGTGATAGTAGGATTATTCGCCAGGATCCTATTAAAAATGATTATTTTAGTAATGCCTATTAAAATGCCTCTTTTATTAAAATTAATTTGTAATAAACATTTTAAAACTTCATTTTATTAGCTAATGCACAACAATTAGGAATAGTATTGAATATAAATTCTGAAGTTATATAGAACTCTAAACCAATAATTATAAATGCAATAGTTCGCTGAATACTTACAATAAACGTACATTCATAAGTCCTTCGAATGCTGAAGTTTCAATAAATGTCAGCTCATTATTGCTGAGGTCTCTGAAAGCAATAAATAATTATTATAATACTTAAAAGTAATAGGACGTTTAGTTACAGCGCATTTAAAAATGAAACAAGAAGAATGGTGTTATTTTATTTAAATGAGATATTTATTTACATCCTCATTTGCCTTCAACTTATTAAAACATATTGACACACAAAAATACTGTAAACATTTACGTTTTATACTGTATCGTAATCTTTTGTATATGCCCACCAGCGGCCGAACGGTAAAGTCGTTGAACGCTGGTAGTTCGGTCCGAGGTTCGAATCCAGCGAACGGGCTTGGTGCATGGGTGTTTTCGTGGTTTTCCCCATGTGTAACGTGTATACGAGCCAGTTCTCTTAGAAGGTCCTCCACGAAGGCATGTCTCCTCTTAGGCAGATATCCCTCGAGGCTTTGCCGTAATTAAATAACTTAACCGTAATCTTTTATACTACATAAAGGCATACTATTGAAAATTTAGATTGAATAATTAGCCTTATTGAATGTGTATATCAGTGGCACATAAAATCTAAATTTTCATTTTTTTGAAACTAGCAAAAGCAAAAGAGAATTTTTGACGGATATTTTATGATAAAAATTTAGCTTTAAATGAGGAAAAGGTCATAATTTTTTAATTTTGTAAATAAAATATTCGTTATGATATATTAGCCTAAGTTCGGAAATCGGTCTTCAATTAAGGGGTGTTGGAACCCCAAAATCTTCAAAAAATTGTGAATTCGGATTTTTGCATTTTCAAACTATCTACACTTTTATCTTTCTAAAAATACCATTCCTTAATCCTTATGAAAATTAGAACTGTAAAAAAGTCTAGTTTTAATTTGTCATCTACTGCTTTGATCAATGAGGATTGGATTGGATTGGATTGGATTATTCAATTATGGCAAAGCACACGAGGGCTATCTGCCTAAGGGGAGGGATGCCTTCGTGGAGGACTTTCTAAGGGAAACTGGCTCGTATACACGTTACACATGGGGAAAACCACGAAAACGCCCATGCAGCCAGCAAGGTCGCGGGATTCGAACCTCAGACCGAACTACCAATGTTCAGCGTCTTTAACGCTCGGCCGCTGGTGGGCTTTGATCATTGAGGATTTTTACATAAAAACGCGTTTTTCTCCAAACGTGATTTTTTTATACTCGATATACCTTTTCTCAGGAACAACTGCTCACAGGTATCTAAACTTTTTATGGCTTATTTATTAGGTTCCCTTACATTTACTGACATGAGCTTTTTGTAATAAACCTAGGAAAAAAAATTTTAATTTTTTGTGTTAAATTTCACTATGCCTAGCAAAATATTCTGTAATTTACTCTAAAATTCAAAATGTTTCAAAAGCTTATTTCAGTACAATCAGATAGGTATACTTTAATTACAGAAAAAATTTCAAGCTTGTATCTACAACAGATTTTGAGAAAAGGTACATCGAAAATGGCCAATTTTACATTGTCTGTAATGGGGTTTCTGATACCCCTTAAATTAGTATTCGTCATTTAGCATACTATTTGAAACTTTGCCATTATTTTTATAACAAGATGATGTTCCTCAAAAAAAAAAAAAAAAAAAAAAAAAAAAGACCTCAATAGCGAAAATTGTTCTAAATATATGAACGTATTGAAGAAAATTTTACTAATTAATCTACATATTTTTACTGAAATTTCAAAAATGGAAAAGAACTACATGATATTTTATGTTATTTTCTTAAAAGCGATCCCCAATACCTTAAAAATATAATACAGAATTTGAAATTGAAAATCAAGCAAATCTAGACAGCTATCAAAACTTTAAAACTCTTTCCCTACATTTGTAAAAGGAGATATTTAAAAAAGAGAAAGTCATGCAGTTAAATGTATGAGTTATAAATAAGTTAAAGCTATAAATTAATACGCAGAATAGTTCCTTACAGCTTGTAGAGGTTTCTCAGACGTGTAAAACGTTTTCCCGGCAGAACACTTAAGTGATTATGCTGCAATATCCTAAAAGTTAAAAAAAAATATATTAATTCTTCGGTTGAAAACTTGACACAAGCACTTGCTTAGCACACGGTATATCACACAGGGAGCGAAAAATAATAATAAGCTAATAATAAGCCCTCTAAAATTAAAATATATAAAAGAAGTCTATGGTCTATGTCTATGTATATATAAAAAATATAAAAGAAATAAGTCCATAAAAACTTAGATGTTAATAAACTGAACATAAAGTAACGAACATTTAACTCTATTAAATGTTTATTTGGACTTCGTCATCGCATAATTTATTCATTTTATATTATTTTTCATTACATGAAGTAATAATTAAATCCCTTTTTATTATTATCCATAAATTATTCACAATTTATCCATAAATATTATTTATTCGGCGAAATGGATTTCTTTGAAGCTTTACACGTTCACAAAAATTTACCTTACGAAAATAACCTTCGAGTGGAATTAACTACATATAAAAAAGGATTTGCCATGCACTTTTATACATGAGAACACATTTTTAAGCAGTGTTAGAAGAACATAGATTTAATACAAATCATATTTTAGTTATGACATAATTTATGGTAAATTATTCCCATACCATTTATTTATGCAATGTCAATAAACGCTCTAGAAAGATAACCTTCGAGTGCATTACCATAATTAACTAAACAAATCAACAAACATTATAAAACTCTTGCATTTCGTTGCATTATTGTACATGTATAAGAAAACTTTAACTTGAATTCATGCATTGTTATACATTAAATTTCCAGATATAAACCTGAAATAATGATATATCTTACAGTTCTCCGAGAGTCCAGTAATATGAAAAGTCTGTTTTCTCTAAGTCGAGGTGATTGAAACTGAAATCTCTGAAATATTAATATAAGATAATAAGTTTTAAAGTGAAGATACGTAAGACGTGTAAAAACAATCACTCAAATACTTCATGCTCTTTATTTAAAACTAAATATAATTTAATAAGTTTCAGAGTAAGAAACTTGCAAATACAGCTGGGTTATTTTTGAAACATAATCATTCATGGAAGAAGAGAACAAAAATAGTATGTTATTTTATCAGAATAATGTGATAACAATGATAATAGTTTTCAGTTTCTCCAATTTCCGTGACACACTGAAACTAAGTGACATATGAAGCAACAGATAAATGGTTATTTTCTACAGATTAACCTAATGTAAGTAAACTAATATTTCGAATACAAAGCAAATACAATAGACGTACACTTTGAATTTGTTGCACATAACATTACTGAAACATGTATGGATAATTTTTATAACTTTTTAAAGCTGTTTGTGACCAGACTATATCACTTTTATAAAAATATTTTCAGTTTAAATCGCTATGTATATGTACACAGAACAGTGTAATTATAGTCGAAACTTGCTGTGTAATTATAGTCGAACAGTGTAATTATAGTCGAAATAGTGTAATTATAGACGACCATTCATTGCAGCAATCATTCCATTACATCAACTAAGGATAGTACATAGGCTCTTCGAGCATTTTCTGATGATTTTCATTCCATTTACAGAAATATTTTACCCAAATGGTTTGTGTTTTAATTGGTTATGTCTGATAACACTTATTCTTCTCTATCATTCTACACGTGATTTCCAAGACATAATGTCGTTTGCTGTATCGGAAGAGGTATTTTATCCCATTCCACTTGAACAGCTTTCCAAAGTCCAAGGAGGGTTGTAGATGGACGTTTGGACAATTTGCTTTTTTAAAGCCCAAAAGCGTAAAAATACGTGGATCAGGAGATTTAGTAGAGATACGAGTGAAAGGAACCTGATACATGTTTCTTGTTCCATTTATTTCCAGGAAACTGACAATGGATTTTGACGTGCGGCTGTTTGTTTTGTCGTTATGCAGTTTTACTGATTGATGGCATTGTGGGTAAAGAGAAGGTATTTTATATTTGAAAATTAGGTATAAAATATATTCCTGATAATATCTGAAGTTGACATTAACCATTTTCTGTACTCTTTTTAATTTTTATTTGTCGTTATATCAAAAACCAGCAACAATCATAAACCTCCTTGAAAAACTTTCTTTGTATTTCTTGAACCATATTTTAATTTTCTCTTCACTTTGATGGTAATAAGAAATGGATCTCTTATTGCAGTCATTTAAAAGCATCTAAAATTCATCTTTTGTGACCACATGTCACCAGTTTAGTCCGGATAAATGTTTCTCACGAAGAATTCTACAGCGTGTTCTACTTTCATAAATATGTCGTAGAGAAAGACGATGCATATTATGTTTTTTCGCCATTTTAAGATTCAGAGCAGTTACCTTTGCAACATTCGAAACATTCCGTTTTTTCTGTTGGATATGTAACTGGAACAGTTTTTCAACTTGAAACCACACTCTGTAGTTTTTCTTTTCCTTTCCTTTTGACAATATTATCTATCGTATCTTTAGATATCGAAACTTAAGGCTTTCACAGCGTTTTTTAATAACTAGATACGAGTAACTTCTTTCGGAAAGAACACAAATATATACCTTTCCATTCATTGCTTCTTTAAAAGCACCATTCTGCATGAAAACTAAAATGTCAAGTAGCAGACGATAATTTATACTTTCAAAAATATAGTTGCATTTAAAAAGAATTATAAGCAGACTATTTCTTTATAGAAAAGCAAAGTTTTCTAAAAATGTGCGAACAGCTTCAGTATATTAAATACATTTTCGATATAGCTATCAATCGTAATATCACATTATTAGAAGGACACCAGAAATCGTTATAATAATCGTCATCTGATATGGTTGCAAGAACTATTTCTATTAATTCCTCTGAATAATATTTAAAATTGAATAAACCATAGTTATATGAATTCATTTAAATTCATTTTTTTTCAAATTCTTATACACGGATTATTTTTCGAAGGTCAAGTGAATTTCTTGCAAACGTGCAATTAAATAAATTACATATGTACCTATTGATTCAAGTCACACAGATTAGTTGTCAGATTGATTGAGTAAATAATTTAGAAAATTAACCACACGGACTTGCTGAACATGTGTAAAGTATTTAAAGTTATCCTAAGGTTTAACAGTTAATATTTAATTAAAGCCACTTTCCTATCGTTCTTAATTTCAGCCTACAATTTCCTTCCAGAACGTGTTTTCAGAATCGCGGTTAAATGCAAATGAAGGAAGAGGAAGTATTTAAAGTTTAAGTTCTACTGACTTCGTTAGAGAGCCAAAGATTCTGACCAGCGCGCATTCGCCTTTTAGGCTACACTCTCTCTAAGCTATTTCTACGCTCGGCCATATTTCAGACCCTTGATAGCTTCGCCGTTTAGTTAGCGTTTAGGAGCCAACTCCTGTAGAATTGTGATAGCTTCGACTATTAAGTTAAGTTTAGTTAAATTTCATTCCTTAGCATTCTTGAGTTCAAGCCCAAGTAGAGGCATTTTTGCATGTTCTTAGACAAGACCATCTATTAAATTCATTTTAAGCAATAAAGGGTAATTAACCCTTCCTGAGTATCTGTTCTCTGTCTACTGAACTAATGCGATTATTCGCTTACCAATTCTCAAGGTTCCACCCATTTTAGCTGTAAATTATAGGTTGGAACATTACAAGTATTTTAAATACCAGAATGTAAAAGCTAACATTTTCAAATAAAGAGTCTTGTTTCATGTGCAACTATATCTTTTAAACAGGAAAATAATTAAATTGCAATAAAATATCTAATTATACAATATTTTGATAACTTACAGTTTTCGCACATCATGAGGCAGATTACTTGGTAATACAGACGCATTTTGATGCAAGCAGGCGACGAATAGAGCATAGCACACACAATTCTCGGGGCAAACCATATCTTAAAGTTAAATGAAAATAAAAAATTAATTACATTTGGAAGATACATTTAAATATCAAATACTAAAATGGGTATTCATTATGTGGATTTCAGTTTGGTACTCTGAAAGTTAATTAAAAATATGAAATGAACGCGAAAATTGATTTTAATTAATGGAACATCTTGGAATACCTGAAATGAATAAATCTTAGAAATACCCTTTTCATCAAGGGGATACCCTTTTCATTAACGATAATATGAATTTAAATAATCAAATATTCTAAAATGACTGGATCTAAAAGTATCATGATAAAACTGTAACTATATACCTCATATATATATTCAGAGTTCATTTTATGAGGGAAGTGAGGTTTTCATATAATTTCTTACATTAGAGTCGTGTTCGCTATCCGCGGTTGACATTCCGTCTGAATAAAAAATTCTAAATGTGCGGTTGTGCGACGGAATATAATATAGTTTGATACAGCAAAACATATACGCCTTATATGGTTTTACCATAATAATGAGGATTATGAGTTTCTGCAAATTTCAAGACCTATGTAATTTATTTAGGGAACTTAAAATACCACAGAACCGCACCTGTGCACTTAGTTACATGCCACACCTTAGATTCATGTATTTGTTTTGTATGCGCCATTCTTGATGGCTATAGATGGTTATATTCCGTCATATGACCATGGCCAACCTCTATGATTTACTTACCTTGACAGAAAGATGCAGTTTAAACTGATCTTTATTTAATTAAGATACAATAACACGCCGAACAAATATTTAATTTAGAAGTCAAACAACAAAAATTAGCGTTATATTTTCAAATTTTCACAGGACTAGTTTCGATGGTTTTACCGAACATCATTGTAAGCTGCCTAGTCCTGTGAAAATTTGAAAATATAACGCTGATTTTTGTTGTTTGGCTTCTAAATTAATACTTGTTAGGCGTGTTATTGTATCTTAATAACTATGTGACTTTTACCCTGCTTGAAGATAATAAAGAGGATTTAAATAAAGTTCTTTCAACAATGAATTCCATTGATCCTGCTATTCAGTTCACTCTTGAACTTGGGACTTGCATTTCTCTTCCGTTTCTCGACGTTCTGGTCGCACGTAACACATCCAACTTCAGTACTACGGTTTACCGTAAACCTTCATCGGTTTGCCTTCCACCACACTTCAATTCCTGTCATCCGACTAAACAAAAAGTTAACATCATTTTATTCCTATATTTGCCGTGCCCTTCAAGTTTGCTCCTCCAAACTATCCCTTGATGAAGAACTAAATTATTTAAAAGCAATAGCTATTGACAGGAGCGTTTCATCCAACATTATTAATCAAGCAGTTAAAAAATCGCGGCTGGGGCTATAAATTTAAATTTAATTTTTTGTTTTCGATTATCCTCTAGAAATGAAGAGCAAAATCTATTGTAAAATCTTATTAAATGTTAATTCTTTAAAAGATTGAGGTAAATCTATGACAAAGTAGAAGTAATAGAAGTTTTAATTGCAATGGAATTCATAATAAAAAACTCAAAGTGCTAAAAATACATATAACAAAATAAAAATGGAGATGAAAAGAAAATGAATTATTGTTGATTCTATAGAAGAAGGCTGACTTTTCTAAAAGAATTAATCATTTTCCATAATATCCATAATAATTAAGGAACGATACCATTCGTCTGCTTCGTATATGTGTAGGAAATTCTTTTGAAAATTAGAAAAAAAGCTAAGAAATATAATATTTTTGGATTTAAATTAGACGTTTTTATATACAAAGCAATTTCCCAACACGATCTACCTATTTACAAAATGTTTTCAAATCAACAAAAATTAAATTTCATTTGATGTGTATTTTTATTTTAATTTTGATATGTATTTTTTAATACTGTAAGTTCTTTAATATTAATTGGAGCATCGCAGTTTAATGAAATAGTTCATATTCCACAGATTAAGGCTTCAGTATTCATTGATCTTTTTACCACAATTGATTTCATCAATAATCAATTACAAGCATATATTTCGAAGTTCGATACATACCACACAACAGCTCGTCGTCGCCGTTAGGACAATCTTTTTTTCCATCGCATAGCTTGTCCACCGGTAGACAGGAACTGCCATTATGGCATTTGTAGTGTCCAGGACAGCTGTATGAATCTGAAAGAGAAATATGATCCATTAAAAAAGATACGCATTATTTATTATTTGCCGAGTTCAATAAACGAAATTCTTAATATTTTCCTGTCAAAGTTATTTCAAAGACTGCGTTGTTTTAACATAAATACATAACAAGCTGATATCCAGACCATTTGATTAAGATCATTATGTAATGTGGGAAAGACGTAATATTAAGTCAAACACGGGAAAGGATCCTTCAAAGCAGTGTAACAAGAAAAATATATACTTCTCCAAATAAACTCTTCAAAATTAAATTAGTATATCAGTGACCGAAAGCAGTCTGACTTGTTGTTTGACGCTTTTTTATACTCCCAGCTATACGTGAAAAAGTATCGCTATTCAACTATTAATGTCTGAGAGGTTACAGCAACTCCACAGATAATTTCAGCAAAGGTAATCACTATATGGGTATAATCACGGAAAATTACTGCACCGTAACTACTGACAGACTAGCAAAAGATCCGTACCCCAGCATTAAAACGCGTAATAACTCGCCAGACCTTTCACCCTACTCAGACGTTTAATCTGATTGGATTGCTTGTGCCACTAATCGCTACCTGTATTTGTTACAACGCAAATCAAGAGGTATCGTTAAAATCTACATCCAAGAAAACTTTGTGGAGAAAAAAACGCGACGGATAACCTCAATTATCCGAAACATTGTAGCAGAAATGAAGAGAAACGTAATCATATCATGTGTCAAGCAACGCAACCTTATAGTGTATACTCCAACTGGACTGACGGGAAATATGAAGGAAAATAAATTTGGACTTTTCTATGCTTTAGTACACGACAATACATCTAGCATGATATCCATTTATCTGGAGTGAAATATCGAACTGCTTTGTTCGCAAAATATCGCTGAAGTACTTTATTACAAAGATGGAGGTGTTATAGGATCAAATACAGATTAAAGGGTATGTAGCGCTTTTTATGCTGGAAAGCAGCATCATGGATGCTCAGAATTGTTTGACTGAGACTGTGTTACCTGATGTAATTAATTCTTAAAGTGCTGTTGGAAATTTATTCATCTTTATGGATAGTAAAGTCAGGTGTAATAATTCATCCTATGCTGATGACGAAGTCAAAGCGAAAGAAACCAGTGAATGAACTCGCCACCAAACGTGCTTTGCCTAAATATCACAAAATAAAGATGAGATGATGAGAAGAAGCTTTCTGAACTCTTTACCAAGCACTAAAAAAATGGTTATGGCGCAGGAATAGAAAGATGAAACCTCTTTTAGGATTACATGAATAATCTTATTAAGAGGTGCACCACTTCTATTGGTTATTGATTACAGTCAAGAAGAAATATACACCATATTAAATTCATACCGTAGTATATTATCCTATGTTTTGATCGTTCTTCAACTTCTCTGCAAACTGTGATTTTATTGTTCCTGTTTCTTTTCATTTTTTTTGTTGTTATTCAAAGAAAATGTGCTTAGCTTTTATGAGTACATACGTTTTTATTCAGTCTGCTGTTCTTTTTCCTCAAAAGAAATATGTCGTGAAAACTCAAAGGAAGTATAGATGCCAATGCCAATAATCTTCAGAAGTTATTTGCAGAATTATAATTATTTACGATAGCAGTGTTGCAACCCATTCTTATGCTTAAGTGCTGCTTAGAAATTAATGTTCAACAAACTGTATCATAGAAATAAATAACAAATATACCTACCGCATTCTTTTTCATCTCCTCCTCCAATGCAGTCCCATTGCCCATTGCAAACGTAACGTAAAGGTATGCAGTAAGAACCTGGGCACTTTACGTAGTCTTTGGGGCAAACAAAAGTTTCTGCATAGCAAAAAAAGGTACCTTTTTTTAAATGCAATACTAATATCAATACATAATATGTGCTTCAATAACCCGTAAATATTTAGATTTAATTTCAAAGCTATTTTTGAGCATTTCATTTGTAGATATTTTTGAAAATTAAATTGGAAAATATTTGCGAATTATTACGTTTAGTGTATTTTCATTTTTATGTTAGTAGCAAATAGGGAAAAAGAATGCCAATTTAAACTTTAAAATTAGATTAAATTCTGTGTTAGATTGGAATTTATTTTAAGAAAACACGTTCTGCATTTTGAGGAAATTTGAGACTAGTCCGACTTTTTTAAAAAGCAAGCTTATTCTGAGAATATTTTAAAATAAAAAGCTTAAACAAAATCAGTATTATAAAATACCGTGCTATGAAATACGATCGATATATCGATATACATTATAGCACGGCTTAATGCAGTAAATGTAGCATACGCCAAAGGGTCACCTAAAAATCAGCGAATGCTGCATAGTATTCTTCTTAATATACATTCTCTATTTCTTAATTCTACATGCTACTGAATAAAACATTATAAAGCACACACCAGCTGTGGCACTTTAGTTGAGTCTTACTAACAAACTGAATTTAATCTTCATCTTTCCCATATACCTTATTTTCATCGCTGATTCGCTCCTTTATGAGGATCTGAGTGACAAGTAGTTTAGTATAAATTTAATGAAAGTAATCAGAACGTTATTCGAATTTGGATTAAAATTGGTGCTTGCCCGTTTAGAGGTTTTATTCTGCATTTATGATAAGTGTTTAGAGGTTTGATGCTGCATTAACTGTTATAGAGGTTTGATGCTGCATTTATGATCAAGGAATTTAATTATATTTCATTTTACTTTCTAAATTATTTAGCATACGTTTCTCCATTTTAGCGAAATTTCTAAATTGTCGTAAACTCAGCCATCATATGAGTAAAATACGTTATATAAATATATGTTCCTTTGCAACACAATTTAATTTGTATTTCGCTCGACTGCAGTTCTGATATTATTTATAATCTATAAACAAATTTAGTGCTTTGGCCACATAAAATTTGCATTCGTTTTTAAATTTGTATTTGATATTTCTCCGATTTCTTTAATTTCACTTAGCCAACGTCTTGGGCAAGAATAGATTCTAAAACCATACTGGTTGGTAAGTTAAGAATTGAATTAGCTTATAACTGCCTATCCACAGTTGTATTAGATTTGCTTTGACATTTTCAGTTTTGTATATTTCCGTATATAATTTTGTACATTTTTCTGTTTTGTATATCTATTGTTTAAGGATTATTTTGTTTCTTAATTACTTTAGGAGCTGATAAACTTGTTCTGTAACATTTTTATTTTAAACATCTAAACTAACAAACAAAAGTTAAGTGCTTTTGTTTTTAAGATAATAGTCAAGCCAATAATAGTAACTCACTCGAAAGCTTTTACGTAGCGTATTAGAGAGGCAAGAGTTCGATCTAAGTAATTAAGAATTTGATTTAGCCCCTTAGAGAAAATATCGATCTGCTATCATTGCAAACGACGCATATAGATTTCAAGAGAAGATACATTATTTTACTGAATAAAAATATTAAAATACGCTAGTCAGTTAAGCCCTGCTACTGATTAGTAAATGCAATGGAAAATTGCGATTTAGCTGCGCGCTATAATACTTCTTCAATCCGCTTGCATTTGTTCACGATGTCAGAAAAATAGTTTTATAACTTTATTCCATTCAATATATTTATCTGTTCATTACTGTTATTATGCATGATTATCAACATAATCTTTCTTTAATTTTATTTGCTTAACTGAATATTCATTTTTGTATCATATGAATATGCAAAGAATTAAATATGAGAACACCGAAAAATACTTTAAAAAAATAGCGTCAATCTCATAAAACTTAATTAAAGGAATCAGAAAAATATCAAATAAAAATTTAAAACCGAGTACAAATTTTATGTGGCCAAAGCACTAAATTTGTTTATAAATTACAAATAATATTAGAACTGCAGTCGAGCGAAATACAAATTAAATTGTGTTGCAAAGAACATTATATTTATATAACGTATTTTACTCATATGATGGCTGAGTTTACGACAACGTAGAAATTTGGCTAAAATGGAGAAAAGTTTGCTAAATAATTTCGGAAGTGAAATGAAATATAATTTAATTCCTTGATCATAAATGCAGCATCAAACCTCTATCACAGTTAACTTTAACGACTACAATTAGATACTATCCATTTCAGTCGTATAGCTTCGTCCATCTGTTATCTACTACAATAGTGAAGAGTAGCAAAACTGATGTAGATCGGGAGCTAATTGACTCTTCTAGGAGGAATTCAAGTGAAGCATTAGCTCCTTATTATCAAGTTCTTAATGTAAGAAAGATAAAGGAGCGGTGATAAGACTATTGATTCCTTCTCTGTCAAGACAGATTCTTTGTTCATGTAGCACTGAATTTTCTGGTAAGATCAAGATCCAGATTTCTGGAGATCTAACAATGGCTTTCTTCATTCCCAAATGACCCTCAATCTCATTACTGGAGGAATCTGGTTGCGCAACCAGATTGATACCAGGGTAAGCTTAAATATGAGCCGTAAAGTCCCCTGTGTTGAACATAGCTTAAACACAAACTTAAAACTGCTTGTGCGCAAAATTTGAATCACGGAATTTTCTTTTTTGGCAAAATCAATGCATTTCTGTTCTTGAATGTGATCATCAAACTTTCGAATGCATTAAATCAAGTATTTTATAAATAATTCATTATTGGTATTGATAGTATGGATAGTTAATTTATAGTGCGTAATGGCTCGTTTAACGCGGATTGGTTTCACGATGAGTCGAAGCTCTGCGGAAGACGATCTAGAAAGCTAAACAAAATTAAATATGTAAAATAATAAATAATGAACAACGAAATTAAATAAAATGAGCAGAAATAAATAAACAGAATCAATAACAAATAATTGAATAATGAAATAAAAAGCTACAGGGCTCCGGCTGAAATTTATTTGGGCTCCGGTTGAAATTATGATTTTACTGAAAAAGCGCAAAGTACCGGAATTCAGCCAGCGAAGTCCGGCTGAATTTAAACCTTGAAAATGCATCTTTTCTAGATATTTATACAATAATTACCTTTAAGATATATAACTTTTTTCTTCATTGACAAAAAGTGATTTTAGATGAAAAGAAATAGCAGTCACATTTTTCATGATTTTAGGTAAACATGACTTTAGGCAAAACTTCGTGAAAGTAAACAAACGTATATTTGCTTGTATAAGTATGAAAATGGTAGATAAACTGTTCTAAAAATAACTTAAAACTTGATATTAGTTATATTAAAATTAAAAATAACTTGATATTTCCATTTTGCTTCATTTTCTAAAGAAGGAGTATGAAAACGTATGGGTATTTATATAAAATTTTAAGCAATAAAGTACTTACCACACTGTCTCAAATGTGTTACATCTCTGCAACCAACATGAGATTCATATTCATCAAATTCGTAGATACACTTGAAAGCAATGCTGACATAATGACCGGTGGAACACTTCATATAATTTGTACTGTTTGTGCAGCTTTCCTCTACTTCCGCGGCTAAAAAATTTATTTTAGTATTAATTAATTACTCTTAGTAGGAAGAATAAATACATATGCAAAACACCATTTTCTAAATGAAAATATTTCATTAAATCATATGGAGCATACATGAACGAAATAATTAAATGGTATATGAAATATGACAGGTTAAAAATATATTTAGTACAAAATACTTTGCAGAAAAAACCTCATGACACTGCATTGTATTCAATAAAGGCGTTACCAGTGGGAGAGTACTTAAGATCACTGAATACTGGGAGTTCGAACAGGATTCCATCCTATGCAAACGGGCTGCCCTTAGGTGGTTTTCATGATTCTCGTCATATAGAAATCAGATTCGAGTAGAATATCAGGTTCTATCACCATATTCTACCCCATCAGATTCTGTTATAAAGTCCTGAACAAAGGTATTCGTCTCTTAAGCTAAAAGATCGCTCGTAATTTGCTGTATTTAAATAATTTAATGTAATCTGTTTAAGTACCTATTCATAACTTTCAACGATTTTTAACTTATTTAAGTAGGTATTTATAATTCTCGTTTTCATTAAACCCTCTAGTGGGATATTTATCTTTTAGAATTCATGTCTATTGATGCCTCCATTTCATGCTGCAACTCATGTCGTATGATTCTCATTATAACGGCTTGGTATTTGGAATCAAAAGAAGGTCCATAAATTTCTCTAAGACACTGATGACTAACGAGACAACTTTGCATTCAATTGGAAAATCACATTTGGCATCATTAGGTTCAAGTGATAAAAATATGTTAAAATAACTCTCTTATAAAATCATTTTCTAACTGAAGATGAACAGACCCATTTCACGGCTTATGATCGATACTCATTGGCCACTAATGGTGTCTACTCAGCGCTGTGCCGAACCAAAGTCTTATTACTAAAACCAATAATGTTCACTGTAAAGATGTTTGCTCCAATGATTTTTTTTGAAAGGACTTCGCACTTTTTCAGGAACGTTTTCCCTGAAGCATTTAAAAAATCTTTTATTTCCTTTTTTTGTGAACCATGTATTGTTATATTTTACTTTATAATACTAAAATTAAGTATACAATGACAAATATAAAATAATATTTTTTTATTATTCTTTAGTGCCTTGTATTTTAAAGCGAAAGAAAAGTAACTAACAAAATAAGAGTTTAAATTTTAAGGAAAGAAGTTTTCAATGTTGGCTAATTTAAATTCAATTAAATCAAAATTTAAATACCTTATGCAGATTTAAGATTGCTAACAGATTGATAATTTACTTTTTTAAAGCTAAATAATTTTTATAGAATTTGTTTCACGAAAATAACATTACCATTCCCGATACATTCCAAAACTCCAATTCGATGATAGCCATACTGGCCTGCCTGGAATGTGTACCCAAATCTTACCTAAATAAAGACACATTTAAAAATTATTATAAACTATGATTCATTAAATACACTGACTACCAATAAGTATTTGGACACCTGTGATAGAAAAGAAAAAATAACTTTATTCAAAATCAATAGTTGGTAGAGCCTCTACGAGAGGTAATTACAGCATGGACTCTCCAGGGCATACTTTCCACAAGTCTTTGTATTACAGCTAGTGGTATTTTCTTCCACTTGGCTTGGAGAAGACATAGAAGTTCCTTCACCAATTCTGCACGGGTAGTGCATCCCTAAATTCGGCAATGGAACTCGTCCCAGACGTTCTAGATAGGGTTCAGGTCTGGACTCTGGGCAGGCCAGTCCATTCGATGAACTCCATTGGCACCATACCAAGGCTTCGTTAACGTCAAAACATAACAACTGGCATTGTCGTCCTGAAAGTAACAGGGGTCCAACCCGTAAAACTGCCACAACGTAGGAAGCACATTGACATCCAAAATAGTGCAATAGGCATCGGAGTTGAGCTTACCATGAATGGGCACCAAGGGTCCCAGCCCATACCAGAGAAACACTCCCAGACCATAATTCCACCTCCGCCGAACTTGACTGTTGGCACAATGCATTCTAGCAGGAGACGTTCTCCAGGTAGACGCGAGACCCAGACACTGCCATCCGAACGGTAAAGGGTGAACCTTGATTCGTCACTCCAAAGAACCCGTTTCCACTGATCTACGGTCCAATTTCGATGTGCTTTGCACCACATTAACCGAGCAGCGCGGTTGGACTTTGTGATCAAAGGCTTATGGGCAGCAGCACGACCATGAAAACCAAGCAGATGTGCTTCCTTACGGATGGTATCCATTGAAACAATACTCCCGAATGCCTGTTGAAACTCCTCGCGGATGAGGGCCATCGGTTGGGTGCGGTTCTTCCGAATTTCTCAGGTCAGCACTCGTCGGTCTCTATCTCCCAGTTTCATTGGTCTGCCGACTCGAGGCACATTCCGACAATCACCGCTCACCTTCCACTTCTTAATCACATAGGCCACTGTCGATTTTGGGTACTTCAGATCTCGAGATATGTCCCTTAAGGATCGGCCATATTTGTGATACCCGATAATTATACTTTTCTCGAAATCAGAGAGCTCCGAACTGCGAGGTATCTTGCATGCGGCTAAAGCCGATGCTGTTTCCTAAACGATATAAACCGGCGGAGTCCGTGACGTACATTAGGACCGCAGATATCGTCATTTGCATAGGTGTCCAAATACTTATTAGTAGTCAATGTATTATTATTGTTCATATATTATAAAGAGAAGGTCATATTTAAAACATATTTAAAACAAAAAAACACTTCACATTAAGATAAAATTAGTTTTTATGGAGAACTGTGAAAAAGGTTCTTAACAATAAAACCTCTTCTTAAATGCAATACAAAAACTTTTGTAGCAGTTTGTTGGCTGTGTATCTGATTAGCATTACATTCAAGCACAAAGCAAAACACTTTAAAGGATACATTTGGCAAGTTCTCAAAGGAATGAATTAGAGTAACATATACGGAATTGTATTAAAGAATAAGATTTGTGAAACATTTAGCTGATATGTGAAAGCCTACTTGTTTTCAGATCATTAGTATATTATTATACGAGAAGATTAGAATATTTTTTATAATTCTGAAGCAAGATTAATTCGTTTCGTTTTAAAAGGGAAAAGGGATACATTTCTAAAGACTACACAACAAGTGAACAAAATAGAACCTTCATACTACTCAATTAGTACAATAAATCTGACAAATGATTTTATAAGGTATTTTCTCCCTTCCTCAAACATACATTCGTGGAATAACTGTATCACACTCGATGCGTATTCGAGAAACCCAGCCAATATGAGGTACATGTTGGTTCGAATCCCGGCTAGGGCACTGCTCATTTTGCATGTCTCCTGCTTCAAAATAACCTAAGGACTCTACAGTTTCATAAGAACTCTCTTAATCTTTATGAGCATATTCGTTATGAGTTAGCTTATTTCTCTCGATTAACCAATCTTAGAGCAACGTGTTTTATTACCATTTTCTGCATAATAACTAAGCCAAATCAGTCCAACAATTCTTTCTACGGTTTCAAAATGTATGACATCTTCCTGTGCATGTCTGAAAATTATAAAGCTCTTCTACATTGAATATAAAGAGCTGTGAATAGTGCGGCGCTTCCTAACAAAAGTTAAGTATTTTTTGCTCGTTTCTTTGATAAATTGTTCAAAAATAGGCAAAAAATTAAAATGCCTCATGGAAATTAGTATTTTCCAGGATAAAAGTGCATGAAAAACTTTGATCACAATATTGTTATCACCAAAACGTTTTAGCTTCAATACGGCTTTGCATATGATCGTAGTCAGACAATGTACAGTGGATGGACAAAAATATGGAAACACCTTGTGAAATGCATGTTTGAAAAGAAAGATTGATTTTAATGAAATATGTAGGTGGCGCTGGCGTTTTTGACTACTGACGCCACCTATACAACTTCGTAAATGTGCTAAACAGTTCAGTTGTTGTCTGAGTACTGTTATGTGAGGATGTCATTGCATTATGTCAGAGTTAACAGACTTTGAACCTGGGCAAATTGTTGGAGCACATATGGTAGGTGCTTCTGTAAGCAAGGTAGCCGAGGTTTTTAGTGTTTCAAGAGGTACTGTAACGAAGATTATTCCGCATATTTGAAAAGCGGAAAAACATCATCTGCTAAATCACAGCGCGGACGAAAGTGTGTCCTGAGTGATCGTGACAGACGATCATTAAGGGCAATTGTGACGAAAAATAAGAAGACCACAGCTGCAAAAGTTACTGCTGAAATGAATGTTGTGTTACCGAACCCTGCGAGTACCAAAACAATTAGAAGGGAGCTTCATAAACAGGGAATTGCTGGCCGTGCTGCAATTGAGAAGCCACTCATCAGTGATGATAATGCTCGTAACAGGAAAAGGTGGTGTTTAAGTCATAAAGCCTGGACTATAGAGCAGTGTAAGCGAGTAATATGGTCTGACGAGTCTTCTTTCACATTGTTTCCCACTTCTGGCCGAGTTTACGTCTGGAGAACGCCATCTCAAGCCTATAATACAAACTGCTTGTTGCCAAGAGTGAAACATGGCGGGGGTTCTGTTATGGTTTGGGCAGCCATATCGTGGTTGTCTGCTAGCCCCATGACAACTGTGTCAGGGCACATGACTGCCAAGACTTATGTGAACATTTTGGCCGGTTCATCCCATGGTACAAACTTTGTTCCCCGATGGTGATGGTGTCTTCCAAGACGACAAAGCCCCTGTTCACACAGCTCACATTGTCCAGGACGGGTTTCTGAGCACGAGTATGAGTTGTCCCATCTCCCTGGCCACCACAGTCAGCAGACCTGAATATTATCGAACCTTTGTGGTCTACATTGGAACGGAAAGTGCGTTCTCGTTATCCACCGCCAACATCGTTATCTGAACTTGCCACCGTTTTGCAGGAAGAATGGTATAATATTCCCTTGGCAAACATACAGGAACTGTATTTATCCATTCCGAGAAGACTGCAAGCTGTTTTGGATGCCAACGGGTTTCATACACCATATTAAGCAAAGAAACTTTTTTTAAAGGTGTTTCCATATTTTTGTCCAACCGCTGTATCTGATATGGGGGTTTTCAACACATGGCTTTTAGCGTGCTTCTGTGACAATTAGAGATGACTCTATAGGTTCCCATAATGCACCTGCAGATCATTTATTCAATAAGTACTTTCGTTCTTGAAAATATGGATATAGACTACCTTTTATTATTTCAACCTAATGTATTGATGCAGATCCTATGGTGTTGTTGTCTCAAGACCTTACAAAGTAACATAGAAATAAATGCTAATGTAAGGTACATAACTGCATGCTGTGAATATGTGAGTTATATGCACTTTGTACTAGAATTCAGAGTTCCTGGAAAATGAAGCGTTTTCAAAAATTGTTTATATCTTTTTATAAACTCACAACGAACGCAATTAAATACGGTTCTCTTTCTTCAATTTCAAGAAAAAGTAAGCAAAAATTTATTTTAGGAGACGTATAAAATTAGGGAGTAAAATGCTTGTTTCCAGGATAATTAGTTTAATTTCCAGGGTTAATAAAAATAAGAAGATACAGTAGTACATTTAATGCATGCTAGGTAGGCAAAAATACACTTTTAATAGATCCATGTGATATGATGTAAATACATACCTCTTTGACAGGTAAAATATCCTTGTTGTCCAAATATCCTTCGTCCTTTTCCCATTCAAATTTATCGACAGAATCGCAATTGCAGGAATTGCTGAGGTTTTTGCATCCTGTTTCGTAACAGCCGCAAGTTTTGTTCTTCTTAGCTCCTCCCCAAGTATACTGAGGCTGTCCGTTCCAGGACACCCACCAACCCCAAGGTTTGTCAGATTCAAAGTGGAAGCCTGTTCCCGAGCATTCCCAGCTGATGAATTGAAGACAGTATTTCGACGCATTGGTGAGGGCCTTGACTTTTTCCATACCAACGGAATACGTGAGATTCCGCCTATAAGTTCCCGCTCCGTCTCTTCCTGATCGGACATATATATTTTTTTCAGAGTCGTGGTGAACTATGGTTGTGACATTACCTGTCGTCTCATCGATAAGACAGTATACTTCAAAAGGCGCTATCGGTCCATCTGAGCCGTCAGAATCAATCACATAATAGCCGCTCCTTCTGATGTTATCCAGCATGTACAAGTCTTGACACGTCTTTCGAGCTTTAAAAAGTGAAACACGTTTCATAAAGATAATTAGTTCATGTAATTAAAAAGTTACTGGAAATTGTAAATTATGCTAGACAACTAAGACAATGTGATAAGTTGTTAGCAATTTTATTACAAATAAGTTTCTGATATATATTTCACTCAACACTCTATAGAGGTAGATTAATAATCTAATTAGATAATTTTTTTCTTCACATAATATTTTACATAACCAATTTAATAATTATGCAGGAAAAGAGGTTTTTAATGATTTATTTTGCCTTTAAGTAAAATATTACAAAATTTGAGATTTTCTTAATAAAGAGACGATTTATTTTTTTTTCAGCTTTTTTAATTAGGAAGCTCATACTTGATGTTATTTAAGGTATTTTTATGCTAATAATATTACTAATAATTGAACAATGAATTTAAGTTATCTAAACTAAAATGTAAAATCTGGACAAAAACAATTTTTAACATTTTGTCCTAGCAACAATATTTCGTGTTTTAGTTCAGGCTTCAAAGAATTCTTTTTCATTTGATGACATTTCTAAGAAGAGTTATTTAAAAACAATCAGCCTATTATACGTAATTTGAAGAAAATCGTATTAAATTTTAATAGATAAAATACTGTTCGTATGTTGTAGATTTAGGACAGAAAATTTTTGAAACATTTATTTTTTAATCAGAATACTATAGCGAATATGAAAAATTAATAATTTGAACTTAAATTACAAACATTTTAAAATTTATAAACAGATCCTAGGTCCAGACAAAAACAAAAGATGTTTCAGTGAAGAAATAAACTGGATATATTAGCCTAAACAAAAAATTCGGAAATGATTATTGCAAATATTTAACAATACACATTTAATTAGTTTTGTATCGTTGTCATTATTTTATGCTTAAGGAAAATGTTTTTTATTTTCTTTAGTCATAGAAAAAATTCGAGCTTAAATTAAGATTAAAAAAATAAAAATATATTGCTGTCTAATAAGACAATATTATTATCAATATTATTTCATAACATTAATAATAATTATGTTTTTTTAATATTTTATTTTTCATAATATTATTCGTATGTATTATTATATAACTTTATAATTTTCGATAAGCATATAATTTTTATATTTTATATATAACACAAATAATTCATTAATTTTATTATTCACAAATTTGCTCAAAACATTATTATAAAACTTATACATCAATTTAAATATAGTAACTTATAATGGAATTAATATATGAATGTTTGAACATTTGTAAAACTTGAATCGTATTACAAGGCATAGTCTGCTTAACTCAAGGCGTAATTTCCGGTTACAGCCGAAAACATCGCGGCAAAAACATCGCAGACGAAAACGTCGCGGAGAAAATAACGCAAGGCGAAAACGTCGTGCTGCAAAACATCGTGGGAGAAAACATCGCAAAGAGAAAACATCGCAGTTCTAAAACATCGTGGTACAAAACATTGTCGTCGAAAATAAAGCTCTTCAAAAACTTCGCAGTTTAAAAACATCGTTGTCGAAAATATCGTGGTAAAAAATAAAGTATCTTCAAATTATCGCATGACGATAACATCGCAAACATGCTTTTTTCAGGCTTAATAACTAACATGGATATTCCCGTAATAATTTGTGAGCACCAAGATGGAAGAAGGATAATTTTTACTTTCATATTTTTTATTAATCATAAATTTTTGCTGAGGAAATAAAAAAGAATTTTAAGCATAGAAAATTAATGCAACTTATAGCATTGAATAGAATTTTAAACCGACATAGTTAACTAACCAAAGGCCATTAATAAATAATTTTTTGTAAAGTTTTCACTGGTAATTTTTCATGAAAGTATAATCTATAAGTTGCATTTAGTTTTTCTATGCTTAAGTTTCCTTCTTACTTTTTTTCAGCAAAATTTATTAGTTATAAAAAAAGTGTGAAAGTAAAAATTAATCCTTCTTTACATCTTGCGCTCACAATCATATGGGAATATCCATTTACAATTATTAAAACCTGAAAAAAGCATCTGCGATGTTTATCGTCATGCGATGATTTGTAGATATTTTATTTTTTACGACGATGTTTTTAAACGCGAAGTTTTTGAACTGCTTTATTTTCGACGACGATATTTTGTACCGCGATGTTTTAGAACTGCGATGTTTCTCTTTGCGATGTTTTCTCCCACGATGTTTTGTAGCACGACGTTTTCGCATTGCGTTGTTTTCTCCGCGACGTTTTCGTCCGCGATGTTTTTGCCGCGATGTTATCGGCGGACACCTAATTTGCCTTGACTGAAAAAATTGGCCCGGTGTCATTTTGGATGATCCATTGGAAATATTTGTGACACATGTGCAAGAATACGTAGATACGTTTAAAAGTGTTAACCAAAATTATGCATTACACAAAAATTAAGCATCTGTATATCAAAGAATTTGCATATCAACAGCATTTAAAATTATAAATAGATTTCTTTTGAATTTTTTCTTTCTTTTGGGGGAGCGAGACACTTTCAAGTAGGTATGTGAGTCCATATTTCCATGGAAATTAGCCGAAATATTACATTATTATATTAGCCGAAAAAGATTCATATCCTTCTTGAGAGATATTTTATAGATGAATAAGCATTATCGATGAATGAATCGTCAATCGCATTGAATTTATAAAAGTGAAAATCTACAGTTTTTATCGATTGCAGAGTCATATCTTACAAAACAAAAGGAAATGAAAACGACAGTGTAGTTCCTTCTATTGTTGTGAGTGTACACTACTAATATTAAGTAAAACCCCTACTGCATAAGCAAAGAAGGTATCTTTCAAAATTACTCATACCATTTGGATAATACTTTTGTATTTAAATTGAATAATCACAGCGAATCATGAAAAATAAAAAAAAATAAGTTAAATTTAAATTATCAAATATTTAAAAATTTTTAAGCAACTAGAGCTGCAAACATTTTATTTCGAATTATTAAAAATGTTGTTTTAGAGTGCTGTTTGGGAAAATGACAAATTTTCTCATAGAGTGGTAAATCTTTACTTGAGATGTCATAATTTTTGTATTTTCTCTTTTTTTCCCTAAATAATGGGAAATTTTTATATTTTGTTTTTGATAGTTTAACAACTTCGTAGCAAATCTTCCTATATAAATGAACTTTGTTTCACAAAACCGCTCAAAGAAAGTTTTATCTCCAGAACAAAGATTTATTACGAAGTTCATTTGGTTTGCATCTAATACACTGACATTACTTGTTTAATCGTAAAATTTATATTTATCTCTAAAGATTAAAATAATGTTTAACATTCGATATAAAAAGTTGGGGTTGTCAATTTATGGGAAAAAGATGATTTAATGTCAATTTTAATCACGTTTCGATTAATCGACTGCACTATTTAATTCTACATTTACATTAATACTGTTGTTTAACTAACACAATCACTAACCATTAAGCGCAATTATTTTAATTGTTCAACGAGTTTTGATCTAGCCGAATTTAACATTCAAATAGCTCGTTTTGTGGGGAAAAAATAAAACATCAAAATGAAAAATAACCAACTAATTTATATTAATAATAGTAAATTACCTCTCCTTGAACATAGTTTCGTTTCTTCCAATCTTCCTTCTCTATCTGCCATTCGAGCTAAAAACATTGCAAACAGATAAAATATCAAATTTCATTGTTAGTGAAACACATAATAGATTAATGCCATAGTATTTTATTTAAAGTTTTCCAATATTTTATACTTGTCAGGATTTATTTATTTATTTTAAGTAATAGTTAATTTTGAAACAAGTTAGCGCTTCAGCCAAAAGCCTCATTATCCGAAATGTCTTATAATTTTACGCTTGTGCCATATCCGCTGGTTTTGTCCTTGGGATGCAAACCAAATATGTGTATAGTAAGGCGGAAATTTGTCGGGGGCCAGAGTGTAAGAACCAGGGAAGGAAAATATGCAGTATGTTCAGACTACTCAAATCTGTACATTTACATTATTTGCATGCAGGGAAAGTAGCAACATAGTTAACACACTATATACAGATAAATACTATTATAAGGATACCAAAACTATTATAAAGACTCAAACTGTAGCAAAATATTTACATAAACATTTCTATATGAACATTGTCAAAACCAAAACATAAAATTAATTATAAATTACGATATTTGTGTAACAGAACAATATATGTGTACAACATTAATATGAGAAGTATATGAGATATAGAAAGCTATATCGTACAACAAATTATACATTAACTGCCAAAATCTTAAAATTATATTCAATAAGTAATACAGGAAAATAAAACACAAGGTCCATACGAAGGAACGCCTAAGAAAATGGAAATGTACTACACATAGCACCTGACTCTTCTTTTTGTACCGGAGAGAAGGGAAGTACCTACGAATTATTCCAGGCTATCCGCTATATTCTTAAGAATGGAAGTTCAATGTCTTATTTGAGTTGAGCGCATATTTACTGCTGCTCGTGTTCCTGACACAACTTATTGGTGGGTTATGGAGGATCTTTTGAAATGATAGTTTGTGGTATGTGTGCATTAGAACAAATAATGATAAGGATCACGGATGCTACAGCAGATGCAAAGGAAATTATTTCTTGAGTCCCAAATGATGCAAGTAAGAAATACATGGGTTGTGCACTGTTATGTACTGGGTAAATTGTGGAGAGCCAATAATTAAGTTCTCATCGACATTAGGAAACACGCTGTGCAATTTGTTGTGCATAATGACCATGTTCCAATAATTCTGCCATTTTTTAGAGAGTTCAGTGCTGAGTGTGGTTTTGAGATGTGATGCACGAAAGGGTACTTACTTTCAGTGATAACTCGTTAACTGCGCTGTTCACAATCTCGTGAGCTGTTTACTTAAGCAAGTTCCCACCGCAGTCTAGTACCTATTGAAAACTTAACCCCAGGCTTTAAAAGAAGCTATAGCATCTATTTTTGAATTGCCCTAACTAATGAGTGTCTGCTACGCACACTCTCAATGGCCTACACACTTGGTAAGGAATCTGTAAAAATTGCTTTTAATACTAAGAGTGAATTCCAGAACTGCTTTTAAGGCTATAACTTCAGCCTGAAGCACTGAATTACTGGTGTAAGTTTCCTGGCCAAGATATGGACTAGTCTCAACTGAACATTACTCTCAATTGCCATCTTGTCTGACTCTAGGAAAAATAACAATACAGATGGATGCTAAATCGAGGGACAATTTATCACATTTTACTGGAAGAGAAATTTATAGAAACATATTTCGTTTTCCAGGTTGTGTCATATTTTTTGTTTGACAATCAAAAATGTGATCCTATTTAATATTCAAAAGACCCTTCAGCTATGCCACGGGTATTAAACCTTTAAGCTAATTGTTACTGAAGAATGGAACATTCTTTTCTACAGTTGATTGCTAAACAGCTGAATGAAAATCACTATTACTTTAAACGAAAGGATTTCATCTTAAAAATTCGAAAGTGATGATAACATAAGCGAGTTTCTACGAAAACAAGGGAATTATTTAACACTAATTCATTACATTGGAACAAATTATGAATACAACTTTCACGTAAATATTTCGAGTTTATGAAAGAGGATTCTCTAAGTCAGACTTAAATATTCGACACATGGCAGTTGATTCACGATAACCATAAGATGTAATTTATCAAATCAGTGAACGATAGTTCTATATTAATATTTGGCAACAAAGAATGAAAAAGTGCGTGCATGTATATCTAATCATATATCCTACTGCCGATTGCTCACTCGTCACTAACCACTATACTTGCATGTATAGTGGTTAGTGACGCTGACTCTCGTACCGACTGACCCTGGTTCGGGAAGCACGGATGTTTGTAAGCTTATAGTGTCTGTACGGCAAGGTAGCACTCAAAATTCGCGGCGAGCCAAACGTCCTATCGAGATGTTGCTTCTAGGGAAAGAGGAGTGGAAGATCTTCGGAGGATGGGAGACCTTCGCACTGCTCCCTCAGGGTTCTTCGAAACTGGAATAGAACTGCACAAATTAGTGCAGCGGAACTATACTTGCTGTACAATGGTAAATTTCTCGTGTTCCGCCCTCTTCTACCTGCTCCTGTAGAATTGTTCTCCCGCGATTAACTTCTTTTCTAAAAACTGAAGTTGCCATTGAAAATGCATCTCTCTGACAAAGAAGGAGAGAATCAAAGTGTTCCAATTTTAAGTCCCTGAACAATAGCATATGTAAACATGCACAAATCATTACAGGGTTTGTTAGACATTCGGTATATGTGTCATTCGGTGTATCGCTGCAAAAAGGATATGCTTTAAATATCACACCAAAATTGTCCTTGTTATTTGTTTATTTTTTATTTAATAAATTCCGTCTCGTTATTTAATTGGTAGACTTGTATCCATACACTAAAAAGTTAGATAAATTTAATATTGATATAGGTACTTATGAACCAACAAAAGCTTTATTAATTAAAACAACATTAAAATGCAAAATTCACAAAAAAAAAAAATTTAAATTAACAGTGCTTTCATAAGCTATTTAGTTTTAAATATGATAATACTAACTGCATCCTGTTTGCTCATCTTCATGATATTTTCCAGGGCAATCTCTATAACCATCACATAGTGCAAGCCTGGGAATGCAAGTGCCATCGTAGCACTGGAAAGTTCTGTTAGAACTGCAAGAACCTGTAAATATGTATATTTACGTGGGTTTAACATATTAACATATAATGCATTTCTGTGAAAGAAATTAAGGTTTATTATTACAAATAAGACGGTGTTAAATTAACTTCTGCTACAGAAAAATGCTCATAAACAATGAATTACGGCGGTTAAAGAGAAGGTCCCCGTCTTAAGTAATCTTACACCAAGTGGAGTAATGCCAACTCAGAGAATTACGGCGGGTATAGGAAAAGTTCAATGCAAAAATCCTTAGAGGATATGGCAAGTACTGAGGCACGTGGAATTTATGATTGAAATTTTCTGTTTTCGGGATTTCAATATTTCTGTTCTATGTAAACCTGATTTTTTTTAAAATCAGGATTAAAGATTATGCATAAACATAAAAAATATGGAAAACAGTACAGCCTCAATGGTTTTGGTAACATGGGTAGCTATGTCTAGTTAAGAAAACAGAAACGTGTAAATGATGAAAAAGACCCTTTTATTTAAAACTAAATGAGTTGAACCGAAAGCTAACCTGGTGCTCACAAATCATCCAGCATTTATGGCGTGAACTCTAAAGTATAATTTTAAACTGAACTAAATCTAAGCAGCTATTAGTCAATGGTTACGCAGAGACATTTAAACGCGGAAGTTGGCCCTGCGTGACGCACTATTTACAAGAATCAAGCAACGCCGTAGACAGGAATGCTTATTATAGAGCAACAACTAGTGACGTCACCTTCAGGAAGCAGAACACGTTCTGAGACAATCTCAACCCTCACTTAAATACACGCGAGCAAATTTGCATTCTGTCAAGAAAAGGGAAAATTCGTAACATGAAGATTCTAAGAACATTCTGGAAGAGATTACTGTTATTTAGCGAATAAGTTGGTCTCACGTTTTCTCAGCTGCACTGAGCGGAAATATTAAAAGATAAACATTGATCAGCCAAATATTCTGACCAACCTAATAATATCGTATTGTTCCAGCTTTGTCAAGTTAAACAGTGGCATATGGTTTTGCATGGTGTTTAAAATTCCTTGAAAACCGGATAAGATTCTATCAAATTTTTAAGCAAAAGGGACTTAATTTCATTAGCTTACGAGAGAGTAGCTTATGAGATCTGAGTTGAACTCCATAGCATCCCAGATATGATCAACATAATTAACATCCGGCAAGTCAAAAGGCCAAAATATCAAGTAAATTCATCAAAATGTTCGTCAAAGGTTGTAAATACTCAGCAATGATGTTCACACAATTCGCAGCTGCCATAGTGTGTTCCAAAGTATGTTCTCCTCCACTGATTCAGTTATTTCTTGCGGTGTATATGTCTATTAGTTGTTAACTTGGCAGATGATATATTTTGACATGGTATCAATGTGATACAAAACAAATCGTGATTCATCAGACAAGACAAATTTATTCGATTGTTTCATGGTCCAATCATATGATCCATATCGATATTAACTGTGCATTCAGGTATACTTTAACCTTCATTACATTGAGTAGTCGAATGAATTTCCGGTAACGTGTATTGGCCTTCATCAAGAAAGACAGTTTTCGGCTCTACGTTCGTTGATCAGGCTTGGGCGTCTAGCATCTCGTTGTCTAATATTGGTCTCACTGTCATTGTCTGTCATTGTCATTGTCATTTTACAACACAGATCCAGCCTTTAAAAGATTCTTCATTCGCCAACCAGCGGTACTTAAAAAAACTCAAAAGTATTATGGACAGACTGCAAGCATTAGGCCAGGACTTGTGTGATTCGGCTTAACCACAACCCTATCCTTTATGTAAATGTATATTAATGTATAAAGTGTATCATTTCTATTACTGTATGTATAGCCACTTAGGATGATACACGATTACGTGTTACCATTATTCTTCATCTATCGTATAATGTATAAGTGCCATTTTCAGTATTTCATTTCCATTAATGTATAAGTCTTTAAGTGTATCATTTGTACTAATATATATGTATAGCCAAGTAAGGTAATACACGAATATGTGTAACCTTTAATTGTCATCGTTCAAACTGATACACAATTTTCATTCTCAGTGTATCATTTCTGTCAACGTATAGGTGTGTATGTATCATTTTTATTGATGTGTGTATAGTCCAGTAGAATAATGTATGATTATGTGTTTTCATTTATCGCCATCATTTGTATGTGTTTATGCATATCATTTCTAGTAGTTTATGTATAGTCATATAGGATGACACACGATTACGTGTATTCATTAATTGTCATCTTCTGCATTATTGCGCCAGTTGCGTCAGTGTTTCATTTCTTTTAATGTATAAGTGTTTATTGTTTGCCTATCTCATTAACCCGTTAGACCAATATACATATGTATCCAATGTACCTATACCACCAATGTACCTATGTATGAAACTTTTTATTAATTGTATACTGAAGCATATATATGCACACGCCCTTGTTTGGCCACGTCAATACCACATATTCTCCATTAATATATGATGCGCCAGGAAATTGTGCTAAATAGGTCATATTACCGTTTATCCGGGCCCTGCATTCACCTGTCACCTGCCATTGTCTGCCTTTCGTTGGTACTAACAAAGGCAGTTGACGAACACTCAACGAGCAGTGCCATTTCCATCTGTACACGTTCCTAGCTTTCGGGCCATTACAATATGATTTTCATCAAAATCGCTTACATCAACAGCCTTCAGATTATATATATACACAAAAATTTGTTGTTTGTATTCTGCTTTTCAGCATAAGAAATATTCCCTGCTCTTACAGGAGCCTCAATGAGTCTCTTATAGGGTCTGATGAAGAGTCTAGGTGGTGAAGTTCTTCATATGAGCTGAATCTGCAAGGAGAAAAATAATTGAGGCTTCTTTTCTCTGCAGTAGCAATCATGACTGGAAAAACCGAGGGAAAGGTGATGTCTTGGGAAAGCATGTTCAGTAGCTGATCACGTGATGAATTTGGGCGAATCCGAGAATAGAACGCAGCTAGCCAACTACTTCTTGCAGGTTTGAAATTACATATTGGAGTAAATACTAAGATTACCAATAATTAAAAAACTTATATAATATACACTATATACAGGTGACTATTGTTCTTAATAGAACAAAAATTAATTCATGAAAGAAAAAATAGTTACAGACGAAAACATCGCGGACGAAACAACGCAAGGCGAAAACATCGTTGTACAAAACATTAAACGAGAAAAGAAAGTAAGGAAAAACATTGTAGTTCTAAAACATCGTAGCACATAACATCGTCGTCGAAATTAAAGTGGTTCAAAAGCTCTGCAGCTTAAAAATATCGTCGTCGAAAATATTGTGGTAAAAAATAAAGCACCTTCAAAAAGTCATCGCATAACGATAACATTGCAAACATGCGTTTTTCAGTCTTCAGTAGTTGTAAATGGAAATTCATGTAATGATTTAAAGAAGGAATGAGGTATAGTTTTACCTGCATACTTTTGAAATACTATATTTTGCGGAAAAAGTAAGAATGAAACAAGCATTCAAAAACTGAAAATGGGTAGGAAACTAATACTACTTATAAAAGCAAAGATAATTTTATTATTTGATAATTAATTAAACAGTTTCAATAGAGGTAACCACGTTTAATTACTCTCCTTCCATTCTGAAATCCTTTATAAACTACATTTTTCATGAAAAATCAACAATAAAATTTTATAAAAGATATTAATTAATTAATGAGCTTTTTTAGTTAAATCTATACGTTTAAAAGTCTATTAAACTGCTACACATAGCATTATTTTTACACTCATTTTCAATGTTTGAATGCTGAAGTTTCCTTCTTATTTGTTTCAGCAAAAATTTATTAGTCAATTAAAAAAATCTGAAACATAAGAATAAAATATTTCTCATTCCTTCTTGTCTCACGAATCTCTATATGAATATGCGAATTTTTAAAAACCTGGAAACGCGTCTGTCATGTTATTGTCATACGATGATTTGTATGTGTTTTATTTCTACCACAATATTTTTTACGACGATGTTTTTAAAATGCGAAGTTTTTTATCCGCTTTATTTTCGTTGACAACGTTTTGTACCCCAATGTTTTAGAACTGCAATATTTTCTCTTTGCTTTCATTTCTGCCATGGCAATTTGTAGGACACCGTTTCCGCCTTACGTTGTTTCCTCTGCGACCTTTTTCTGTCCACGATGTATTTGCCGCGCGAAAAATTTGCATTCACATATGAAAAAATTGCAGGCTGCTGGCTTTCAATGGTCACGTAGCCAATCAACTTGCAGATGCAACAACACAATCTTATAAATGCTAAAAACAGATAAAAATGATCAAACTAATTAAAATATTTAAAAAGTAAGTACAATGGCCTATCTTTGCGATCAGAAAAATATACACTGCAAGTTAATGCTGGAGAAGCAAAATCTCTCTAAAGTTATATAAAAAAGAAGGAACGTTTCTTCAGAGTACGGTCCTAGTGTGTAGATACTGCACTCTCATTGGCTAAGTAGGTCATGTGCTACATGTAGATGACTAGAACTGTTAAATATGTTCGTTAACCTTATGAGCTGGCATCTAGGTCACTCCAGTAAGCACATTATGAACTGATTAGAAGCGAAAATGTAGTAGACGAAAACGTCGCGGAGAAAACGCAAGGCGAAGACGTCGTTGTTCAAAGCATCTTGAGAGAAAAGAAAAGAGAAAGCACTACATTTCTAAACAATCATGGTACAACACATTATCATCGAAAATTAAGCCTTTCAAAACCATCACAATTTTCAAACATCGTCGTTGAAAAAATATTAATAAAAAATAATGCACTTACGAATCATCGCAAGTATGTAGTTTCCAGGGTTTAAAGATTGTATATTCGCATAGTGATTTCTAAGCGCAAGAAAGCATAAAGAATATTTTCGCTTTTATATTTTAGAACTTTTAATTAATTAAAAACTTTTGCTGAGAAAGCAAGAAAGAAATACTGCGAAAGCTGGAAATGAGTAAACAATTAATATTATGTCTAGTTGTTAATACAGTTTTAAACTTTTGTAGTTAACTATCAATAATTATTATTTATTTAATATCACTTACAAAATTGTACTGGTAGATTTTCGTGAAAAATATAGTACTTTTAGACTCATGTAAAAGACCACATCATGTAACAATAGAAGTAAAAAGAGCAATTATTGAGATTTAAAAATATATTTCATAACTACTCCTAATTTTCAATTTAAGATCCTCCCGGATTTGGCTCATTAAATAATTTAAATTGTTCATTCAATAGTTTAAATTACTTAATTACAAAAAATAGATAATTTTAATCAACTAAATTATGCTTATACTAAAACTTAATTTACATTTTATATATAATTAGCCGATTAAGATTCAAAATTACAAAGTATAAGAAAGCATTTCCAATAGGAAAGATTTTCTTACCTACACAGTTTTCCTCATCTGAATTGTCAAAGCAATTTTTCAGTAGGTCGCATCTCTCTTCTAAGGGGATACACTGACCATTTGTGCATCGAAATTCATGAGGCTGACATTCTCGATGGGCTAAATTAATAAAATAATTGTAGCACAAATTCGGATCCAATGTCCAGCAATATTTGAACAAAAGTATAAATTGAACGCTTAACTAAATGTTCAGAGTTTGAAAGTGACAAGAGTTTGAAATTATTGAATGATTCTCCTAAAAAATGATGCACACCTTGCACAAAGCAGAAAAAATGGGACGGTTCTATGTCTTCCGTTCTACTGGCCAATTCACGAAATCTAACTTGAGTTTTTCATGTCTCGAAAGAGCGTCTTAAGATATATATTAGATTTATATCTTCAATCATCATCATCATCACCATCATAAGGGCACAGCCCCGATCCTAGCCGGAAATAACCGGCCGTATAATCAAAACGTGAGACTGGGGGAAAAAAAAAAGTAAAAAATCTCAGTCTTAGAGCCGAATTCCAGTTCTGTCTTTGTTCGTGTTTATAATCTTCATTATTGTCTCTCGAAAGTCTTTCAAATTTAAATAATTCTTTTTAAAATTTTCCTTAAAATTATTTCTATAGTTTTCTCTTGCATTCCGGGTAAGCATACCTTCATCGACGGACTGCCTGGCGTCTCCAATTAGATTTCAGTATAGGCATTATGACACAAAATCCGACTTTTTCTGAAAAGACTATCGATTTTTTTCCATATTTCGATCCTACTGCTCAAATTATTCAAAGTGCCAAATTTTGTAACATTCACACTAGTAGGTTTTAAAAATTAGCTCTCAAAATTTTAGTTCATCAATATTAATTGAACTTGGTATATATTTATAAATACCTCTCTTCTTTTTTATTAAACTTGTTTCCTTCTTTCACAACCGAAATTTGGGTTTAATCCAAATAAAATTCGCAGCTACTTTCTGATTGTTTTAAAAATTTGCATTTTTTAGTTTTTATAAATTTTTCGAAAACGTTTTGATTTATAACCTATAAAATTTTTACCATCATCTTAAAAGTATATTTCTAGCCCTCTGAGCTTCGCTAGTTTTTTAATCTGTTATGAAAACCTAAATTTAAACAGCATTTATTACCTAAATTTGTATATTTTTGTATCTTGGCATCGACTTTTATAAATGTGCATCCATTAAAATGACATTTACAATATTAAAGAACGTAAGAAAGCAAAATGTTTTAAATGATAAGCTTATTTGTACCAACTGACAAAATATCTCATAGCTAGGCATACCTACAAAAAATGAGGGTTTTTTTATTCACAGTTTCACAACATATACGTGAATTTATATATAGGCACATTTTGAAATCTGGAATATTTGTTATAAGCGATAATAATGCCTAATGTAGTTTACGCATTTTTTTTTTAATTATTAGACAGAATGAAAGATACACCTTTTTTCCCGCTCATGCACAATGAAAGAGAAATAAAAATAGGTTACCATAAATTAAGAATTTCGACAAGTGCGCCAAATGGTGCCAAATGAAATTCTTGGCACCAAATGAAAAAGGTACGCCAAGATACATTTTTGAATTTCTCGGTATGTGTCTCACCAAATTTTAGAAAATTTAATATTCGGGCATAATTTCAGTCATAGAACCGAAAAACAGAAAAAAATAGGTACATGATTTAAAAAAAAGTGCAGTTTTGTGTCAAAATACCTATATAATAACAATGCTATACATATACATCTAATGTATATCCTAAGGCCCACTTTCGAAACATGAAAAACGCATGTTGAATTTCCTTATATGTCCACTGGAACGGAAGATATAGAACTGTCCCTTTTTTTGTGTGCAGAATGTACATCTTTGTTATATTATTCGTTAGTGTTAGTGGTATAAATGTTTTATAACCTACAATAAATCAAACATAACAGTTTTAAATGCTCTTCATACCTTTATGGACAGTCTTGCGAGGAGCCAATAGTATATTAAGTTAATAAATTAAGGAAAGAAGCGTGTTTAATAAAATATACACATAAAAATAACAAAAAAAATTAAAGGAAAATTTTGTTTCACAAAATTATTTTCGCTTCTTCAGATGCGATAAAAGCCTACTCTTAAAATTTTAAAATTTCCGGATACCCCATATTTGAGTATAACCCTAGGAACGATCTGTCTCGGAAAATATCTCGGATTCTGTGAGTAGTCCTGGGTTTACCTAAAAATCGCTGTAAATTTTGTTACTGCTGCTTCATAAGAAGAATTTACGAATTTTCTAATCAAACTGGGTTTCACACTTGGAAACGTGGGCGCAACCAGCTTGAATTTTGCAAAAAGAGGATTTGTTGAAACATAGTTATCTGATAACACATTATGTAATGAAATACTGTATTTAGAAATACTAGCAAAATTTTCAAAATGAAAGAGCTTGGTCGAATATTAAAATGAATTTACGTGGAATGGACAGAAGTTTTTCTTACTTTAAGAATAAATATGTTTATTCCAAATCTGTAAATTTAAGAATTAAACTGTGTATGTTGGGAACAAATGCAATAACTATACTGTCAAATTTCGATAATAAATGCACGTAGCTACTTTTTCTAAAAGTGAGTAGTAGCGGGTGGCCATAATTAAGCTGACAGTGCTCACAGTGTTCTGTAGCGCGATCTATTTGCGAGAATGACGCCACATTTTGTAGGAAGATTAACAAGACGGGGAACGAAGGATTCTGCGAAAAAACAAATTAGTTCTAAAAGTCACCGCTAGGGGAATATTTGGCGCTGTGTAATAGAAAATAGAGTGTTAACAAATGAAAATTAATACGGAATAAAATTACCTTTTATTATGCACATTTTCTGATTTAGTTCAAGTGCAATATGGCAACACTTTTAAAAAAGAGATTTTAAAAAGCGATAAAAGACAATGCCTGGGAGAAATCATTTTCATGCAAGATGGAGCCCCTTCACATGTTGCTGTATGGGTGCAACAGATGCTACGACAGAAATTCATAACAGAAAGAGTCATTAGCCGCTACTTTCCAACTGCATGGCCACCTTGGTCGCCTGATCTTACCCCATGCGACTTCTGGCTATGGGGTTACCTTACGTCCAAGGTCTATCAAGGAGTGGTCCAGGACCTGGCTACGTTGAAGGATAACATATCACGGACTGTACGGGAGATTCCTGCAGACATGTTACTTTCTGCTGCTGTGCATACTGTGCACAGAATGCAATATGTGGTTCACAACAACGGCAGCCACATTGTACGTCATTTGAATGCAAAATAAAAGGTAATTTCCGTATTGATTTGCATTTGTTAACACTCTATTTTCTATTACGCAGCGTCAAATATTTCCCTAGCGGTGACTTTTGGAACTATAATTTGTTTTTTCGCGGAATCCTTCGTCCCCCGTCTTGTTTAATCTTCCGAAAAATGTGGCGTCATTCTCGCAAATAGATCGCGCTACAGAACACTGTGAGCACTGTCAGTTTAATTATGGCCACCCGTTATTTTTAAAAACATAAATAAACCACAGTGCTAAACAACAGCCAAAATCCTGTTATCTAAATTGATCTTTACACAGAAGATCAGAATACTTTTGGAATTATGGGATATTTTATTGGAATATGTGGAAAACTGGAGAAAGGGTAAATAAAATTAAATATGTCCTTTTTTTCTCTTTCTATCCTTCAGGATAGTCTTGTCTCGGACTGCCTAGAACTATCTGTTTACTTTACTAATGATATAGTTTCGAGGAAATTTCCAGAGCTATCTACAGAAGTGATTAATTCTGTATACGTAGCGGACTACTGAGGCATTAAAATGCAATATTCAAAGATGTACCAATTGGCACACTTATTAAATTTACTTGCAGTACTCCGAAGGTATTACATATCTGGTGTGTTAAATTATTATAAATTTCAGTTTTCATTATACATAGAAACATAATACACGTGCGGCAATACGTTTATCGAGCATGACAAATATCTGCTACTGATGAATGCTTATTATGAATAAATAGATAAACTTACAGCATCTAGCTTCATCAGAGAAGTCACCACAATCATCTTTATAATCGCAATATGCATAAAAGGAGACGCAATTCCTATTATCACAACGAAAAGTGTTTTCTGGACATTCATCTTGAGCTAGTAATAAACAAGCAATATTAAAAAAAAATTAAATTCCTATTTAGGTCAACAAAGAAAAATTTTTTAAATAAAATTTTAAAAAATTAAAAATACAAAAAAAAAATTAAACTAAAAGTTAACATGTGAAAAAACTATATTAACATCAAGTGTCATCCACTACAAGTTTAATCTTCCCGCCCACTTCGCAAATTTACATGAGCACGCGCGCGTCGTATTTTTTACGACATCTGTTATAAAACCGTGTTTGGCACGAAACATGAGAGAAATGATTAAATATTGATAATAATTTGTTAAAACATGAAAAATTAATCTTATTATTTCAAAATACAAATGATGGCACATTCAAATGAGAGTAAATTATTTTGAAACGCTTACATTAGTCAGGGGGAAAAGAAATGATGTATTTCGTTATAGAAATTTGAAAAATTTATTATTTAATAACTATATTTTAAAATCCAAGCTAGTTTTAATATTCATTTGTCCTGTCCTGTTGATTTATCATCGAAATAAATCTATAAATTCAGAAATAACAATCTGCCAGAAATAACGATGCCAAGTGCCATCGTTTGGGAACAATTCTTTTGCACTTACATGGTGGCCTTTTTTACTTCCTTGTACGAAGTAAAAAGGAAGTATTGTAATCGCGAAAAGTTTCAGGCAGCATATTTCAACGAAAATATCCATTTTGACCGCTATCGAATGCAATTTAACGATGTTTTTGCGTCATATCTGTACGTAAGGACAGAATAAAATACTATTTTCCTTCAAAAAAACTTATCAAACAGTTTTAAAATTAATTCTGAAGAGAATTTTTCGTGGCGTCTGTACGAACGTATGTACGTTCGTGCGCACGTACATATCTCGCATAACTCAAAAACGAGTAGCCTCAGAACGTTGAAATTTTGTATATAGGACTGATATAACATGTAGATGAGCAACTCGTATTTTGGTAGCAATCGGCCGCACAAACGTATATAAATATATTTATATATATATCCACTCTGTTACCCGGCTCAGTGATCTCAGTTTCTTTACTCTTATATGTTTGTAAATTGTATATATTATTTGCTTTAAAAATGATTGAATTATGTTGTTTTTATCTTCCGGTTAAGGATTTCATGCCTTTAGTAAATCTGTGTGCAATAGTTTTAGAATTATCAGCAATTTTAAAGTTGTTTAATTGCCGTTAAGACTGTTTTTAATGGCGGCCATTGATGTTTACATTTCAAACAGGAGACTAGTGGATTTGTTGCCAATCTAGAGAAACTTAGCTTCGCAACAACAAAGATACGCATTCATTTATTATTGCCAATTAAATCATGTTTAATTCTTTCTGGAATTTTTTCGAGGAAATAAGCGTTTGAGATTTACTTCGTAATTTTTAATATAGATATTTTGAGTTTTTATGTATTTTTGCCTTCTGGCGAATTGAGAACTGAATTAATTAAATGAGAAATACTCAATCGTCTGTGAAAAACAGTTTCTGTTTTGCTTTGTTTGCTTAATTTCTTTTGTACATCGTTCTAGCTTTATTATAGTATTTGAATAGAACATGTGGCAACGATTAGATAATTCTTTAAATGATATACATTTTGTGCATTCTGAGTTATAATAAGAATGAAATCTAATACTGTTAAGTGAACCTAGCGCCAGAGTGTCGCTATGGTAAAGAAAGTGTATTTTAAAGAATGCATTTATTCTATTGTGGTTTATGTGGTCGGCGAAGTAGGTTTAATTCAATCTAATAAGTTTAAATAAAATGCAAGAAAAAATGCGTATAATTTAATATTCCGTACAAGGAAGTCATGTGGTGTACACATCAGATTTTTTTATTCCTATCATATATAACAATCTCTGTCTCTTGAGTATTTTGTCTTTTAGCAAACTTATATATTTATTTGTACATTCCAAAATTTCATCAAGCATATTTATATCATATTTAAAAAATAATGCTCCTATTTTATCCTTTATATTCTTGGCACTGTGTTTAGGGCAGGTAACGCTCACAATGTTCAGCTTATTCGTCTTTGAGCAGTTTGCATACTTCTGTTTTCACCACTCAGAAGATTTATCCTTAATAACATAGAATATACCATCATCATTCCTTTTTTCTATATCATTATTACTATCATCATCCGAAATATATTGTTCAGACTCACTTCTGATATTATTTATCTCTCAAATTAAAATAATACACGTGAAATAATAATTTAAAATTACAAAATATTTGAGAAAAAATATTTTCCGAATTTTCACCCACGACCACGCGCGTGTCATCGAAGATAATTTAACTCATGATAATCGTGAAATTCATGATTGGTTGTGTGTTTTCATCAACCCGTGCGTTGCCGGCTGTCACCTTAATCACATCCGGAGGAGTAGGGACGACTTGCAGAAATTTAACATTGGTTGCCTATTGCAGTGTGTATAATTGTCAAGAAAAACTGGTTGTAGCGCCTCATTTCACGAATTAGAATTTCTCCGTGCTTTTATTTTTGAAATTGAGATTGAGTTTTAAAAATTTAGCATATTTATGAAGCATAATTAACGTTCCAAATAATTATAAGGCTATTGCATGCTTTCAGAACTGGATATTTGTTTAGCTTTCCCTATGCTGTAAGGAAATTTGTAACTATTTCTTTTAAAAAACAATATTTTTAATCTAAACTAACAGAAAATTTCAAACAAGCAATTTTCTCTTGCAATTTTTATGCTTTTTATTGATGTAAATAAGTAAAAAAATACTAAAATATTTAAAAACGAATTTTTGAAAGTTTTGTTTAAAATTCTAAATTGTGCTGCTTTTTTAAAATTATAGATGAGTATAATAACACAATTTCTATAAAGGAGTTTTATTTCAATTATATTTCATAATACGTCATAGTGATAAACACTTTTGAATCCTTAAAAATTTTTATACGTATAATTCTAATATTAAAATTGTATTTAACCGTAATAATTAATTTTGCTTGTATTTAATAGTGATTATTTTTTTAAGTTTATTTTTAGTTCTGCATAAGATTTTTTTTATTTACTGTTAATTTAATTTATTAGCTCGAAGCAGCCTTTTGCGCTGTTTCACTATAAATGTCCGTGTCTCCTCGCAAAATGTTATACCAAATATTATCGCCCTGTATTATATGTAAAGAAATTAAATAATGAAGAATCTGCATGAATACATGTATGTTTTTCGCACTGTGACAAAAACGACAGTATCTAGAGCTATCAAAATTTGAATAATGTAAACCTTCACCCGAACATGGGCATCTGGACGGCCGAATTTCGAATTTGTTTTAATCTATTTCATATTTTGTAAAACTTTAACGAATTTTTGATTAACAAACTCAACGAGTTCAGAGCGAGCACTGTACGGAAAATAACAGTTTTATCTCCAGTGCGGAAATTCTAAAGATATGCTGTTTTCAAATGTATGTGGTTTACGGGCGAAGAACATGGTATTCAATAAATATAGGTAACACACAAAACTTTAAAAAAAGGTTCCTTTTGGGCGTAATATAAAATCTGAGTGCTTCTAGATTTTATTTTACTTTACCTTTTTTCTTTCCCTTCATTACACTCAGAAAATTTTATGCTCCGAAATTTATGAATTATTAAAATAAATAATCCACTTTAATGTTAATAATTTAATCCTCATATAATCAAATAAATATGATCGTTTCGTAATGTTATTATAGTTTGGAAAATAAATGCCTGAAAATGTTCACTAAATGTTTTAAAAAAATTATCAGATCTTGTTTAATTTTACCTTATTTATTTCAAAGCATCACATACTATCAATCTTATTTAATTTTAGTTTATTTTTACGCAAATTTAAGTTAAAAAATTTCGTGCTTAGAGTTTTTACCGTTTTACCAAAGTAAAGACGTTTGTACAAGAATTACGCGTGAAAAAATGCGCGAAATGCTGTAAAAAGTGCTTTAATGAGATATATTAAATCGTATTTGGAGAAAACTGTGACTTTTATAATCTCATCACTATACAACGTATCACATTTAATAATTAAAAACAGCTATGTGATACAAACGCCATAGGTTTCAGTGTTAAAGTAAACCAGATCGTCCCTACTCTTTCTTGCCGACATGTCGGTGACGCGCGCCCCGCTCACTGGGTTAGTCTATTTCTTATAAGGTCCATTGCGTTACCACTGATGTATTATATCTTGCACACACAAAAAAATGGGAGATTACTATATCTCCCGTTCTACTGGACCGATTGTCGAAATTTAGCTTGCATTTTCAATGTCTCGACAGCGCAACACACAACATATATTAGATTTCTACATAACATTATTCTAATATAGGTATTTTGCAGAAAATCGGACACTTTCGGAAATAATATACCAATTTGTATTTCATATTTCGATTCCAGGACTCAACTTATGCCCAGATATTAAATTTTGTAATTTTTCGTGAGAAATTTAAAAATTTATCTTGAAGCGTTTTTTTTTTAGTTTGCGCCAAGAATAATTCTTAGTTTATGGCAAACTATTTTCCTTTCCTATTTTTTCATTGTACACAAGTGGAAAAAATGTCATACTTCATACTTTTAAATAATTTTAACAAGGTACGTAAAGCGCAGTTGGTGTTATTATCGCTTCTAAAAAAATTGCCAAATTTCAAAAACCGCCAGTATGTAAATTCAAGTATACCTTGGGAAATTTTGAATAAGAAACTCTAATGTTTTGCAAGTAAGTTTATAAATGCATATACTTAAGAGGATGGTAAAAATGTTATTGGTTATAATCCAAGTTTTTTTTCGAATAATATATGAAAATTATTTTTAAATACAAATTTAAAAAAAAATCTTAAAAATAGGTGAATTTTAGTTGGAACATACCTAAATTTCGAAATGGGAAAAGAAGAATGAAATAAGTTTAATAAAAAATGAGATATTAATAAATATATACCAAATTCAATTAACATGGAGGAGCTAAAATTTTGTGAGATAATTTTTTAAAAACTACTCTTGCGAATTTTACAAAATTTAGTACTTTGACATAATATGAGTCCTAGAACCGAAATATCACAAAAAATGAGTATGTTATTTCCGAAAGAGTCCGATTTTATGTCAAAATACTTATGTTAGAGCAATGCTATATACATCCTAAATCGCACTTTCGGGACATGGAAAACGAAATTAAATTTCGGAAACTGATCCAGTAGAACGGGAGATATAGAACTGTCTCATTTTTGCGTGCAAGGTGTACCTTTACTTAGCATATCAGTACACTTCCTTTAGGAGCTAAATGGCTGGGATTTTATCTTCAGAATTCTTTAAAGTTTCGTCTGTCTTTCTGTCTGATTCTCTTGTTTCCAGGGGTTTGGAAGGTTCTTGATGAAACTGGGAACCCCACATAACTGCTGATATGTGATCCTCTGCAGTAAAGACAAACAGGATTTTATTCTTCTTTCAAGAAGCTTTCAACACTTCTGTGGTTTAAACTTCAAGCACTGGATTGGTCCACTGTTCTTCGGTTTCAACTCATCTGTCCTTACATTAATGCCTAGAATGTTGTTTATATTATAGAAGACTTATCCTGCTTCATTTTCTCAATTAGATACAACGCGAAGTTTTTAATATTATCTCCATTTGTGTTCGAAAACTCTTTTTCTCGTATGATAGGAAGTGTCTGGCTGCTAAGTCATATATGAAAGTGTTTTTGGAAATCGCCTCGGGAATTCTTTGATAATAACATTTGTTGCTCTTTTTCGCTTTTACCCTCATGTGAATAAAAAGGATTGTTTCTTTCCTACAAGCTTTGTACCAATAGGTATCGGTCAGTCAGAATTTTTGCGCTGATAAAAAGGAAGTTTTCTTTACCATCGATCTGTACAAATTACCAGCAATTCTTTACTTAATTCGCACCAGTCAAAATCAGAATCGCTTTTTATAATTGAAGAAAGTTTTATTCCTTACATCTAATTCATCATTTGTTTTGTTCCCGTCGGCACATCACTTTTGCTGTGGAAATTTAATCATCTCTAAAGGGGTATATTTCTCCACTTGCTTTGAAGATTTTGAGATTGTTTTTTTTCTTTACATTCAGTCTTTATTTCTTGCAACGCTCCGAGTCAGTAATTTTATTTTCCTTACGTTCCGTAAGTTTAGCCCAGCTTGCAAAGAATGCATTTTGTGTTGTGTTGTTGTTGTGATTTATATCACTTGTCTGACAGTAATATGCCCATGGAAGACAAGCCAATGAGAGAACAAGCCCATGGAATTCATTCTGGCAAAGAGTGCAATATTGCGCCTGTCATTGGTAAGATCTTTAAGCACCATACAGGTGACAGTACGACTTTGCTCAGTTCTGCCCCCGATTTTGGTGGAGAGCACCACGAGGGGACAGGCACGAAGGTCACCCACCCCTCTTTCCCTAACACCAATCCCTTGAGAAGACTTTCGGCTGGTCTCATATTTAGAGTGCTCCCATGCGCACAGACACTATACATTTACAAACATCCATGCCTTCTCCGGGATTCGAATCCGGGCGCTTTGGTACGGCAGCCAACGTCGCTAACCACGAACCGGTTGGGCAGCAGGATACAAGTGGATTTAGGGAGGGAATAAATTTAAATGTCGCGGAATAAATTTAAATGGACCATTGACTGGTATTTCAATAGCTTCCCTATATTCTTCGACCATGTATTTAAACAGTAACACTGTTCTAGGAAACAGTTAATTATCGCTTCGACGTTTTTTGTCTTGTCCAGTTTTCTCTGAAAAGCTGGTTTGCTTTACTTTATTTTGTTTCTGTTTTATGTTTTTAATAAAATCTTCAATTTTTTAAACTCTCTGTGATTTTTAATACAACAGTAATGTGTTCAGAATCGTCACATATTTCTTATCCATCATTTGGCTCTCTGAATAGAGGCATCGTTAAAAAGTGCTACGAATGAGTCCACATAAATTCAAAAATACATAAATCTCACAAAATGCCGTCTCTGAAGGTTTTGACCAAACCTCTCTTATTATGAAATAAACAAATAAAACGAGCTAGAGTATTTTGTCACAGTCAATCGAAGGAATCTAAATCTGGGTAGAAGTAGTTGCAGTATTCTTAACAGAAGAATAAATGATACCCCTAAGATGGAGCAAATTTTTTTTAAATTAAAATTTAAATGAAATCACATTAATTGGTTATCGGTGATCACGTATCCGAGCTCATAAACTGAAAGAGAGTGATTTGAAAAGAATTCGTTTGGTTAAAATATGTTATTCATAAGTAAGAAATGCATCTAATGTTATATTTTATGACTAAAATAAGGTATGGTTGGATTTTTATTTGAGGTAATATTCCTTTCTGAGGTATTTAATACTGTGTCTCGTATCAAATGCTAAGATATGTTTTGGCAAAAATACTTTTATTATCATCTGTTTGTCCAGAATTTTGAACGAAATTTTAGAATTCTATATTGTTATTGAAGAAAAATGGCAAAGGATGTGAGAGTACGAAACATAACTATACTTACAGCAATTTGCTTCGTCACTCCCATTTTTGCAATCTTTAACAAAGTTGCACACAAACTCCCTTGAAATGATTTCTTTGTTTTCACATATAAAATACCTTTCTTTATCTATGTTTAAAAGAATGTTTTCCACTTCATTCTCGGAAGGAAGCTGCGACAAACCTTCTATACTCCCTAAAAAAATTCAAGAGTCACCAAAATGTCAAAATATATAGCAACATACTATACACTTAAGAGAAGTAGGTAGCAACCATGTAAGGTATATTTTAATTTTATAACAGTTATTTAAATTTAATAGCGCTTTCCTATCTTGCCTCGTTTCAACTTACACCTCCCTATCAGAATGAGTTTTTATAATTGCGTTGAATGCAAGTGAGTATGAAATGATGTTAAAGGAAAGTTCAACTTATTTCGTGAGAGCTAGGAATCCTGAGTAGCGTGCGTTTCTCTTTAGGCTAAGTCTCTCTAAACAGCTGTTACGATCGGCTGTATATTACGTGTTCTTTTACAGTTCACCGGCTAGTTTAAAACTAAGGGACAACTCCGTTAGATTTGTGTTAGCTTCGGCTAAATCTCTTAGTAATAGTTAGTTCTTATTTCTTATTTTTGAGTTCAAGCTCTAGGAGGCTTTGTTGTAAGCCCGGAGAAAGAGGCTGTCATCTAATTTTCATTGAAATAAATGATAATTAATCTTGAGTTTAATCTTGTAATTCTTGAGTTTACGATTTCTGTTCTTTAATCTAAGCGATAATTCGCTTAACAGTTCACTAGGGTTCTTAAACATTTAATTTAGCAGAATAAAAGTTAGGAACTCTAAAACCTTTGGCAATACATTTCTCATTAGGCATCAAATTGTTAAACAAGCTGATGTGATTAAATATCATTGTTTAATTTCCCAATTAAAGAACTGAAATATAGATATATACAATGAGATACAGTACTATATGTATATATTTATAATCAAATCTATAATATACATGTATAATCAAAGTCATGATTCGCAACTATCAAATGATATGTATGTATATGTATATGTAACATATTCTGTAGTCGAATGCAGGCGGTTGAATCCGTAAGGAACAGCAAAAATTTTAAAGGTTTGGAGATGTTAAACTCCAATCCACAATGCATAAGAAATTTGACAGTCGTGGTAGATTTAATTCAACTTTTATTTCAGCAAATATGTTGCACCAGAAATAAGTTGGCACATTATTTATGCCTATTCCAAAAGTTTACATTTTCGATAAATTTTATATAAGAAAGAAGGAGCAGACAGACTGCAGTCCAGCTAGGTCAAAGCACAGAAAGCAAGTGTGTTATGTTGAGGGTGAAATCTTAATTCAGACTGAGTTAGTTTTGGTTTTCAATGCATTTTTATTTCATAATTAATACTGCTGTAAAATTATTATTGGCTGTTTTAGTTCCATTTACAACATCAGAATTATGTAAGAGTCATATGACATGGATTAATCACGAAATGACGCAGTGCAGAGAGATTACAATTTTTAGAATAGAGAAAGAAAATTAATTTTACACTGCTAATTTAAACCTTTACATGTGCCTTATTTTTCTAACATGTATATCTTCTTATATATAAGCGGTTTAAGGGTTTAATTGTTTGTCGCCGATAGTTTATTGTTGCCACTCGGAAAAATGAGCGTGGAAATTATTCTCGCAGTTCTTAATTAATATCTCGGCCGATTATAATGAGAACGCTATCGATGGATTCGGAGAACTTTTTGGAATCGGAGAATACGCGTCTCGAATTTCAACTCGGCGCCGTTCCGTAGATATTCGAGAAAAAAGAATTTGGCACGTAGCTAAATCCCTCTAATAAATCTCTCTCTAATAAATCTCTAATAGAGGAAACGCCCAAGAAAGAAAGTAGAGAATGTAGGGAAAACGTAGGGGAAGAATTAGTTTTTAATTAATATCTCGGCCTAATTAAAGTCCTAAGAAGACGCGAATGGTCAAAATGGCGTGCCACGAACCTGCGGAATCCAACGATGCGCTTCGCTGAAGCCCGGGAGCCAGTCGCTTCGGAGGATATGATGTTACTTCACCCCATACATATATGCGACTAAAGTGTCTGTTTGTCGCCGATAGATTATTGGTTGCTTGCGTAACTGTACTAGCCAATGCGGTGAAGTAGCCACGGCACAGGGTTGCCGTTTCAATTGAGACATAGACAATTTCCTGTAAAACTTGCCTTTGCTATGACCATCAATAAGTCTCAGGGTCAAACGCTTAAGCGTGTTGGCATTTTTTTACCTGATCCCTTATTTGGACACGTTCAACTTTATGTTGCCTGTTCAAGAGTTCGTGAAAGAATGGACGTAAAATTAAAAATAATGGATGGTCTTCTGCAAGGCGAGTTTAAAAATGATGGAAAGATCTACACAAGAAATGTTGTGCACAAAGAGATCTTTGACATGTGAATTAACATTTTATTGTTTAAATCACCTTTATTTTTTGAGCTAGCGGTGGCTCTTAAGAAATGTACCGCCAGTGGTTTCCTTCCTATCGCACTCTACTTTAAGCAATTGAAGCAAGTAGAAGGAGGGAAAACCACCGTGGGGCAGTAAGCAAAGGGGCATCCTCTTGCCGCCTGCCCTGGGTAATTTCAGGTATGAATTAGCAGACACCTTTGCACAAATCATTTTAATTACAATTTATAATATTTAAATAGCGGTCATTTCGTATGACCGCTGGGCTTTCTAGTATATATGTACATATATCACTCAATGGTTGTGAATCATGACATTGATTATTATCTTTCTATTAATTTTATTTTCAAATTTATATATAAAGGGTGTATAAAATTTTGTAAAGAGAATTTATACAAATAGTTTGTAATATATTTATAGATACTGACATACATTGAGAAGGACAGGGGCTTGTAATCTTTTAGATATTTTGAAAATTAAGTTTATTCGCATTCAATTTTATTTAAAATTACACTATATGCTTTGTCCGCAATTTAGTTCTGTATATTTCATCAGTGCTAATTATGTACTTCTGCTGGTTTATGTTTTTAATTACTAGTTTTTATGGAAATTTGATCTATTTTTGTGTATTGTTTTTTATAGAGATTCTGTGTATGGATACCCGTTCTATGTATGGATACCCGTTCTATGTATGGATACCCGTTCTATGTATGGATACCCGTTCTATGTATGGTTCTATGTATGGTACGGTATAATTCTATCGGTTTTGTTTATGGGGTTTTGTCTACTGTTTTGTGCAGCGATTTTGCCAAGAGGTACCTTTATTCGTCTGTAGATGTTTGTGTACTTGTTTTTACAGGGATTTGGCCTGTGGGTACCTATATAGGTGTCCGCTTGGGTACCTATATAGGCTTTGTCTACTGGTTTTGTAAGGAATAGACCTACGTAATATGCAAATTTTTTTATGGAGATTTGGCCTATGGATACGCTTCTGGCTATGGGTTTTTACTAGAATTTCGTTTATGGTGCCTACAGTTTTACAGGTTTCTATGGATATTTGGCCTACTCATATCCGGACAGTTGTACGGATATGATAAAGGTTTATAGGTTTTTACGGGGATTTTGGTCTATGGTTGCCCGTACAGTTATACGGTTTTCTGTTTATGGGTTTTTACGGGGATTTGGCCTACGGGTACCAGTACAGTTGTATGGGTTTCCGTCTGTGGATATTTATGGGGCATTTTTAGCAGGGTCACTATTACAGCCAGTGATAGGGATACTAATGCTTTGAGATTACAAGCCTATGTTGTTCTTCATGAGCCAGAATACACAACTCAAGCAACACGCAACCAAATCACCAGCCTTAAAAATATTATGATTTTTTTTACCATGATCTGATTGAAAGCATGTTAATAATTTTGTGTTTTTTAAAATTATTATTAAATTACCTGTAAAGTTATCACTTTGCATCTTGCAAATGTAACTACTAATGGAAAACAAACTATCCGTTTGGGCTTCTGGCTTATTTGAGCCTACGTTTCCCCAATCAATGTCATCCCAATTGTGAAATGATAACTTTCCTAATGAACATGGAATGTCGTGCCAATGGGCTGTTGAGTGACCACTATCCACTTTCAACATGGTACAGTCTTGATATGCTCCACCATCTGGCTGAGTTAATAAACTGCGACCTGGAGACCTATGGTTAGGAATCATAATTTAGAAATGAAACGCGAAATTAGTATTATAATTAGGACAAAGATTACTGCTGAAAAATCAAAATCAAAATAAATGTTAATTAGAATGCTAATTGATGAGAGAAAATCGTAAGATTTTATAAGAAGTATTTTATTTTCAATTTTGATACATGTGTTTAGGAAGATGCTGAACTTAATATTGTTTGTTTTTAACTTTTGGAATTATTGATTACATATTCAGTATTTGGATAAAGTAGAAGAGTAAAATCTCATGCTTGGATCTCATCAGAATACACACTCATGTCCATAAATTAAGGATAATGCAAAATCAGGCAAAGGAAGAGTTAGAAGCAAAATAAATTTGACTTATTTGTAAAGCTTATTTATTAAACAAAAGGTAAAGATAAAAAAAAAGATGCTATATGTTTGATATTATTAAAAAAATTAGCGATTTTTCCTCCTTGGAGCAAATTACAAAAAACACCTATTTACAAAAAACCAATATTACATGGTTGGTATGATTGTTAGTACATTGTATGTCTCCCAGACGATGCAATGCAGTCCGTGCAACGCCTAGGCATGCTGAATATCAAATTATCGATCTGATCTTGGGGGATATTACACCACTCAAAACGCAATGCTCTCCGAAGTTCTGGTAGACATGTAGGAGGAAGTTGACGGGCTGCAACTCGTCGCCCAAGCATATCCCACACGTGCTCTACTGGATTCAAGTCCAGTGAGAATGCTGGCCAGTCCATACGGGTGATATCCTCCGATTGAAGGCATTCGCTTACGATGTTTGCGCGGTGAGGACGGGCGTTGTCATCCATAAACACAAATTGTGGGCCCATGCCGCCCCGAAACAGACGTACATGTTGTTCCAGAATGACTTCTTGTCATGGTTCCAATTTGAACATGCAGGTCAGTTTTGGAACCCAGAATAATTTCACCCCAAACGAGCATTCCTGCACTACCGTAAAGGTGTCGTTCAATGATGATTGCTTGGTGGTAACGGGTACCTGGAGCTCTTCATATGAAAGTCCGGCGAGAATCAGACTGCAAGCTAAACCTGGACTCGTCGGAAAACATCTCACAAGCCCACTGTTGCGGTGTCCATCATGCATGCTCTCTAGTCCAGGCTAACCGCAGGCGACAGTGAGTTGCAGTAAGTGGAATGCATCTGACAGGTCTACGAGCATATAGACCAATTTGCCCTAAGCGTCTGTACACGGTCTGCCTTGAAATTGTCGAACCAGTGGCTGAAGAGAGCTGACGAGACAGGTCTGAGGCTGTGCTCCGCCTGTTTCGTTTGGTAGTAACTGCCAAATACCGGTCCTCATTCGGCGTTGGAACTCTGGGGCGACCTGTGCTGTAACGTCTACTCATATTACCATCACCTTGGAATCGTTGCCAAAGCCTGAGATGACACTCTGGGCAATGCCAAGTTCGTCTGATACTTCCAGTTGGATACGCCCACATTCCAGACGGCCGATAATTCTACCACGTAAAAAATTATCCAAATGGGTCCTTTGTGTCATAACTATTCGATTCTTGCACGGAAATGCTTATGAAGCGCCTGCGAACAATTTTACTTCTTTGCCTGTATTCCTTATATATCACTCTCTTACACTCTCGTCATTGTGACGTACCATCGGTGTCATCTGGTTACTTCCTGAAATTTGCAGATGATTCTTGAAGATATGTGTAGTAATTTTACAGGTGATATATTTATTTTAGAGTTCGATTTCCGCGTGACTCCGAATTATCCTTAATTTATGGACATGAGTGTATTTAGTTAGGTATACGTTTGCCTTTTTCTGCCTCATTTCGTTGAAAAAAGAAAGTTTTTAATAAAACGTACTTATCTAGTGCTTAATTATTCTCAGTGTATGAAAAACAGAACTTTCCAGATTTCCTGAATTAATTCTCACTTTAAAGGTGTATTTTCGGCTACATTTTTTTCTGTACTATCTTAGCTATTTTTAAGTTCCAAACTAGTTTATTAATTGCCTTATCACCAAATTAGTTTATTATTCAGATAAATGTTTACTAAACCAGTTTTTTCGATTTGGATCAAATTTATTAGACATTCTCATTTTGATATCACCCATTCAAAAAACTTCACAGTCATACTGCACCAGTATATCCAGAGGTTTTAACTACGATTCAATTTACATCTCAAATCTTATAAATAGGGAAAAATTCTGCTTATATTGTTAATTTAGCCTATATCTTACTTTGAACTTCAGTTGGACGAGACATCTAAGTATATTTAATTATATAACATAGCGGTTCTCCGCTGGTAGTACGCATAGTCTTGGGGTTACTTGATAGTTTAGCCAGGGATACGTGAAGACATTTTCAGTGATGACATAAAGTAAGAAAATATTTTAATAAATGCTGATAAAGAGGAACATATTCAAAAGCTTTAAATTTGTCATTAAATGGACGGGGAAGTAACTGCAAGGATTTCCGAAGCGGCCGTCATTGACCGAAATGTGTGTGATAATTTGGTTATCTACTGATTTTCAGCAGAAAATTGGCTGTCGCTGCTTTTACCAGTTTCATAAAGAATCTCATGCAGGACCTGATGTTAATAGAAATCGCAGCGATGTTTTCTCCAGGAGAGGTATATATGAGAGGAGTAAAGAAAATTGAAGCAAGTTGCTTAGGTAATGAAATAGCAGACTGTAAATGCCGAGGAAAGGAAGTGAGGTCTACCGAAATGTAAAAAAGACGAATGTAATTAAATGTCACTCTCCGCCGATAACAAGCATATTGTTCTTTCTTCACAAATCGATTAAACACTGTATGCAAAATAGCTCTCAAAGTGCTTATTTTCATTTGCTATTGGAACAAAACCTGTGATTCTCTTGCTATGGTACTGTTCTCTTTTTCAGCCAATAGCTAAGCTTTCGTCAGCCAATAGCTAAGCTCCTTTTATGCCTGCCGATGTGCTCCCATGCACTGCACTTGCGAGTCCACCATCGTCTCTTCACTGAAGCCTCGCCTTCCAAGTTGCGCGTCTGTCCACTTCAGGCTTATCGGCACCTACCTGTATCGGCTATCGCAAATCAAAACAGCCGGAGTCCTTTGGTATACAGAATTCAGAAACAGCTTCTGACAATTCCTATTTCGCAAAGACCCACTTTAAAATGGGTTCCCGCTCACACAGGGATTCAAGGCAATGAAGCCGCTGAGCTACTGGCCAAGCAGGCAGCCAACTGCACGGATATATTAGAAAGACCAACTAAACTTCCTTGGTCTCATATTAAGCGAAAAACTTTGACAAGTCTGCTACAAAATTGGCAAAGTAGATGGACAAAGGCAGAGGTAGGACGAAGGACATTTCGTTTACTGCCAAAAGTTAACATGGAAATAAAGACCCACTGTGCTAGCCTAACACAGTTCTTGACAGGTTATGGACCATTCCCACTATACCTGAACAGATTCAGTTTTAGGGATACTCCTTTCTGCGAATTCAGAGAGGAAGGCGACACGGATCATTATTACTTCCATTGTATACATGCAAGATGCTGGCACTTGAAGAAACCAGCGGACTGTGCCTGGGCAATGTGCGACTAACACACTCAAAAACAGAATAGCCCTTGATAGAGAAAATCTCAAGACACTGCCTAAGCAGAAACAACAGTGGATAATATTATAATACTTCAAATGTTCAGAACTTAAAGCAGATAACCAGAATAACGCTTAGTGTCTTGCAGTTATCAATATTTAAAAACTGTTATTAGTATATAATATTCAACCTTGTTACACTGGAGTCTTCCCCGCCGTGATGGTATATAATTCCGTTTGGTTCATGTCCGTGGTCGGAAGCCATCATAGCGGTGCACTCACTTACTCACTCACTCACTTTGTCCCTCCGAACTTTGACTTTCCATTTTCAACATATATTTATGAACTCATTGCTGTCGTTACCTACCTAACATTTTCACTTCGAAATGCTTATCTTGAATGCTCTATTTACTTTTTTCACTACATATATATAAATATCCAGGTACCCATTTCACGTCACCCAGGTACCCATTTCATGGGGCCTTCGGCCACCTTAAGAAACGTCGTTCATAGCTATTCCTTCTTTTTTGTCCTTGCATATCATCGGCAAGTATATTGTTATCATTTATGTATTTCGTTTCATTCTTCACTTACTTATTATCAATGTAGCATTTGTGCATTGCTACGCAGGCGTCTTCTAAGCTAATGCGTGGGAGGCTGAGTTCGCTTGCGCAGCATGTGCTAAATGGTGCTTTTCGCATCTCTTTGTGATGCATGGGCCTCACGTTTTTTTGCCTTCTTTTTGGAAATTTATTTCTTTTTTTAATGCTCTGTTCTGTTAGATGGTTTCTGTTAATCGGACATAGCTGAAAAATAATATCATATTTTCAGTTTTAAGTTAATGAAATCTTCTTTTACTATTGTGATATCCAAAAAGTGTGGAGGTTTATTTAAACTAGTATTTGGGCTTTTGAAGTCGTTAAATTTATGATGCTGTTTATATAATATTAGATAAATCCTAATACGTAAGTCTTTGCACAGAACTGAAACTACAGTAGACAACAGCTCCAGTTAGACGTTTACGCCAAGGACGAATCAATGGGTCTACCATCTGGGGGTCAGGCTAAAGCTGTTACTCTGATAAGAGATGGGTCGAACAGGTAAAGAGAATTCTAAATAGTTTGAGATGCCCATTGAGCTGTCTTCCCTAAAAGAATAAAGTATTGTGATGAATATTAAAGTATGAATTTTCGTTTGCAGAAGATGAGGACAGCTCAATTCTTTTTATGCAGTACATGGGAAGGTTTACATCAAATGAAAGTAATGAATTGTTGCGTCATTCAAAAACCAAAACTTCAGTTAAAAATAAAAATGAATAAACGTTTGATAAAGATTGAATATCCTAATATGAAACTGCATCCATCGTTAGCACGATACTGAATCGACAATAATTTAGAGAAAGAAAGATATTCGTTTTTTTTTTTTTTTTTTTTTTTTTGCTATGGAGATGGAACTGATATATCGGAGCCGTGTGTAAAACAATCTTACCTTTTATTGTAAAGCCTAAAAGTCGTAACAGTTTCGAAGAAATCTCTGATTGTCACAGAAATATATGCAGGAGAAGCCTTTTTTTGTTTTTAGTGTGTAGCCATTTCTTATTCGTTTCCATTGCTGTGAGTTTTGTGGAAAAAAAAAATAAAAGGGATGGGCGACTGCTACGTCGTTTGTACAGATGAGGAAATGTCCATGGCAGAATCTAAACAGGTTTGTAGGGGGTACATCAAAAAAGTCTCACTTATACAGGTAAGCCGAATAGACAAACTCCAGATTTCAAATCCTTACAAAAATCATTGAGAGAAAAAGTGAACGAATCTGTAAACGTTGTTAATTTCATTATAAATTCAATATAAACTCCCGAATATTCAAGGCATTGTGCGAGGATATGGATGATATACTTACTGCATTACTTTTGCATTCAGAAGCAAGGTTGTTGTCAACAGAAAAGTACGAATATCAAATAAGAATATAATGTTCAAAATAAAAATAAATACTCAAACTAAAAACGTACTAAGTATTCAAATACAAATATACTAAATACTCAAAATAAAAATACACTAATTAAGTGGTCTTATGCTTATTCAATTTTCTAATAATAAATGACCTTCAGAACTTGTGTTTACAGATATCAACTAAGAGCTTAATTTAAAATCACTAATTTTTTTCATTTTTCTCAACTGCAATTAAAGAAAAAAATATAAGATGCTCATTTTTGAAAACCGCTCATTTTTAAGGAGGAATCAGTCAAAAACTCAGTAAGTTTTTCTCTTCTGAAATGCAAAAAAAGTAATGTGCTTGGCTATTTAATATTTTTTCATGAATAAATGACCTCATTTTATTATGGGGTATTGAAACCCCAAAATCTTCAAAAAATTGTGATTTCGGACTTTGCATTTTCAAATTCTCTACACTTTTATCTTTCTAAAAATACCATTCTTTAATCCCTATGAAAATTAGAACTGTAAAAAAATCTAGTTTTAACTTGTCATCTACTGCTTTGATCAATGAGGATTTTTACATAAAAACGCGTTTTTCTCCAAACGTGATTTTTTTATACTCGATGTACCTTTTCTCAGGAACTACTGCTCACAGGTATCTAAACTTGTTATGACTTATTTATTGGGTTCCCTAATACTTACTGAAATGAGCTTTTTGTAATAAACTTAGAAAAAAAAAATAAAATGTTTTTATGTGAGAAAAGTGCTAAATTTTACTGTGCCTAACAAAATATTCCGTAATTTACTCTAAAATTCAAAATGTTTCAAAAGCTCATTTCAGTATAATGAGATAGGTATACTTTAATTACAGAAAAAATTTCAAGCTTGTATCTACAGCAGATTTTGAGAAAAGGTACATCGAAAATGGCCAATTTTACATTGTCGGTATAGGGGTTTCTGATACCCCTTATGACAGAACAGTCCTATGACTACTTTTAAAGTTTAAAACTAGGCAAAACTGCAACCTTTTGCAGAAGAACTTTTACTGTAGAAAACGAGGGCGCTATATCTGATCGCCCTCGAAATCGATTGAGATGTATTGAAAACATACGCCAGGCTGCTATAACGTCTAATTTTAAAATTTTACTTAGGCGTGTTTCTCTTACAGTTTGCTTCAAAAGTGGCAGAAAAATTATTTTGTAATAAACAATTAGATTTTTGGAAATCATATATTGAAAAACATCAGAGTGAAATATTCGAGACATTTCACAACTTATTTTCAGGAAATGGGCTTCAGCTCACTAACGAAGGCAGAGACCATAAAAGACTCCACGGAACATTCAGACGTAACGTTCACAAGCACAATGAGGCGGACAATTGGATTTGAGATCCTTCCAATGTAGATTTCTTTAATGCAGTCTTAAAGTTATCATATCCTGAGAAAGAACAACTTACTGAGCTTTCGACTGATTCCATATAGAAAGGCGTTTTTGAAAAGAGAATCTTACTTTTTTTTTATTTCAAAGAGTAAATGAAAAATAAGTGATAAGGCAATAAACTCTTAGTTGATATTTATAAATACAGAAAGGAAAAAGAATTCTAATCCTATATTTATAAAAAAAAGTCACTGTGTCAAACCGGATTATCAGTAAAGATTTTACCTCTTTATACTTCATTCTGTCTTCGACAGGCTGAGCTCAAAAAGCAGACTACTATTTTAAGAATATTTAGGTTTTTTTAGTGTAGGAACAGACCTTACCAATAGTCATTAAATTCATCAATTCACTCATTTTCTCATTTCTAACATACAAAATGCTGATATAAAAATAATTATATTTCATTAATAATAATATGCTTTGCTTCAAATATCATGATGCATATTTTAAATAAATTATATAAAAATCAGTCTTTGTTTGATTATATTTTGATATCATTCATTGCAGGCCACAAATTTTATGACTTAAAGTAATGAAATAATAAGGTCCATTACGGGATCACTGGAGAAGCTATAACACGGTGAGAATATCTGAAGAGGAAGATTAGGAATACTCTGTAATGCAAAGCCTTTATCTACAGACACACAAAAGAAAAACAGAGAGCCGCTTCTCTGAATTGTAAACTGTACACTATATATGACTGAATATATTTCATTTGAGTACACTGATTTCAGAATAAAATGAAACTTTACCAGTCTGTATATATCATAGGATTTCCATCGCTCCAACGATATACACCTTCTTTGAGTTTATCACTGAGACCTGTAGATGAATAATAACATATAACAAATGCAACAATAAATAACATCGTGATTATTATATATTAATAAATTGAAAATTGTTCTTCATTCACAGAACTTTAGTTATAGCTCTTAAGAAATTGTTTAAGGAACAGAATATGAATTCTTTCGCAGAAGAAAAGAAGGATTCCGTTGAAGACATGTAGATTAATAGGGGAAAAATAAAAAAATCACGCAAATTTCCCTTACAAATCCTTCCCAGGAAGCTCTTCCTTTATGCAGATAGACTAGTGCGCTTTGGAATAATCAGTTAAACCAAACCAAACCAAGCCTAATCCCAGTATTCATTTAGCTATTGAATTAGCAGTCCATTAATTAATGATAGAAAACATATTAATTTTGATGGATACTATATAAATAGATATTACTTGTCTATAACTTGAGCAAAAAGTCCTCCGTACTAACTTTGACACAAATACACTGCTGGCCTTTAAAATTGCAACACCAGGAAGGAATGATCTGACGAACATCTAAAATCACATGAAAGGAAGAAGTTTGGGATATGCAATTGATTAGCATTTCAGCACATTTGACGACGCAGGTGGGAGAAACGACATTTGAAACACTGCATAAAAGAAAAGTTGTGCAGTAGATTTCTCATTCGGAAAACGCTTTGTAAGGTCGGCGTTTGCTAGAATATTGTGTTATGCTTCGAAAAATAAAAAGAAATACTTACCACCAAGTATCGGAATTCGATAGAGGCAGGATCTTGTGGATTATCGTTCCGTGATATCAACCGTCGCACTGGTCAACATCCAACCACTGTCATGCGACTAGGGAATCAATGAGTTGCTGAAGGTCATACTGAAAGGCATGCAGAATCTCAATGTCCTTACCTGACTAACGCCAGAGAGGGCAGATATATTATGAGGTCAGCCCTACAAAACCGTACTACCATATCACGGACCATTAGGCAGGAAATATGCATGTTTGCAGCACGCCCGGTATCGCTCATACGGTGCGTACACGTTTGCAACAGCGTGAATTATCAGCACGCGAACATTACTTAGGCTTCCCATGACAATGCAGCATAGAGAGAGACAGCGACTCTGGTGAAGACGCAGCTGGATACAGGAGTGGCACAATATCTACTTTTCAGACGAGTCTCGTTTCTGTTCTGATGGCTGTATTCGTGTCTGAAACCTCCGAGGAGACTGCAAGCCTGCTTGCATTAGATATCGGCATAGGGACCGTGCACCTGTTGTGATGGTTTGGGCAGCTATTGGGTGCATGACACGCACATCTCTAGTTCGGATCGACGGTAATTTGAACGCAGATCGGTACATTTCTGAAATCGTACGTCCAGTGGTTGTGCCTTATTTTCGAGGTCAGACAAATGCCACCTTCCAACAATATAATGCACGACTACATGTTGCATGTCGTGTTCTGAGCTTCCTCGATACACAGGGTATTCGATTGCTGCCCTGACTTGCACAGTCTCCCTATCTGTCATCCATTGAAAACATCTATTCATGGGTTGCTAAGAGACTGGCCAGCCATCCCTCTCCAGCTAATACGGTTGATGAAGTGTGGCATAGACTTAAAGCAGCATGGAATGAGTTGCCCATTTCTGTCATTGAAGCACAGTTTAATTCCATGCCTAACCAGGTAAGGGCCGTTTTAGCTACCAGGGGTATTAGCTGTTTCTACTAATTCGCACACCTGTAATCTCCAAAACTGCATACAAATTTAGTCACCTTGTCTTCATGTTGTACAGTTTACGTACAATAAATATCTTTTTTGTATTTGCGTTTCTTTATGGTGTTGCAATTTTAATGTCCAGCAGTGCAATTCTGCAGCTACGTTTGCTTTAATTATGCTCGAAATATTATTGCATGCATTCTACAAGTTCTGTAAAAATATTACAGTAATTTAAGTAATATTTTCAACCTTAAATTTAAGCCAAATATTCCTTTGTAATGTATATGCAGCAATTGCCTTAAAATTTGACATATAATATTATAACTGGACAAATCGTTTTTGTAAATTTTTAAAGAAATGTGAAACTATTTTTTCGCATAACTTTCTTCCATTTCAATTTCATTATTATAATGCGCTATAAGTCTGCTAGCTATAAATGTTATGTATCATTAAAATAGTTAGAAAAATTGTTACCAAAAAAAACATGTAGCCAAGAATAATAATGAATTTATGATAGAAGGAAATAATTAAAATTTATCTTAAACTTTACAGCAAAAAAATTTTAATTTAATATATTATATTCTGTTGAAAGGAAAACCAATGCATACTGTATTTTCTAAATAACAGATTTCTTTTTTCTCAAACTGGCATATTCCGCTCGTTTCACATATTTTATCAGAGATGGGAATTCATGTTTATACTTCAAAGATTTCATACCAATTTCTCCTGAAAATATTTTACAGTGATAGTAGAAATGGAACAATTTTGAATTTAATTCATTCCTAGCATTGATTTTAGTAACTGGGTCATCAGTCCTATCATTCAGATATATATATATGTAAGATAAAATTATTTGAATCAGAATTATAATATAAGTATAAACATTAATTCTTCCTCTCTATTCTAAAATCGTAATAACGTCTCTGCATTGCGTCATTTCTAGATCACTCTATGGCCCGCGCAACTCTGATGACGTAATAATTGGAAACTGAAACTGCCTTGTAAACCAAAACTTTTCTCTTCGCAGTGCTTCCATCCTTCATAACTACGCACTTCAGCTTTTGCTCTCTACTGTGCTAACATGTAATTTCGCTGGCTTGCTTTCTATTTCAACAATATCAAAAATGTAAATCTTCTGTGGAAAGGCACGACTAGAGTGCCAAGTGATTGTGGCCACAAATATCAAGTGCAAATAAAAATGGAATTAAAACTGCCTCGACTGCCAAGTTCTTTAGATATTATCAAGTTAGCATCACTAGCATACTACGCGATCAAAATCTCCTTCAATATGGGTCTAATCACGCATCTACAGTGTTCCGTCTTTTCCTTTGCTGCTGTTATGACATATATAAATGTAAAAATTAGTGTTTTCTTACTCTGAAGATAAAATAAAAAGTATATTTATCAATTGCCTGTACATAATCAATCCTTCACCCAAGTCGGGTTGCCTGGAAACCAAGAAAACGTCGAGCCTTAGTCGAAGTAAAATCTTTATTCTTTCATTTCCCCGCAGTGTTCTTCAATGAACGAAACGGTATTTCAGAAATATAAATTTTACCATCATTAAGAATTTAGTAAAATGACTAGTTCCACAGAATTATAAATTCTACGTGATGTGGTGATTTGTGGTGCTGAGATTGACTTGTGGCTCGCAGTTGTTCTGTGCGTTCAGTATTTCACGTTTTATGTGAATAGAATCCTCTACTGCTAGAGCAAAAGAGCTCTTGTGCGCTAGATTGAAGAATTCCGACTCTTTCAAATTTGCGAGCTTTGGGGGGCTTCGCGGCTGCCGTACACCCTCTCCCAGCATCTATATGTTAATGAGAAAGGACAACTGGTTGCCATGTTTTTAAGACCATGCGATGATGTTGTTGATCATTTGAATTGGTGGGCTATTAAACTCTATTCGTGAGGAGTGACTAGTCGGGTCTGTTGAGCATTTGTGAAGCGATGCGCCGTGGGTGGCGCGAGAGACGTAGTTCGTCAGTTTTTCTCCTGGTGGGCATGCATAAGGTGCGTGTACCTATCACGTCCGGGTCAGCACTGTGGCTGCAGGAAAGTAGAGGTGATGCCTCAAAGTAGAGCAGTTGTGTGATGCTTTCGGTGTTACGCGAATGTTTGTTCTTGGCGACATCTACGGGTAGAATCACAAGAGCGCTGCGAGATGCCGTCTCGCTTTGGTTTTTCTTTTCATGTGAGCATAATCCTTTACCGCTAGGGTATAAGAGCTCTTGTATGCTAGATTAAAGAATTCAAACTCTCAAGTTTACGACCATTCATTTGCTCCGCGGACGCCATATAGTGATATTATGAAACACACTAAAATTAATTTTTATTTATTTATAAATATTATATATGATGGTAAAAATACATAAAATTGTACACGAATACATTACATAATGAAAATCTGTTTCCGTCTCATGAATAATATAGTTAAAGAGATCTAATAGATAATCAGACTCACACGCTGGGTTTGGTTTGGTTTATATGATTACGGCAAAGCCTAGAGGACTATCTGCCTAATGGAAGGGATGCCTTTGTGGAGTATATTCTAAGGGTAACTGGCTCCAATACATATTATGCATGGGGAAAACCACGAAAACGCCCATGCAGCCAGCACGTTTGCCTGTACTCGAACTTCAATCGAACTACCATCGTTCAACGGCTTTACCGCTGATGGGCATCACACGCTGGGATACGGTTGGGTAACATAAAGAATTTTAATGCATTTGATTTCCTAAGCTATAAGAATACATAAAAGTTCTATGCAACTTACCGATGTATAAAGATCTCTGCTTTGCTTTCCACTCGTGTATAAGAAATGTGTGTAAAATTTCATTTTCTTTTTTGTCCAAAATGCTAACAAGATGAGCATTATTCTCTTTCCCACCATACGTTCTACATTTAGATTCCGCTTCGTACCACTGAAGAGTATCATTTTCGTGAAACGCCTTATAACAGTAGCCATTGTAGTATTTCCAGGTTTCTGGACATTTTACATCATCTGAAATGCCCCAAAACAAAAAAATATCTATTACTAATATGTGTGAAGTAATGAGAATAAATTGATTACTTTAATGGAAATCAATACAACAATAATTCTGAATAGAATTAAAGTGAAAATAAAAATTTGCATTTTAAACGCAGAATTTTAAAATATATTTATGTAAAGGTATTGAATTGTTTATTACAATACAAAAATATCTTTATCTCTAAAAAAGGTTTATTTGAGAGGATATATTATCTAACTATTTTAATATATTCGGAGATGCATGCATGAGTTCTTTAGATTAAAGTAATGTTGTATTTATATATTATAGATATTTAAAAAGAATAAATGGAATTTAAATACAAATTTAATTAATTCTTTGCGACATGGCTGCAAGGAATGAAATTTAAATTTTGACAAACAAGTATATACGTAAAAAAGCAAATTTAAAGTTTATAATTAAAAAATGTGCAAACCTATAAAAGATTTAATTTTCGAACTAATCTACAATATCATTTAAATTCAGATAGCATAAGCAAATCAAGTGCAAAACCAAACCATGAAAATAAATTCCCCAACTAAGCAAATTAAAATTAATCTAAATTTTTTTTTAAAAAAAAAGCATAAGTGAATGACTGTTGAGCAGGCAGGAGCCAGACTTATCAAGGGGAAGTTTCCTCCAAACCTAACTCTACAATCATTCAATTCGTGTTTCGTCATTCATGTTTCGTCATTCATGCAGTTTCTAAAATGCATTGGTTTCTAAATTAATTAAATTTAATTTAATACTAGATTTTACATTGCTTAGTTCTCAAAATACTTCATTATTGGTTTTTTTTCCTTTTAGACCTTATTTTATTTGCTAATTTCTCAAGGTACCACTTTATTGGTATTTCTTTTTGGACTTTCTTCACTATGTCTTTACTTTTGGTATTGACTTTTTCCCTTGCCTGCATGAATGACGAAACACGAATTGAATGATTGTAGAGTTAGGTTTGTAGGTAACTTCCCCTTGATAAGTCTGTCTCCTGCCTGCTCAACAGTCATTCACTTATGCATTTAAAAAAAAAAATTAGATTAATTTTAATTTGCTTAATTGGTGAATTTATTTTCATGGTTTGGTTTTTGCACTTGATTTACTTATGCTATCTGAATTTAAATGATATTGTAGATTAGTTCGAAAATTAAATCTTTTATAAGTTTGCACATTTTTTAATTATTTTAACTTTAAAATTTGCTTTTAACGTATATACTTGTTTGTTAAAATATATATATATTTATATTGGCTAGCTGGCATTTTAGAAATCATTTATATAATTTTATCATTTTATATGTAAAGGATTTCCTATATCTGATGCAAATATTTCTGTTTAAATATTTATTACATTTTATGTTCTAAAAATTGATAACCTAAGTTGTCATTGCTCCGTGACATGGAAATTCATTGAAAAGAATGTAAAAATGAACTCGTGGCATACGTCCTTCTTTCTGCTTACGTCCAGATCTTTTATAATTGACCCGAATGCAACCTCCTACATTTCATCCTGACTAGCCATCACCACACGAAAATTATTGTTCATCCTCTTACACGCTTGTTATTTTCTCGATTCTTGTCAATTACCTATGTATATATTTTTCATATCATATATACTCCCACTTCACACAAGTTGTATATCTAGTAGTCATTTCTGTTTCTGCTATACATATTAGTATCAATTTTATATGTAGTAGTTTACTCTGCATGATCTTATTACTTACTTTCTCGTTCTGAAACAGCTCAATTGTTTTTTCTACGTAAGTAAATGATAGTTACTTAATTTTGGCTTCCTGAAGAGTTTGGGAATGACAGTGATAATTTCGTGTCATAAATCTTCCTACCTATGGCATTATAAGGATGAACATCAGCTGGCATTTCGTAACTGCTGGATGAATATTTAAGAGAAAATCCTCTTCCAGTATGCTCTGTATCTGATGAGAACTCCAACAAGAGTGTGTTCCAACTAGACACGATTACCAATGGCGGTTTCTTAGCGTTGCAATATCGACCAATTATATTGGATCGTTCCCCATCGTATACAGCTAAATAATCATGCTGGCAGTTTTCTCCACCAACAATGTCAAAATCTTGGAAGGTCAAATTAACAAAGTTCGTCTCATTTACCCTGAAAGAAAAAAAATCATACCATCATTTTATACATACACATTTGTCAAACGCCATCATAAGTTAAAAACTGGGATTTATATGTGAGTCAATTTTAACATTAGTTTAAGTTTTAGAAGGGAAGTAGAAATGATTGTTATTTAATTTCGCTTCATAGTATATTAATCTACGACGACAATTCTTTCCGACAGTTCTGATGGTAAATTTGACAGTTTTTATTCTAATCACAAGGTACTTAAGCAGAATTTTCTTTTTGCCTAGAAACGGAAAATCCTGTTGATAACGCAATATTTTAGTTAGCAGTTATCAAAAGCAAAACTGACACTATATAGTGAGTGAATACAGCATTTTCCCTGAGCAAAGGAAAGCACTCAACTGAGAAGGTTAGGAAGAAAATCTGATCTCGTCAGATAAAAGCATGCTATGAATTGCGCTTATATGGTTGAGAAGGAAACAGATGAAAAAATAAAGGTGCAATCTTATAGTGAAGTAAACAACTGGAAAGACTTACTTTCCTTCTATCATCGGTAACATGCTTTTATGACATTAATCCGTTTAACTTTGTAAGGATTATGTTCATTTTATTAACAGTTAAATTTAGAGTTAAACTTTCTTTCCTATCGCTTCTTAATTTCAACTTAGCACTTCCGGCCAGAACGTAGTTTTAGAATCACGTCTGAATGCTAATGAGGAAGAGAAGTATTTAACTGCGAAGTTCTACTGTCTTAGTGAGAGAGATACCAGATATTCTGGCTAGCACGCGTCCGCCTTTTTAGGCTGTTCTCTAGTAAGCTATTATTACACTCGGCCGTACTTTAGGCCCTTGATAGCTTCGCAGTCAATTAGCGTTAAGGGGCCAACTATGTTAGAATTTTGATAGCTTTGGCTATAATATCTCTTTAGTTAAGATTAGTTAAGTTTAATTCTTAGTTTCCTAAGTTGAAGCCCGAGGGTCGGCTTTATTGTACAACTCCAAGACGGACTAGATAAAGGGTTATTTCCCTCTTCTCACTTGTTTTCTGAGTCACGAACTCAAGCGATTATTCGCTTACTAGTTCTTAAGATTCTTCACATTCATCTGTAACTTAGAAATACACAGTGGAGAATCCTACAACTTTTATTCAAGTATTGTGTTCTTATTTTAATTTAATATTAAATTACTTATTCACATTTGACTTTTGTAATAATATTTTTTTTTACTTATTTATGATGTAGAGTCATTAGCTTATTTTTGAAACAGAAGAGGTGAAAAATGTGCAGTGCCTCCGCCGGGACTCGAAACTTGGACCTCTTGAATATGTCGAGTATGGTTCCAATTACACCACGGAAGCATGAGGAAATGAGGAGGAAAATACCTTATCAGGTAGCATAAGTTTAAATGAATTTATTTTTATTTTTATCTCTTTACATATACATTAATAAATGCAATGAATGAGCACATTATTTTCATTAGAAAGGTAGACTTTAATTGTATGACTTTTTATTACGGTTGTTGAAAATTTCGGCTGACAAAGACAAAATATTTCATCAATTATTACATTGCAGAGGCTACTTAAAATCTCTAATTTCTGTTTATTTTGACCCATATTTTAAGATTAAGACCCCATTTAAAAGATCGTTTCAGTTTCATTAGAACTCTATTATTTCGGTAAACACTCTTCTTAAAATAAATCTGATAAAATATGAAACTTGTTGAAATATCTATTACAGTTATACGTTATACTTAAGACAAGTGGCGACAATAATTTTCTAAAATACTGATCTCCGACCAAAATTTAATTCCACTTACAAAATTTCTCAAAAATAAGATCGAAAACATGAATGGACGCATTTACATATCTGCAGCTGGGACGTTTCTTTAATTGACAAACCTTAAATTTTATAAAATTTGTCTGCATCTTAACAGAATGTTTATCTGGACAATTACTCTTTTACGTCTCAGTTACAGTCTTTTACGTCTAAATACACATCTTTTCATATTTTTGTGTGCAAAATTAACTGCGATACACTTAACTGTGCTGTAATGTTTTCATTAGACTAAACATAAATTTAATAACATATAGGGTTCTACTGTAAATGAAAGATAAAGCAGACCCTATTAAATTGACAAATTACAAAATACTGAAAAAGGTAAAAGTATCCTTTATATTTAGCGTTAAACTGAACAGAATAGGCACAAGCTACGCTACATTGTGGGTATTTAAATTAACAGAACAGAAAGTTAAAATTTCAATATAAGTAACGTAGTCAGAGTCTGCACATAAAATAAACTTATTGAGCTTAGCTGGCTCAGAATTTTACTGGTGTGTATTTGAAAACTTCTACTAGCAAGACGCTAAAGGACAAAATATAACTTTAAACAGAGCTGGCGAGAGTACATAATAGTAAGACCCCGCTACTAAACGTTCTACTCTAAACATTCAAAACCCAATTCAGGTGAGGAATACAGAAAGAAAAAAATACAGTAAAGGCTTAAATCACAATAGTTGGTCAATTAAAATAAAATATCTTACAAGCAAATGCTGATTCCTATGAATCACCAAAAGAGAAATTTTTCTCCATAATTGTTTCCCAAATTCAAACTTTTACAGCAAATTTAAGGCATTTAGCGAAGCAGGAATATGACCCAAGTTATGAAATGCTTTGCTGAATACCTCAAAGAATTTTACATGTAAAATCTGAAAAGTTACATTTACCCAGTGAATAACGAACTAATCACAGATTTGCTTTGCAAACATTATAAAATATTCATCTTTTAATAAAATCGCTCAAACAAGCTTCTTCGTACCATTCTTATTTTGAGAAATTTTGTTATTGATAAAGCATACTTCACATTAAGTGTACAAGAAAATAAAGCCTGTAACACTATTTTCGAGCACTCTATATTACGCAAACCAAATGTTATCTTATATTTCTCAAATGAAACTTGGGTGATTATAATTAAAGTTTCAAAGCGCTATAAAAAAAGAACCACTCATGAAAATGACGTCAAATTTGAAAGGAATGTTATTGAAGAAGGCGGAAACCGTATGGCAGAAGAAAAAATTTAGTTTCAAAAGTTAGCAACAGATGGCGCTGCAAGCGGAAGAAGACGTAAACGTAAATTAAAATGTTGGTTAAATTTCAGTGTTATAAAACCGCCAGCCAGGTATCAAGGCTGTTCCTCATTTCGCGTCTCAGACATTCGCCATGGGTGTTTTACTGCAGGACGCGTGCTCTACTAATAAAGCTGTATTACAAGAGTGATGATGATGCAAGAGTAGCTCTGCAAAAATTCAGGACACTGAAGGGTATAAAAGAAGGCGTTGGTCCAATGAGTGTCGTGAAGATCTAAAGAAAATGATGCAAAAATTCGAAAACGACAGGTTCGTTTGATGTGCAATCTGGTAGAGGGAGAAAACGAGTGCATTCGACGGTAGTTGAAGAAGTGGCCACAGCATTACAGGAGGGGTCGGCCGGTGCAGTGTGCAACCGTGCAGTGCACGAGGAATTGCCCGAACATTGGACAGGCCTACGAGCGCGACTGCTGAAAATTGTACGAAACATCCTGCAATGCTATCCGTACAAAATTTGGCCATGTGCAGGAGTTGCTTCCGTCTGACCTTGACAGCTAAGGGAGACGTTTGCGTTAGAATTCCTGGCTCGCATGGAAGTGGATAATGAATGGCCGTGGAAAATTTTGTGGACAGATGAAAGCCCATTTCCATCTGACAGGGCATACGTGAATACCCAGAATTGTTGAATATGGGCAACAGAAAATCCACTGGCAACGCCACCCCGTACCACTTCATCCTGAAAAGGTCATGGTGTGGTGCGGCTTTACGACATCATTCGTCCTACAGCCATATTTTTTCGAAGCAGATGGGTGCTTCCGATCCTGTTATCCGCAACCGTCACTGGTCAGAGGTTGCGTCTATTTTGCGCAACCACTCTTCCAGCTCTGCAACAGCGTGGATGTGTCGGATGAAATCAATTTTTATACAAGATGGCATTCCTCCGTAACATTGCACATCCCTTGAGGCAGCTGCTGAGACGCCATTTCGGAAATGCTCGAATTATCAGCCGTCATTTCCCTACAGCCTGGCCGTCCCGATAGCCTGATCTTACTCCGTGTGATTTCTGGCTGAGGGGATATCTGAAGGTTGTTGTGTTCCGTGCTCCAATTGCAAATTTAGCGGAATTAAAGGCACGCATTTCGCAACACATTCTGAACATCACCCCGGAGACACTGCGATCCGTTGTGGAACATGCTGTTTGTCGCTTTCAACTTGTTGCACACAACGGTGGACACCACATTGAACATGTTTTGCGCCAGTCTCGCGACAGTTCCGAACTTCTTTGATGAATGGTTCTTATGCGGTATGTCGCCGCAAAACTCTTGAAACTGATTTGTCCCTTTCGATGTGATATGTACAGTCATGCAAATAAATTATTCAATAATTCTAATTTGTCAATGCGTTTTAATGTGTAACTTCCAGCTTAGCCGTTGTTTTACGAATCATTTCTCGTTTCTCGTTGTGATTCTCCCGCTTACAGCGCTATCTGTTGCTAACTTTTGAAACTAAATTTTTTCTTCTGCCATACGCTTTCCGCCTTCTTCAATAACATTCCTTTCAAATTTCACATCATTTTCATCAGTGGTTCTTTTTTTATAGCGTTTTGAAACTTAAACTTTAATTATAATCACCCTATATAAGCAAAGTAGTTCTAAGAAACAACAATGGCAATTCTTTACACGTCATGTCATTATTTATTAAAGAAAACTCAATTTCGCAAAGAATATCTATGAATATACAAGGTATTTCGGCACAGCGGTTATAAACTTTCAAGAGAGATAGAACACGAGGGAAAATCATATATCAGTGCGTGGTCCGAAAAGCTTTCCTAGTGCGGTAGTGACGACGCAAAACACAAGACAAGAAGGACACGATCAAGATGAGAAAACAACTTTATTATGTAATGAATTCTGCCATATGGTTTCAGCATTACGGGGCTCCATCATATTATAGCCTTGATCTGCGTCTCCACTTAAATGCAACGTATCCTCAATATTGGATCGACAGGGAAAGTCCGGTGCATTGACCAACAAGATCGTCAGACCTCACTAGCATTGATAATGTCCTCTGGGGGAATATGTCAAGACACTGATGTACGAAACCTCCGTTAACAGTGCTGCAGAATTTGTTTCACACATCGTGGCAGCTACTGGGGGAACCTCGGTATCTTTAAGAACATCAGATTTTCCATGCGCCGGAGATATGAGTCTTGCATCACGGTCTAGGGTCGTAATTTCGATCCCCTTCTTCGATGACGACCGTTGTCTGCTTTTGTTCTTATTTCTTGTTACTATTTGGTTTCTGATGTACCAAGCATATAATATACATGTTTTATTAACCTATTGCTGCGTTTTGTGTTGCCACTAACGCGCCAGAAAGCGTTTTCGACTGACCATTGCTATGTCATTTTTGATCTTCTACGTGTATTCTATTTCTCCTGAACGTTTGTAACCGCCGTGGTGAAAAACCCTGTATAATTGGAGTTTAAATTCTTTAAATCCTTTTTAGTTTATTTTTAATTAATTAGTTCATATATATGTATTGTATTAACCTTATCAGCCAACTGCAACGGTGATTATTCTGGTAATTCAGAGGATGGCCTATAGAGATAATTTTTCCACAAGTCGATTCACACACGTATCTTCCAGTACAGTAAAAATCTCCAACTCCACAACCTGGACAATCTGAAAAATGAAACAAAACCAGCATCTAATTTAACTGAAACTGGATAAGAACATAATTTTAAAGTTACAGAAACAAATCTGAGCTCGCAAACAACCATTCTGCTGTTCCACTCTCTTCTGCAAATCCAATTTTTATGTCTTTTTGGCTTTAAGAATCATAAAATCATTTTCTCCGCCATATACAATTCTACAGCTAATTATAAAAACTTTTAAAGCAGCATAACAGCACATGTTTAGAATTACCGATGCACAGTTAAGTGTGTTACATACATTATTCAGTTTTTCTTAGTTCATCAATACCAATGTTCCGTTTTCTTAATAAGGTGGCTAACAAAATCTTTTATCTCTTGTCTTTTTATTATTAATGTTTTCTACGTTAAATGTATTTACTAAATGTCACGTTCTTCGCACTAATGTCACATAAAATTCAATTCAACAGCAAAAATCACAAAATATACAAAAACAGCATATCTTTAGAGTTTCCGACAGGCAGACTCGTGCCCTGGAAATAAAAATGCTTTATTCCGTTCAGTGCTTTCACTGCTTGCTTTTAAATAATTGAGCTGATTAATGAAAAACTCCTGAAAGGTTTACAAAATATGAAATATAAAATTCGAAATTGAAAATTTGGCTTCCAAGTGCACATCTTTGAAGAGGAAGTCTATGTTATTTAAAGTTTACTGGCCCTAGGTCCCTTCCATGTTTTCACAATGAGAGAAAAATACATACATTCATGCATACTCTTGATTATTTAATTTTATTTAAAATAATACAGGGCCATAATATTGGGTGGCAATAATTTGAGAAGTGATACAGCCGTTTACAGTGGGAAACGTAAAATCCTGTGTCGAAACGAATAGCCCATTTGGGCTAAACCGCATTTAACCTAAAAACCGCATATTAAGTACTTCAGATTACCCGAGTTAAAGTTTCAAATATTTAAAATTTAAATCTTAATCTATTACGCATTCAAATATTTACATAAAATATTCAAATTAAAAACCCACAAATCGTAAGATTAAACGGTGTTAACAATCTGAGCTTGGAATATAAATTTTTATTTAACACCTGTTACAATTTTAGGCAATTACGATAGACTCCGTTAGTTTGAGCATTAGTTCTGCATAAATTAAAGTGTAAAGTCCTTATGTTAAATTAATCAGTTATTATGTTTTTTATCTTTAATTCAAAATTGTCTTTCCGTATGCTCCGTCTGAATGCAAATTGGTTTATAGTGCTTTTAAGGTGAGGGTATTTAGATCTAGACAGGGAGGTCCTGGTACTCGCGTTGTGTTGGTTAGGATTCTGCAAGTTCTAGCTAAATATAATTATTCCGGCTTTGGAGATTTCTCGTATGTGTAAACTCACTCACTTAAAACTTAGGTTGACAGAGTCTGTAGCTTAAGTTGGCGGTTCCCAATGTGTGTGCCGCGGACTCTCCACAGAGACGCCGCAAAATGTTGTAAAAGCTTCATAATTAATTGAACCAAAACATTTCACTTAACAAAAAACAAAGTGAGAAGCTAAAAATACGTAGGTGTTTTTTTTTTTTTTTTTTTTTTTTTTTTTTTTTTTTTTTTCTTTTACTTAACCCTGTATAGACGTAAAATCGTCGGCTCAGAATATGATTGCAAACGCGAGACAGCAACACTGCGCCTTCTCGATCCCGCTGTACTTCACAACAACCTTATCTGAGAACAGGTACAAGGCTAGAACGGCCATTTTACGGCTTTTCACGGCTCAGTCCGTATTAAAGAAACCGTGAACATTTCTACGTATTGTTGCTAAAGATAGTTCATCGTATCGTTTCATTCGGGTTTGCGTATACAGACTTTCAAAGGCCGTTTTTTTCCCGGATTCGAAAATACACTATTTTCTGTTAGATTGAGCTTCATGCAATTTATGCTTGTCCCAAAAACGCCAGTCAAATCAGCAGCATACGTAACAATTTTGTTAATCGATTTATTAAGAGCAAGCTCCCATAATTTGATAAAAACATTCATAATGATATTCTTGGGTTTCTCAGTCTTATGTTTTTGACGTATGTTTTTGAAACTATACACATGCTTCAAAGATGAAGCAGACGCCATAACAATTGCTTTCTTTCCACACGGTCAGTAAATGATTGAATGCTTTAGTTGCTTTTCTCGAAAGTGGGGGTGAGATCGGGGTTGCTGGAATTTGCAGTCTCGCCAATAAAGCCAAAAAAGGGAAAATTATCCTATTGGTCATCGAATGACTGACATGATATTCGCAAATATTTAAATAAAAAGTTAGATGCAACATAAATTATCGTTTCACACATTGTTTTTCATTCTGTTCTCTTTACTCAACAATATTTATATATTGTTGCGTTTTTCTTTTCTGACACCAGTTGTTACGTTATTTTCTTCCTTTACGTTAGTACGGGGTTTGTGATTTGGAGTGAATAACGACGACATTTGACGAAGTGTTGAAACACACTTTATTTTGCCAATATGAATCAGGATAGCTCCAATAACACTTTTTACAGTCGTCGAAGATCTACTATAAACGCGCTGGAACAATCAGCTACACAGCTTTCACACTGTCAGGCAATAACGGTGGAAACAGCTTCCCGCAAAGCACCAGAGTACAGCTCCCGACTCTGCTTGGTCGTTCTCGGAACTCCACGTACTCTGGAGACTCTCCACACTACAACTCGCGATGCACAGAGCACAGCTCCCGACTCTTCGGTTCAGTCGTTCCTGGAGCTTCTTTCTCGACGATGCACTAACCGCGATCCACTAAGAGACTCTTCGATGCACTTGACAACCCACTCGACACTCACTGGCCGGCTGACAACTCGATCGTCTCCGCGCGGACTAACTAGATAAGACACACTATCTGGCACTCCAGACGAGGCACACTCACTAACTCGCCCTCTCGACGAGGCACTGTCGAAGACACTCACTGACTGCGGACTAGCACGGTTTATATAGCTTGCGTTCGAGAACAACCGGTAGGAATTCGTTCCAGAAGGTTCTCCATCCGAACGTGGCATATCGCCAATTTTGTCGCCAAATAGGCGATTTCTCGCCAAATGTGGCAACCCTGCATTTTTATGTTATTTTATGGCAACCCTAAAATTGCTTTGCGGGGAAGCTACCTTACCCCGCCTGGACATTTCGTAACAATATCGTAACATAATTTTTACAATATGGTCTCTTGAAATAAAAGAGCTATCTTCTACGGCGGACGCATACATTTTTCTTCTATGTCCAGTATTTTCTACTCAGGCTGACCGGTGCTATAGACGCCTCGATGTGCGTAGATCCTTCACGACAGATTTCGACTGGAACATTTGCGGAATGCATATAAGCAAACGTTGCCGAAATGATTCAATCAGTCTGTTTATAATCCAAGTGTAGTGAAATTAAACTCAGCCCTTCATTTAAATAAATAGCGATATTAATTAGGTCATGTAGTGTTGTATTACTTCTTGTTGTTGTCCGAGATAAATAGTTTTGTCGTATTTTTGCTCTTGTATATTTGATGATTGACTGACGTTTGAACAATAAACGATAATAAACGTAACAGTGCATATAAAGAAAGCATGACTTGAATAAATGGCACGATTGGGAAGAAACGAAATTATTGTAACTATAATGACGGTTATTTAGAGCTGGGTTTTACGTCATAGAAATAAATGGTAAAGAGAGATCACAATGTGTCTTATGTATAAAATTAGGCTGCTTCAATGAGTAAAACTTATATTATACATTTTTACTGTAACTCGAGGATAGAAAATTCAAGTAATCTCATTTTCGTTTACACCTTGAAAATAGAAAATAGCTAACTTGATGCTAACAAGGAATACTTGTCAGCGTAGAATACCAAGCTGGTTTGAAAAAAAAATACAGCTGATTTATGTACATCATCTGAAGGAACAGTGAATATTGTAGATGTTTGCACGTATTAGGGTTTATTTGACTGCGTTTTAGTATTTATGTATTTTATAGTATTATGTATAATTTTTGTTATTTAGTGCTAGTTGGTGTTTTTTATTAAGCTCTATTAAATTAAAATTAAACAATAGCTTTTTTTAATAAAACGTATGGCCACTTACTGTGTTTTCAGATACTTATTTCGTGGACTTTGTTGTAGATCTTGAAATTTGGAACTGATCGACGTTTTAATAGCTCAATTAGAAGAGGGAATGTGGGCAAACATCCACCTTCCTGATCATAGCTAAAATGTTTGTCTCTGACTTGATGATCTATTTCTCGCCACATACAAACGTTTATGATTAATATATTACTTCGACATATACTTAGAGGTACTTTGTTAATAACAAACGTTTGTTTCTGACCGCCATTTCAAATTCATCTGCAAAATGGTTTAGAAAGCGAATCGCAAAAAAATATATTATACTTCAGTTGGAATAAATTGACTGAAAGGAGTTTAATGGACTAGTAGTGAAAATATTCTTGGTTATTTATTTGTTTCAACAAAAAGTACGAAAGCATTCTTAATTACAAATTATGGTTCTAAAAATGCTTTTATTCACATGAAAAGTTTATTCATGTAAAATGTGTATTCACAAAAAACTGCGAAAGGCATAGTTAGACGTCAGGACCAATTATGCCCTATTTCGATGTTGTGGAGACTTAAAATTGATACATTCTCATTAATATTGTTAGTTTCTAGAAAATACGATTATCATACTTCAATTTAATGAAACACTGGCTTCGGAACGAATGATAAGGATATTTTCGAATACTTACCTACCAATTTATAGTGCGCATCGAATCCTCTGTATCGGCTGCGAGAATATCTGAAACAACTGCTCAGGTGAATTTTCATTTTCCCGTTAGAAATTATCCTTTTAGGAAAGAGCTTACCATCAGGAGACTTTATAATTTGGCTCTTCCCATATCTAGGATACACAGTAAGTTCATCACAGCATGCGCTAGAATCTAGGCTGTCTTCTTTTGCCGCTAAGTCATAAACAATAAAATTCAAATCCACGTGTTTGTTTGGTCCCGGGTCAATGATCCACCAACAGGATTTATCCTGGCCGTAATAGGAAGGATAGTTTGGCGATGATATTTTTCCTTCAATTTCGTTCAGATTATATTCACATTTCACTGAAAGAAAATAAGTAAATTACATCGTTTTTCATATCTCATGGATGAAATTTGGATTAATTTTAAAATATCGTTTAAAAAACTATAAGCGGAATAAATCAACAGAAAGGATATTGTGAAATATTCGTCATTTACAAAGTCGAGTTCAGGCAAACATTTTATACTATTTTCTTATGTTTCAGATATAAGTAATTTACTGAGATAAATGGTAGTCCTGCATTATAATGCATATCAGAATAAGCGTATCAGAATAAAAATTTATAGTGATCTTTCAAAAAAATAAATTTCAAAGACTGAAATGTACACGTTTAAAACATATAGCAGCCCAAACGCTTATAAATTTATTGACTATTAAACATGCTTAACAGAAACTAGGTAAATAGCATGTTATCATAAAGCTGTAACAATTTAACATAATCAATCATATCATCAAATACCTTACAGGTAAATAAAAGGCTGACCGAAATCCCAACCTGAAACTATGACATCCTCGTCAGGGAAGGAATTCCGTTCTGGTTGAAAATCTTTGTTCTAGAGGAGTCGCCAGTAAACATTTTTTTAGAAAGGGCTAGATTGTAAAAAAATTAGGCTCAAAGAACCAAGTAGCATTCATGAAGATATGAATGGTTAATTTTCTCCCAGAGTAAATAACGAATAAAAGATTTACCTTTACATATTATAAATATATTAAAATTTCTAATGCAAAGAATGTAATTGTTTTAAGTTCTCATCTTACTGAGTTCGAAATTAATACGTCCTACCATTAAAGTTGTTTGCAAATGGTCATTTGTTAGTAATGATCCGAATTGAGATTTTACATGCTTCATTTTCGAAAATGTCTTTTCGTATAGGGTAAGTACTTCCAAGTACGGATATCAAATCCTCGTGCATATGATTGTAACTGAAAGTATTTATCTTCCGAAAGATATTAATAAAGCTGAGATAGATACTTTTCTTTAAACATCAATTTTGATATACAATCAATTTGCTAATCAATCACTTCCAGGTGAAGGTCTGATGAAACCCATTTGATTACATAAAGCTCGTCAATTATACAATCAAATGGGTTTTGACACATGAAAATATCTTTTGCACTTTTTATATACATCAAGATTGACAAAACTCTCTTATAACTGTAGTATAAGTTCAAAAAATATATCCTGTGCAAATCGTTTTGGAAATGAAGATTTTGCTAATATCTGAAATTTCGTAGAGCCTGGAAAATGGTGAAATTTGTTTAATGTTATTTGCATTTCTAACAATGCAAATTTTCGGCGATATGCCTTTACGCCAGAATACATTTCGCACGTTACTACTTTTTTCGGCTGTCACAAGCTAACATGATTTAATTAATTCACCATCGGTAAATGGTTTTCCTTTTGTGGCTAATAAATGAGCTATTCGTAAGCTGACTTTATTTGCTGCTTCATTACCATTTTTTGTTGAACCTCGAATGTCAGACTTGGTGCATGAAAGGTGCAGTTGCCCCTCGCTCCCTATTTTTTGACTTCGCTAATTTTATTGCGTGCTAGTCTATGTGTTTTATGTTTGATCAGATAGCCTGGCTCAGTAAAAGTAGGCGGCCAGTATAACTCTGGTGACGACCACCGAAATCCGGTGACGACCACGTGCAGTGCTGATAACGACCACATGTTTCTGAGAATCCTTTGCCAATGCTTTATTTTTCTTCTTTTTTTTCTCCTTTCTAGTAATTTCGTTCTCCTGATGAGGAGTGACCTTTAGCTGCCCTCGAAATCGATCGAATGTTTTAATATATGAAAGATAAATACAAGGTTGTTATTGCGATTTTTAATAATACCTTTGTTTCTGCATCCAAGAATTTCTAAGCGTAAACATGGCTTCTCATAATATTCCAAAATCTTCAGCTGAACTACTTTAGCTGTTATAGCTTTCAGAAGGTTAAATCTGATTTCTAGGTCATTCGTATATATATTACGTGATTCACACTGCTCACATACATAAATCTGCAAAAATAAAGAAAATACAGTTTTTAAACGAAAAATAGAAATGGGAGCCGTAGCTATGAAATGTATCAAGCTTATAAGCAAAAATATTGACAAACATGTTCACATAACGGACGAACATACTTCACATTACTTGAAGTAAGTTTTAAAGCAGAAAAATAAATTTATTGCTTTAGGTTAGAAATTAAGCGAAAATACATATTTTTAAGTAAAAATATTCCTTTATGTGAAAAATTCGAATTAAATCTTCTAAAACACAATTACAATTCATAATTTGCCTAATTTTTAATTAAAAAGATTAAAATTCAATAAATTGCTTAAATTCGTATTCTATTTCGCTATATATAATTGCGTTAATTTGGAATAATTGTTTAATATATCCAATTTTAATAATGCCTTGCTCTTTACTTCTTTTATTTCGAATAAATAGTTTTCAATTAAAGAAAATAAAGAACTTAAGGTACTTTTCCGTTTTGCCGGCGCAAGCGATAAAGCGGTACAACCGATGCCACGAATATTCTCGCTGGTAACCTTTTACGCCATTCAGAAGTTCATTTATGTCTAAGGCCATTTCGGACTTAATCAATTAGGATGCAATCACAGCGCTTACCCGAAGCGAAAATATAGAAAAGGTTAAAAAAAATATAAAAAAGTCCAAGGTTTAAATTCATCAATTCTAATGAGAATGCATTTAGCGAAGTAAAGCACTGCAGTTTTACATAATTTCTGAGTAAGTATTCGTACGAATTGAAGTATTCTTGCATTTAAACTTGTGTTCCAAATTAAGATTTAACTTGAAATTAATGTATAATTACTGAGGAATTATTTTTTGTAAGTAGTATACGTGAGATGAGATCGCTTGGGTCACGTGATATAAAACCGGCGCGAAACAGGATGTTGAACCATGAAAGCATATAAATCTTAAATTGATGTCTTTTATAAATTTATTGTCTTTATTATGGCTTTTATAAAATTTTAGCGATATTAAAATGTTTATGCCTTCAAAAAAAGAATCTTAGACTAACATTTTTTTTTTTTTAATATTTTTTGTGTGTATAATGTATGTTGTCGCCAATAAAGTCTGCTTGGCGAGATTTGCGCCGGCGAAACGGAAAAGTACCGAACTTAATTATGAAAAGCTTTAATATATATATATATAGAGAGAGAGAGAGAGAAAGAGAGAGATTAGACTTATCTTTAAATAACATGATTTACTCACGTATCAACGCAACCGATTTAGTAGAAGTCGCCAAATTTAGCTATAATTTAGCCAAATTAAGCTATATGTTACTATATAAAGATTTTAAAAAAAGAGGTAAATATGCTTAATTTTATTCATTAAGAATCCTTGTAAAATTAGCATGTATTTTCCGTATATATAATGCAAGTTATATAACATTTTAATGAAAGATATAATGCTTTCATAATCATGATTACGAAGTATTTTACCACTGTATGCTTTCTCATAGAAAATTAAGAATTTGCATTTGCTAGACTTGTAAATAGGAGGAGAAGCACTAGATTGCATAGGTGTATGGTGTGGTGTATTTTAATTATGGCGAAGCACACTAAGGCTACCTGCCTAAGAGGAGGGATGCCTTCGTGGAGGAATTTCTAAGGGAAACTGGCTCGTATAACGTTACACATGGGAAAACCACGAAAACACCCATGCAGCTAGCCCGTTCGCGGGATTCGAACCTCGGACCGAACTACCAGCGATTGCAACATAAAGCGGACATCAAGTTTTCAAACATGCTAATTAATCACTGTTTTGATTTATCGTACTTTTTGTTGACCCACAGGTTCTTCCTCATATTTCCAGTTGTTTGATTCATCAAGGAAAAATAGTTGGAACTTCTTTACACATGTTCTTTTCGGCGCTCCTTTCAAACCTTGGAGAACAATGCCAGTAATCTTAGTCATACTTTGCAAGGTCACCTGAAAATTCATTATTCAAATGTTATAATAGTATATAGAGTTTCAAACGCAAATCATCTTTGAAATACTGCATATATGTGCGGCTAGAAGTTGACTGCATTTTGACAGAAAAAAGAAATGTTTTAATTCAAAAAGATTGTATTTAGTTAGTTCAAAAGAGTACCGCAGTATTGAAAATTGTGAAAAATACGAAATTTGTTTTAACTTAATTAATTTCTAGTATTAAAAGGAATGCATGCGGAAGCTATGACTATTTCTTACCGTAAATTGTTTCAAAGTATCATTAGATTTAGCGCACCATCCATGGTCAGCATTTAATCTGCCACTCGTATAATAATACTTGTTTGTATCGACAGTAGAGGACGAGCTGATATGGTTGTCAAATATTTCTTCAGATGCCATACCAAGAGGCTGACCACATGCTTCTGCAATATGAAATATATAATATTATGAATATTAAAAAAATTGCATTACTCTAATACTGAAAGGCAGACAGAGTACAGTTACAGAGCATCGAAAATAAAATACAGTTATTCATTTGCAAATCATGTTACGGTGATAACTGACCAGACCAAAATATAACCAAATGGTCGCCAAGTTTGGCGAATTTGGATGCTTTCTTGCCAAATTAGCGAGATAGCTATTTACTCAATATTAAATAGACTTGGCCCTGTATTTTTAATTTTCCGGCAAGCTTCGTTCCTTCAGATTTTCATGCTACATTATACAAAAGAAATACAACAATTTCATGTATAATTTCACTAAAATTATCTATGTACAAAATTCGTAACAGTATCTACATATTTCAGTCTTCTTAGTAATTGTTACTATTGTCACTGACTTTATAGAACAAAGCACTTTTTATTGAAATTAATTTTTCTATAGTTTCATTAATATTACAATCAGAATTTGAAATACTGATAATATAATGGATAATTTAATAAAGCTAATAATAATAATATAATATGATAATTTAATAAAAAGTATTAATAATTATTATTCAATAAAACAATGATCTTATGATTTAATTGTATCTTCAATTATACCTTAGATTTCCTTGTTCCAATATACAATGTCAGAGGAAACGTAAAAACATAAAAGAAGAAATATGTTAAAGAATTGCACCTGTTCCGAAAATTTTCATCTCGCAGAGTTGCAGACTGTCGAACCTGTTGTAGACGTGTATAGTTACATATTGCCCGTAAATTGGCTGAGAACAATTTGCCCTCAGAACAGAAAACTCTTCGTTCATTACAGGATATACATAACATGTATAAGCATTCAAGAACATCCCTTCTTGTGTGTGACGAATTCCAAAAGATAAGTCGTCATAATAATGGGCAAATGTCTTTTGGAGTCCGGTTTCATCCACGGTGACACGAAAGCCTCGTAAGCTGTCCACTGAAAATTTTGAAAATGCATTGAAAAAATCTTAATAATTACATGAGAAAAATTTAACAGAATAAAATTTCTTTCACCAATAATATCAAATCTGTTATTGAGGTGTTCAGTTACTAACAAATCTAGTCTTAAATTAGCAGTTTCTGTATGATTCATTGTCTATGTTATTTTAAAGAAATAATTTTGTTTATGTTCTCATAACCCCAAAATTTGGTAGAAAATAATATTTTAAGGAACATCTTTCCTAATATTTTCGGTTGTCGTGCTGTTTTACATTTAACCCGGCGGAAGTCGCACCAAGAAAAGTTACTAGAGTGGGAGCGTGGGGTATCACATACCCCAGTATTTAAAATACGATAAAAATAGTTTTATTTAGTTTTAAAGCTGTTTCTCTTATTCTCATGTATTATAAATGCGTTAATAATAATTGGATTTTAAAAAAATAATTTCCAAAATAATCTTAGAGTTAAAATTAAGATAAATGAAAAAAATAAAAAATAAACATCATGCCTCTAAGTTTCATTGCATCTTTAATACACAATGCTTATTTTATTTCTTTACACTTTGAACAAAATACATTCATGTGTTCTTGGCACAGAATGTTTTCACATTTTAAACATTGCATTCACGTTCTAAACAAAGATTATGAGAAGAATTTTAAACTAAATTAAAAAAAAAAAAATCCGTATCAAATTTTGAGTGAAATTCTGTGGAATAGTGTACTCTTGCCGCAAATACGTATGTGTAAAAATTTCAAAAAATAGGGTCAGAAAACGAGTCCTTGGCGCGATTACAATGAAAGTGAATGCCTTGCAAATTATTACATCTTTTATACTTAGTTGTTTCGAATTTCATGTATTCGTTTTAATTCTTTGTCGAAACTTATGCTTTTGTTTTCATGTTGTACGTCAGTTGCTTGGTAAAGTATTAATCTCTGATCTTTGTTCAATACTTTTTTTCATTAATTGTAATGCTAAGTCCTTCAAAAACAGACTTCTGTTTCTGGTTGGCGGATTAGCAGTTGAATGTAATATAATTCAAGCATTCATTACAGCAACATTCAGTGCAGGAAAGAAAATTACCATTGGCAACCTCCTTGTTATTCTGGAAATTCAATAATTGGCTGACATTTCATCCCACATATCCCACTGCTCCTTTAGTCATATTATAAAAACATATAATACCTGACGTTTTATTTTCTCCAATAGTATCATCTATAGTATGATCGCTTATAATGTTGAAAGCATAAGAACAGTTTTTCCTTTTTTAGGAACATCAGAATTAATGTTTTATCTTTTTCGAAAACCAAAACAGTGTAGAAAATATTCCTAGTTTCATCTTCAGTTTCCGAAATCCAATCTTCATCGCTTTCAAATATTTCTAATAATCTCACAGGCGTTGCATCTCCAATTCATAGGGAGTCATCATTTTTTTACCATAATAATGCGGGTAGAAATTTTTAAAAATTTAATGTCAAGTACTTTAAAATCACTTGCGAGTATAAATATTTACTGTTACATTCTACAAATAAATTTCTGAACTAAATATTCAGTCACAAAAACACTTACGCGGACAGGCGCGTGGGGTGTGTAATACCCCAGTTCCAACAAAATAACGATAACTTTTTCTGAAACACACAGGCAAAGAAAAAGCGGTTCTAAAAGGCAACCACAACTAGAAACTCAGCTACTGAATGCAGCAGAGAATTTCAGTTTCACAAGTTAGGAATATTCCACTTTTATGTAGGGGGTGGGGTATGATACACCCCACGCGCTTTCCCGAGGGTTAACAGTCGTGTCATTTCTTACCAAGGAATGTGGAAAATTTTGCCATTGCATCAGATATGTGATCTTCAAATGATTTTCCACGCCACATTGCAAATAACCATTTTCCAGAATATTGTCATTAACTTCCAACTTCATAAACAAATATTGGTATTAAAAATTAAGAGAATACTCACTTTTTTCCCCAATTTCTCAAAGTGTCAGATAGAATTTGATAAAATTTGGTATCGGTATCAAGTAACACAAGACAGGAAACTGTACGATACAAAAGTGAAAGTACTCACTTATTCATGATCCCGAGTAATGATTACCAGAATCTGAATGACTTTACAGGATGGTATTCAATATGAGGCTAACATGGCCGAAATAATGATGGTCACATTTAACATTATAAGGTATTTCTCCCACTTTCCTAGCGTGCCTTCGTGGTGTAACGGTAGCACGCTGGGCCGGTATTCCAGAGGTCCGTGGTTCGATTCCCGGCGAAGGCGGTTGCATATTTTTCATCTCTCGAGCTTCCAATTTACCTAATGACTCTACAACATAAGTAGAAATCGTACAGTAAGTCCTCATACCGTTAACAAAATATTTTATAAATCTCTGAGACAGAAGCAAACACACAAATAACACCTACTTCCTGGATAGCTGTTGGAAAGTTTGAAAAAGTGAAATTGTCATCCTAGGTACATATGAGAAATATTAAATCGAATTAAGGCCTGGAGATCTGATTGGCCAATTGAAATTGCCGAATATATTAGGGCTCTAAAATCTCCTTTTCTATTTATAATGCTCCAAGATCTCCTGTGAGCAGCCAGAAAGCCTTTGACGAGTACATGGAACGGTGTCATGATCCTGGTTCATGGTTTACACCACAAAAGTGGCCTTTATCTCTGACATTGGTGCAGGTCCTAGGCTTCCTCCAGATGAAGGTATCAAAAATCAATGATGTTGAATCTAGACTTGCAACTGAAGAGAACATGGGCCTAATGAAGTTAACCCGAAATTGATGATTTCTACCAAACCTATGTCATACGCAATACCCTGTTCGAGGTAATGAGGGGAACACAAGCAGAAAGTTGGAACTAAGATTCCAGTAACAGAAAAGAGTTCCAACACTGAACTGTGTGAGCTGTTGGAGTTCTCTCACACCTGCTGAAAATATCGACCTTTATCCGGCTGTGTCGATCCTGGAAGCTTTCACCCAGGCCGCCTTTTGGATATGGATCCGGTCTTCTGAAACTGCTTCTAGAAATTGAAGACGATAATAGTCGTTACACTGAGATTTCTTGAAATCTGAGATTGGGACTGCAGTGCCTCAAATGTACCAATAAGTTATTTTTTACCCCATTGCAACTTTTAACTGTAGTCTTTTAACATGACTCATTCACTCAGAATGCTTATGAAAGTTTACAAAATATAACAGCAAAAACTTGTAGTGTTCTGCTGTTCGTAGAAGCGTGTGTCTGTGTCCTGTAGATTCTACTATACTGGAAGCGAGTTATCGGTTTAGTTTGTAACACATGACCAATTCCTACGAAATTTAAACTTTTTATTTAATTCTTAAATGATCAGAAAGACATTGTTTGTGCGACATGCGAACCTATGCTTCTTGAGAGCATTCAAATTAACATAAAATATTGTTACATTCAAACGAAGGTAACGTAGTCGGATAACACACATAACGCAGTTTTATTATATATAAAAGAGACTACTTAAGCTATGTATACCGCCATATATTTGGAGCGTCGGCTAGCAAGATGCTAAAGCCGGAAATAAACGTAGGCTGAGATGGAGATAGTGCATAACAAGACGAAGTTGCCAGAAACTGTAACTCGAAGCATTAAAACCGTCAGCTTAAATACACAGTAATTAATTTGAAATATTATTCCACTATACCGTCTGGGCTGCTGAGAAGATATAATAACTGGTATATAAGATTTGCCAATTCTGGCCTCTTTTTTTTCTCTTTGACTGATCCCTGCAAATTCATACGTTGTTGGCAGTAAATATCTGAGTTGATCGCTTATTTTTTGGAAGCATCTCAAAACACACTACAACTTTGTAATCCGATCAAACTGGCATTTTCTCATGCAATTTAGCTTTCAATGTGATTTAGCCTGATTCTTCATTTTCGGAGCATGATCCTTTTTGATTAATGTTATTATAGATGATCCATCTATCATCACCAACGACAATTCGAGTTAAAAAAAGGATCGACTGCATTATGCTTGAAATACGTATAGCAAATCGTTGTATTAAGTGAATTTCATTTAACTCATGCTGGAATCAAATATCGTGCTTCCTAAAGAGTCCAAGACATTTTATGTGATTTTTAATTGTTGTGTGTGGCACATTAAACTTTTTTGCCATCTGTCGCATAGTTATATGACGATTAGATGTAATTATGACTTTAATTTTGTCATCATCAACTTCAGAAGGTCATTTTTAAGTGAAAAATCTCTAAAGAGAATTTTTAAACCGATTCTGGCACACGAATTCTGTTAAGCAATCAACAACATAAACTTCGCATATCTCTTTGTGAGCCTCAGCCGCTTTATTGCCTTTATGAAAATACAAAAGTAAAATAAGTAGAAAACGTTTATTTTTGAGCCCCACGTAAACTAATAATTGTAAACAAGAATACATGAAATTTGTTTCTATAGCAGTCTAAATGTGCCAGCTGCCAAATCTCAAAACGAAAAAAAAAATAAGTTTGATAGAAGACTAACAAAACAATGCTATCTATTTGTGCAAACTGAGATTATTTTTTGTCAACCCAATAATTTTTATACCAAATTTTAAATTATAACGAAGTACAGCAGAAAAAATGATCGGAACTTTAAGAACTAATAGAACGTCGCGGAAGTTTTAGTAATGTATTATTATATGTAAAAGGCTAACGGGGAAAAGCAGGAAATAAGAAGAAAGTAGAAAAAAAAATTAAGCTTGGACAATAACAAAAAATAATATTTTATATTTATAAGAAATATTCAAATGAATGCCCACCAACTGTAATGTTATGCAACAAGAATACAAAACTGGAGAAGTACCCATAATACTAAAATGTTAAATATTGAAATGATGGATGAGAACCGGTGGAGCCATTCTTTGGTCCCCTAGATTTTCAAATCTCTCCTCTCTCAATTTCTTACTCTGAACCCATGAGAAAAAAACCTAGTTTATGAGACTCACATTAACTTCTCGGAAGATATCAAAGAGAAAGAATAAGTAGAAATAGAAAATATGTGAAATTTTACGGATGAAGTTATCGATTTCATTTCGCTTCATGATATGATATTCGGTACTTTTCCGTTTCGCTGGCGCAAATCTCGCCAAGCATACTTTATTGGCGACAACATACAGTATACACATAAAAAATGTTAACAAATGTTCTAAGATTTTTTTTTATTTTGAAGGCATAAACATTTTAATATCGTTTAAAATTTTGTAAAAAAGCCAATAAATACAGACAGTAAATTTGTAAAAAGACATTAATTTAAGGATTTACTATGCTTTATGTTTCAATATCCTGATTCGCCGGTTCATATCACGTGATCCCAAGTGATATTATCTCACGCAAACTACTCTGCAAAATTCTAATTCTCTCAGTAATTATCTACATTAATTTCAAGTTAAATTTAGATTTGGAATGCAAGTTTAAATGCAGGAATGATTTCAATACGTACGAACAACTTACTCAGAAATTATGTAAAACCGCAGTGCTTTATTTTGCTAATGCATTCTTATTATAATTGATGAATTTAACCCTTGAGCTTGCCTTTTCAATATTTTCGGGTGAGCGGTGTGATTGCGTCCTAATTGACTTAATTACCGCGAATATCCTTAGGGCATAAAATTGAACTATCTGGTAAAAATTCTATCTAATTGTATGCAGTATTGAAAGAAACAAACAATCTGATAAGAAATGGCTGCGACTTGTTTTGAAAATGAGGCGTAAAAGGTTACCAGCTACCGTTTGGCATCAGTTGTACCATTATTGGCGACTTTATCGCCTGCGCCGGCAAAACGGAAAAGTACCTGATATTCTGCGTTTTGAAATCGTCATACATATATTAAATTCAAATCTTATAGCTGGAAAATAACTATACGTTTAAACATCAAGCGAATTTTGTGAAGTTCATAGACAATAAAATAAACTATTTAATGCAAATATTTGCGATCTGATGTTAGATTAAAGTTTTTCCAAAGCCAGACCTAAAAATAAAGAGGAAGCAAACTATCACCTCAGAAAAACCGTAAATTGTTTTCACGTTATATCTGCATGATATATTATCTACATATTACATTATTAATGAATTATTAAATCGCTATTACTTTTAATTGCTTGCCTATTCTAAAACCATATAAATAATTTGACAGTTCTTAGTTCCTAGATTGATTACTCTAGTTCATGCTCTAGGATCTTTAATTTTGAATATTGAGAATGGGTTCTTGTTTAAAATATTTTGAACAAAATGTACATTTATCAGTACTTGACTTCTTGAAAACTTTTAATACATTGTTTTCAAGATTTAAGCATGAACTGAGTTCACCATAATTCGTATTATAAATCCCGTGTGCAGTTTTTTAAATGCAGAAAATTTCCGAAAATAGTTGTAATATTTTAAAATTAAGTAGCAGTAAAAAAGTAAAACTATTAGTTTAATACTTACAGATATCATAATAACAATAAAAAAGCATAATTCCTTTCTCATATTGACTCTTGTCCACATATGGATGAGGTGACCCATATTTTGATATGCCATCGATCATATCGGCGTATTTTTCAGTCGAAGGATACCGGGGCTTAATGTCTTCATTGAAATGGAAGTAATGAGAAGAATGCGTCATTCCTTTTACCTTTTGGCACAGTTTGCCGTGTCTCAAAAGGTAGAAGGGAGAGGCTGTAGGAAGTTCGATGTAATTTTCTGCGCTTCCATCACTTCTGCAACAGAAATAGATTGTAGTTGTATTCTGCGTATAATTACCACGAGGAACGCTACCTTCAATTTTGTTATTTGACGGCGATTGCTTCGTATCCAACCAAGTGATGTAACCACTTTCAAATCCTGAGGGACATTGCCTACCATACTGGTAAATACAGTATTCACCTGGAGGCCATACTCGCGGGGATCTATGACTGGAGAGCGTCTGGTCTTTTATGCAGAAGTATTGACGTACACCTCTTCGTTGGGTTACACCTTTAGATGACTGCTTTTGAAGACCACCTAATAAAGAGCAAGAGAATTTATTAATAATTTTATTGTACGTTTAAAAAGCATATTTTATTTATAAACCTACTCATTGTAAAATATATACAAGGTCTGTGCCGAACATAACGGGCTTATTCTTTTGAGACATTTGTTGAACCGATTCGTACAATTACATAACATTCTTCGAAATATATTCCTCCTGCTTTAACACACTTGTTTCAACATGATTTCTATGCATTACATTTGTCCTGGAAGTCCGTCACAAGGATGTCCTTTAGTAACCTCGTTGTAGCCGCTTTGATGTGTTGTGTTGATGATAACAGAATTAAGTTAATTATTTTTCTTATTTAAGAAAAATCTGAATTTTTATTTAATTCCGTGAGTTATTAATTTAATGTATTAATATTTGGTTACTTAAATTCTTATTTTTGAGAAAAACCAATGCTTCAATGATATTCTTATTTTTTTCTTTTATTTAAACTTAACCAAGAAATAATTTGTGTAAAGGATTCAGGAAAGGGACGAATTTTCGCTGAGTCATTTTCGAACATTCTAGAAAGAAATTAATTTGCCTTCGTTAGCTTGAATGACAAGTACGTGACGAGAGGTCGAAAGATTATCGTTTCAACTACAAGGATAGGTTACTACTTTGGCAATCTAAGAATCCAGTTTGGCTACGCCAAGTTCGCCCGTGGACAATGGAGATTGTTTTGTGTTTTGAGAGAAACAGTAAGAATCTGGTCCCTAAAGGAGGCGAAAATCCAGTTTTGTGGTAGCCTGTGTTACTTGTGAGAAGTGAACGAAAATTCGAGTACGGGTCACTTTCAGACACAGTTGGATTTTTGCGCTGAGTGGGATGAGTTAAAGTTTTTTGTCTTCTAGCAGTAGTTACGGCAGGGAGCGGCAATTATGCTCCCGGGCCGCGTGTTAAACGTAAATTAGGAGAATAGGAGTTTGTATGGCAATCTGCTGAATTAATGAAAGAATTTTGATACATCTAAGGCCATTTGACCACACTTTAGACCTTTTACTCGGGTCGTCTTAGTGGAAGTTACCTTTTCCGTGAGCTGCGAAGGCGGGAAGCTGCATTATGCTTTCGACCTTGTTTTACTATTTAAAGTTCGAAAAATAGGATTTTGACGCTACCATCGGAAATGGTGAAGAATTTTAAAATATCTAACACTTTAGACCATACATTTTGACTTTACGCTTTGCTGTTCCGGAAGGTAGTTCTCTTCGTTGGGGCTGTTAAAAAAGGGGGCTTTTATTCCCCTTTTTCGTGGATCAATTAACAGTTCTGGGAACTGACGTCTGATTGGTTCTCATCTGAATTTAAATATCTAAGGACTTTTGCTGGTTGTCTTCGATGTGGTCTCTTGAGACTTTCCATTAGAATTTCGGGGAACAGGATGTTCGCTCGGCAGTTTCTTTTTTTTTGGGGGGGGACGTGAGAAGCCAGCTAAGACTGTGCTTACAGGTCATGTATGTTTTATCTGCGAGGAGACTCAACTTCTTTCTGCAATGTGAGGAACTTGCCATGACGGTGCTTGCAGGTCATGTGTGTTTTATCTGCAAGAAGACTCAACTTCTTTCTGCAATGTGAGGAACTTGCCATGACGGTGCTTGCAGGTCATGTGTGTTTTATCTGCAAGAAGACTCAACTTCTTTCTGCAATGTGAGGAACTTGCCATGACGGTGCTTGCAGGTCATGTGTGTTTTATCTGCAAGAAGACTCAACTTCTTTCTGCAATATGAGGAACTTGCCATGACGGTGCTTACATGTCATGTGTGTTTTATCTGCGAGAAGACTCAACTTCTTTCTGCAATGTGAGGAACTTGCCATGACGGTGCTCGCAGGTCATGTGTGTTTTATCTGAGAGAAGACTCAACTTCTTTCTGCAATGTGAGGAACTTGCCATGACGGTGCTTGCAGGTCATGTGTGTTTCATCTACGAGAATAAAGGAGCCTTGTCTCTCTCTGCAATGGGAGTAACTAGCCATTACTGCGCTTACGGGTCCGTGCGTTCTCTTTAGTTATTGCCATTCCAGATGAAGAAACTTTGCGCCCTCTTCAAGTTTGTCGTCAGCCAGATAAGTAATTATTTTTATTTCATGAAAGGGAAGATAGAATAAATAGCCTAGTAGCCTTTTACTACAATTGTAAGAAAGTAATTTAAAAATATAATTAGCAGAACTTTCATTCATTCACCCTTGGACTGGAATCCTTTCACATGGAGGAAGCTATTGAGCCGAAAGCTCTCTGTAATGTAAAACAATAAGAATGTCTACCATTTTTGAAATTATTGCTTGTCCTATTATTTAAACACTTACTAAAAAGTTATTTTTTTTCTTTTTCATCTTGTCTATTAACAATTACGATAAATAGAAAATAGCTATGGTTTAGGATCGTTTTTTTGGTGCCAAATAATTAAATTTAGAAATATGGAATTTATAGGTAATTGTAAAATAGCAGATAATAATCTGAGCCTTAATAAACTTACTCATTAATTTGGAAATTATATCATGTTTTCACTTGTGTATTGCATATATCACTTATCTGATCTTTACATGAGCACGATCCGGAAATAACGAAAAATCACAACGCAATGCTCTTACCAATAATTACGATCACAAATATGTTAAATTTGCTAGCACTTATATTTCTATGAATATTCTAATGTTATTGCTAGCCTAGTTAGTTTACGGTTTAATTATTTAATTGAATTAATTAGTTCACCAGATGATATTGTAGGCCCCAAAACTTACAATATTACATTAGTGCCGTTAATTAGTTCACCTGTCAGATCTGTGGCGTTATTTTATTTAGATACTGTAGCCGAATCTGAAAAGATGTTCTCCAGGGCCCCCAATGCTGTCCTTTGAGAGATTTTTTAATTTCCGGGAACAAAAAGAAGTTCGGCGGGCACAAATCAGGACTGTAAGGTGGCTGGGGGAGCGTTGATATGCTTCAAGTTTGATACAAAACTTTATCGCGTATCGCTACTCGAGAGTTGTTTCCATTTGATTTCGACGGAGCACTCAGACAAGTGTTCACTGAAACAGGCATAGTGACTCTTCAGGAGCTCGGAGTTGGTGCTGGTCGTGCTGTGTTCCCAAGACTCCACCCACCCTTCCGTACGAGCGACAACGCTGTGAGTCGGATGGTTACAGCCGGAAACATCGCGGCAAAAACATCGCAGACGAAAATGTCGCGGAGAAAACAACGCAAGGCGAAAACGTCGTGCTACAAAACATCGTGGGAGAAAACATCGCAGTTCGAAAACATCGTGGTACAAAAACATCGTCATCGAAATAAAGCGGTTCAAAAACATCGCAGTTTAAAAACAAATCGTCGTTGAAATATCGTGGTAAAAAATAAAGTATCTACAAATCATCGCATGACGATAACATCGCAGACATGCTTTTTTGAGGCATGCTTTAATAAGTGTAAATGGATATTCCCCATAATGATTTGTGAGCGCAAGATGGAAAGAAGGATAATTTTTTACTTTCATATTTTTTATTAATTAATAAATTTTTTGCTGAGAAAATAAAAAGGAAACTTAAGCATAAAATTAATGCAACTTATAAGCACTTAATAGAATTTTAAACCGACATAGTTAACTAACAAAGGCCATTAATAAATCATTTTATAAGTTTTTACTGGTAATATTTCATGAAAAGTATAATCTATAAGTTGCTTTAATTTTCTATGCTTAAGTTTCCTTCTTCCTTTTCAGCAAAAATTTATTAGTTAATAAAATATGTGAAAATAAAATTCTCCTTCTTTACACCTTGCGCTCACAAATCATTATGGGAATATCCATTTACAATTATTAAAACCTGAAAAAAGCATGTCTGCGATGTTTATCGTCATGCGATGATTTTGTAGATACTTTATTTTTTACCACGATATTTTCGACGACGATGTTTTTAAACTGCGGTGTTTTTGAACCGCTTTATTTTCGACGACGATGTTTTGTACCACGATGTTTTAGAACTGCGATGTTTTCTCTTTGCGATGTTTTCTCCCACGATGTTTTGTAGCACGACGTTTTCACCTTGCGTTGTTTTCTCCGCGACGTTTTCGTCCACGATGTTTTTGCCGCGATGTTATCGGCGGACACCGAGTCGGATAGTCGTGGGAGAAGAAAATGGGGAGCATTACTTTTGGGATAGACCCCTTGTATAATTGATGTAACTATCATACAGGAAATTATAAAGGTTAAAATATAGAAAAATTCACTATCCCAGACATTGAAATCGCTAACATATATTTAAAATAAGGGACCATCTCAAGTAACTAGACGCTAATTCTTATTTATAAGTACGAACACCATGCTTCATGTACCTGATTGTATGGTCAATGAAAATAAATTCTTATTCTAATTCTTATTATTATTTCGTATATGCTTCCTTCTCACCACGCCCCCAGGTATGGTGGTTAGCAATTCCGCAGCTATATTACTGGGCCCAGGTTCAAACTCTGAAGCTAGTATGCGTTTGTAATTGTGTACTTGCAACATCAACCATTTAAAATAGCATTGATTCGGAAGTTCCTCCGACAGCTCGGTGGTACAGGAAGACAGCGAGAACGCTTTTAAAATCCCTCCCCAGTGGGGCTGTCCATCAACCCTGGTATGAAACTGGATAATACCGCATGTTACCTTATAAGGTGAAAAGGCCTTAGTCAAATATAGGCACTTTCTTCTTCACGGCCGTAATGAATTTATGGAGCTGACTGAGATCTTCTAGGATCAGAAGCAGAAACAAGATTTTTATGTTAAAGCTAGAACTCTAAACTTGTACTTCCTAAATACAGTTTTAACAATATAATATATTAAAATGAAAATTTCAAAGATGGCAACAAATAATGTATCCGCAAAGTTCAAATTTCTGTTATTAAATAAACATTTTGTGGAAAATATTAAAAGATAATAAAACATATTAGTTTGAGAAATCTTGTGCTGTTCAGAGATTTAAAACTTCGAAAAATCTACCAGAAATATGATTATGTTAAACAAAAAATAGTGTTAATAATAAAAGAAATCTATGTGCGTAACATTAGAAATCCTAATCTAACTGTAAGGTAAGTTGAAGCAATATTTTAAAACTGATTCTTTTATTCAGAATCGAATGACTCCACGGGCGATATATTAATTTTTTTAGAGTTCATGACATTGAAACCTATTTTTTCACCATTGTACTCGTATGTGAAGTTAAATCGCATGTGGCATATGAGTTATTAAAGCATGAGTCTATATGGCATATGAGCTATTAAAGCATGGATTTATGTGACATATGAGCTATTTGAAGTCTTTAATTTTTTTATTAATTTCTTAAAAGATATTCAGAAGAGCATTAGGTTTCGAGAAACACCTAAAATATCTTTCTGTCTTACCTTTTAAAAGCATTCCATTTGACCAGTCATAAACTTTATTATCTTGAACAGTATCATATTGCATGTCATGGTAACGGTAACCTGTCTGCCACTTGAAACCTGTTGAATTTGGACAACCGGATACAGGCATTGGCAATCCGTACTGGCCATCTGGCCACATTTTAGATCCGATATTTTTATTGATTGGTCCGACATTATACTGAGGAAAGAAAAAACATCGGCATATAACTTGCATAATACCATTTAATTTTAATTTACTTTAACAAAAGCTTACTGTTAGACATAAAATGCACATTAAAATCTGAAAGCAAATTATTTTAATAAAAGCATATCTTTAGAATTACGGATACACAGTCTCGCGCGCTGGAGATAAAATGTTTTTTTTTTTTTTCCGTACAGTGTTGCCATTGCTAGCTTTGAAATCGTTGAGCTTCTTAATCAAAATATCATAAATGCCTTACAAAATATAAAACACATAATATAACAAATTCCAAATTTGGACTTCCAGATGCCCATATTCGGGTAAAGGCGTACATTATGCAAAATTGGATGGCTCTAGGTACCGTTGTTTTATCACAATGCGACAAACATACATGCATTTATGCAGATTCTTCATTATTTAATTTCTCTAAATATAACATATGGCAATAATATTTGGTGGCAATAATTTAAAAAGCGAATAGGACATTTAAAATTTTCAACCCAAAACGCCGAAACGAAATTAATAGTCCTTCTAGGCTAACGCTCTTAGGGCTAATAATTAGCATAGTTATTTGCTTCGACTTTTTGTGGTGAGTAATTTAATCATCTGCTTTCTAAAATTATTTCGGTGTTTGAACTTTTGAATACTCACGTATTCCTTTTTCTTAAATCCCTAACTTTAATATACAGTATCATTTAAAAGATTCACTGCTGTTGGGAACAAAATGAGTCCTTAGCATTATCAGAAAAAGTATGTAGAGAAATTAGGATTTTTTGGAAGCCGGAGAGATGAAAAATTAGCAACCGCCTTCGCCAGGAATCGAACCACGGACCTCTTGAATACGTGCCCAGCGTGCAGAACCACTACACCACGAAGGCACTCTAGGAAAGTGGGAGAAATACCTTATAAGTAATTTAAAATTTTACCTTTATAATCTCCTTCGTTTCCTGCAATGTTTAACGTGTAATTTTTTCTCTTTACGTATTTTCTCAGAAGCATTTTTTCATTTTTAGTAGAATTTTTTGTATAATTCAGATTTAATAAATAATTTTTCAAATTTCTTCCTCTCGGAAGAAAAACGTTTTTGAATAAAAATATTAGTTTAAGTTCTAAATGTAAGTCTTTTTCATTGTACGGATATAACTGCGTATTAGAAAGTTGCGCGCGCACTTCTCGGCTCAGAATTTTTGTGAAAAGAATGAGAGTATGATACACAACAGACGAAAGTGCGTGCTTAAAATCGAGGATCTTGAGGATTTATTAGTGTTACGTGTGTTAACTGAGCTATCAGCCTAACACCCTTGATCCTTAATTCCAGAGGACCAGGATAGAATTTCTAAAGTAAGTTAAATTTTTGTAATTTATAATTGTTTTGTTTGAGTAAAATGTTAAAGAATTGTATGAAAGAAGACATTAGACTTAAAAACACAGAGTTAGGAGAAACTGTATCTGAAAAAGCAACACTTTTGAAATAATAATCCTATCAAAAATAATAAATATTATCAAACAGGTATTGAACTTCTGAAAGAATTAACAGATACAACGATCGCAACTCGTAAAGAACAGAGATTTAGAGTAGATTAAATTAAGGGTAAAAATGGGAAATAGAGCTTGCAAAATTACGAGCAGAAACGAAAGTAGAAACCAAACTGAGAGTGATATAGAAATTCATAATTCTTTAGCTTCCGTAGTAAAAGGTGTAAGAAATTTTGCTATAAAAATGTGTCTACTAGGCCAGACGGCAGGGCTTTTTTCTTTTCTTCGTTAGTAAGGGTTTTTATTTCAAAAACTCTCCTTGATTAGTATAAATCATAGATTCTATTAAGTTTATTAGGTGAAAGAGCCTCTAACGTAATCACTTATATTAAAAATGACGAGTTGAGTAATTATAAAAAAATGAAATCTGTTATATTAAAAGAATTTCAGCCAGCACATCAAGCATGCTTAAAACAATTTAGAGTAAAAGTTTACAATTGGGTGCCCCTTGTTTATTGGTGATTCTTTTTTGACGCCAAGATCGGCACCAGAAAGGCACAATTTCAAGATGGCCGCTACACAAAACCAAAATAAGAAGTCAAAGAATTGCACAAGATCGTGTCCATGTACACATCGATTTGTTTTTACTTAAAAAATAATCCTAGAATTGCACAAACTAGGCATTGCGCACTGCCTTAAACATGTCCATGTACATATCAGTCTATTTTCATTTAAATAAAATCGAGAAGCTAAAACAAAGTTAAAACTATCGTGGTAACCAGAAGTGAGGTTTCATCGCCAAAATTAAAAAAAAAAAATTATCGCCAATCGAAGGGGCACCCAATTCTACACTAGAGCCCAATTTAGAAAGACAACATGCCAGCAAAACGAAACTTATATGCAATTTACCTCACGTTTAATCACGAGTTAAAATTATTATTTAAATATTAAAAAGTGTCAGATTTTGAAATATTAAATAATCTTACTATATCGGAAAAAATATTTTCTGCTCTTGAGAAAGGAGTAGCGTCACACATTAGTATACGACAAGCAAAGAAATGGTTTCGTCCATCCGAGAAGTGCAGGATTTACGTATAAGCTACACAAGCTATAGCTTAGGACCCCCACTTTCTTGGGGGCCCCAAAAATTTAAAATATAGTATAACAGATTTATAAAGGATCCCGTATCTCAAATAGCTTAGGACCTTATCAAATCTAAATCCAGCTCTGCATCCGAGTTAGCAAAAAAAAAAAAAAAAAAAAAAAAAAAAAAATATATATATATATATATATATATATATCTTTAATATACTTAGCGTGGAAACATTCTTAAAAACAGTTCCACTCCGTGTCGTAATGGCTATCAAAATAAAAACTTACGAAAAGTATTCTTAACATTGTTAAAAGTTCAAAATATACTATTTGCTACGAAAATCATGCTTTGCGTCAGTGCTGCAATTACAAGAATTTATCTGTAATAACAGAGTAGAAATAGTTATGAAACTTAATTTGTATTTTAGCTGCCACTTGACATTTGACTGCTTAGCATTTAATCAAATGATTAAATGCTATTGAACAGCTATTAAATTGAACAGAAGTTCAAATCTCCAAATGAAAAATTTCAAGTTCTGTATATGGGATAAGACACCACGTGACGCGCCATTTTCAGTTTGAAAATAAATTATCGAAAGAATAAGGGAAAAAAAATAAAAACGAAACAGCAGCGACTGCTTCCTGTGTACTCACACCCCACAGCGCCACACTTTCTGCCTAACTGTGGTAATAGTCTGTTTGCAGCTAGAAATGTAAACAAATCAAGATGTGTTCTTTCAAGTACCGCGATCGGCTTTATTAATGATGGCATAAGATGTTACATCTGGTTAAAACATTCCTAGATGTCGGCTGCACTTCCTGTTTCATAAGCAGAACACGTGGGAGTGGATTTCAATCAAAGACACAAGCAAACATCGTAATTTCTGGGTTAAAGATTCCCTATTTACAATTCGAAGGAAAGTTTCGGCATGTGTTAACAATAAAGATAAAAGTTAACTATATGAACTGCTATAAAAGCTGAGTTAACTATATAACTACTTAACTATCTGAGAAGTTTAGACCTTTTAGTAGTACCAAAAATCACGCAAGGTTTGATTCCTTAAAGGAAAATTGATATTAAAATGCATGATTTTTGTAACATAAAATTAGCTGATGAAAATTTGAATGTAGCAGAACGTAACCATAATGTGTGAAGAACATTTTCAGAAAACTCATAAAGCAATACATTGGGTAGTTATGTTATAACTATGGTCTTTAAAGGTGTTTTTTATCTAGAAGAATCAAAGGACATTACTTTGAAAAATTAAGTCTTGTAGAAAAGATTAAGTTCAGATCCTGATTATTTAAAGTTGTACAAATTGTTTGTAGCATAGTATGAGCAAATGGGACATATGTATGAAGTAGTTGAAAAAGAAAATGAGACTGGGTCTTATTTTATACACAGTATAGGTGTGTATATACCTGAAAGAAATTCCAAAAAGTTTAGGGTGATATTCAACAGTTCATGTCCTTCATCTAAAGGAAATTCGTTAAACATATTACAATTTGGTTAGGTTCCGGAAAGATCTTTTTGCATTTACTGCCGATGTATAGAAAATGTTCCGCATGATCTAGATAACACCAGAGCAAATAAAACTTAAAAAAAATTCTGGAAAGAAGAAATTGCTAAGCCAGTAAAAGTCTTTGAATTAACAACTGTGACATACGGAACCGTAAGGGCTCTATACTTAAAAATGTGTACGCTACGACAATTAGGCATGATATATACATGGATGAGATTTTATCAGGAGTTCAGATATTGAAGCTAAAGAAGTACAATATCAAGTCCTCGAATTTCATGTAATACGCAGGGAAAGTAAAAATTAAAAATTTCTGTACAGCGCTTTTTTTAATTCGCTGGTAGTTTTATATTATCATTTATCTTTAATTTTTCGGCTGTCTGTATTTATTTTCTTTGCTAAAATGTATAACGACTCAATAACAGATTATATGATGTATAAGAATTGATATTTGAACTTCCAAAAAACGTGTTCTGTTTATGGTGATAAAGGACCACAGCTACTTGCAACCACGAAACGAATTTTTGCGTATTTAGACTAGGTTTATTAAGTATTATAAAGCAAAAAATGTCTGTGATAGCTAGAGATATTTAATATAAATCGACTGATGATAAACGTTTGGTATTAGTAGCTGAGAATAATCAGGTAATTGAGAAGGAAATGTACCTCCAGAGGAGGATATCGATAAAGATAGTATTGAAAGTGTTACGGAATTCTTAAGCACCATAGCGTGTTTAAGACTGCTTTAGAGTACTTAATCGTAATACAGAAAATGCAATCCTATCCAAATGTTAGTTATAACACCCGCTTACTGCTTCACACATCAGTATCCAATATAATTGCAGGCTAAAATAACAAAACCATTTTGCAATGCCTGGCACCTTAACGATAAACAAAAAAATATTTTATAAAACTCACATGTATATTGAAATTAAACAGCAATAAAAATAAATCCAAGTAACATTAAATTTCCTTTAGTGTTTTGTTAAGGTGTACACAATGAAGTTTTTAAATTTAATTGTACATTGTGATGCTATAAACATCACTAAATCAGTAGTCCAGAAACCGATTTCATCCGAAGGGGACATCTGGGCCATAAGATATCACTTATGAAGCATCTAGATAAGAATGCCTAATATGTAAATAATTATCTATTAAATATACGAACCTGTGATTTGCTCTTCATGCTGTGTAATTCAAATCCATATATTAGATAACGTTTCTGAAGATTCACTTGCCACCAAGGCTCTCTTTCAGATTCAGTGGCAGTGCAATGAGCGGAGCCAGTTGCCGAATCAGTCAAACCATCAACTGCTAAATTCGCACCCCGACTGTCACGTGTGCTAGATTGTTTAGCCGGTTTTCCTTCAGCAATATTGGTCAGTACAGTGTTGACTGCTGAAAAGGTAATAAAATTATTAACCATCAAGGTTTCAAAAACGAAAAGCTGATTCGTAATTCTTCAAGAATACATCTACTGACTTGATAAAAACTGCTTTTCTGGTGTATGAAAGTATGTTGGTGTTTTCTTTTCCTGAAGTCACTTTCGAAATTGTAAGCTTACAATATACAAGTTTTTTTTCTACTTTTAAACTCATTTAACGTATTTCAAAGTGTATCCACTAAACAGGTGAGTTGAGTTAGATTTGGCATTTAGAGAAAGCAAAGGATATTAATGTTAAGTATTGATTCGCAAATTTAATGATGAGGAATTAAGGTTCTTATTAGCAACGTTAACCCTTTGTTGCATTATGTCCACTCTAGTAGACAAAAGTTTAAATTTGTTTATTCTTCTGTAAATGCCTTAAGGGGACTCATACACCTTAAACCCCCTCATGATCTTCGAATATGTGACTGTTGCAGGAATTGAGATATTTTATTTATTTTAAAAGTAATTACTTCCAACTTTTTATAGCTGACTACATAATATAGCTGCTTTGGAAACTAGTAACCAGAAAGTTTGTGTTGCCACAAATATTTTTGTAATTTAATCCTCTTTGTGACAAAATATTTCGCCATGTTTCCATCTTGCGCGCATCATATTTTAAAAATGGCTAATGGTACATACTTGAAATTGGATGGAATTCTTTATATGGGCACTATTTTCTAACTGAACCAACAATCTGATGAATATTTTAGTATTGAAAAATTTTTATGGACGGAAACATTACAAATTTTTTTAATAAAATACATTTTATAAACTCAGCTCCAAATAAAATAAAAATTTAACGTGAAATTTTTAGAATTTTAGGTTTACGGTAGTTTTCAAATGTTATAAAAGCTAATATATTAAATATGGAATTAAATTATGAAATAGAATGTTTTAAACTGTGCGCGCGGAAACATGACGAAAAATGTTGTCACTAAGCGGATTAAATTATAAAAATATTTGTGGCAACACAAACTTTCTGATTACTATTTCAGAAAGCAGCTATATTATGTAGTCAGCTGTAAAACGTTGGTAGTAATTGCTTTTAAAATAAATAAGTTACCCCAATTCTTGCGACAGTCACCTATTCGAACATCTTATGTGTTTTAAGGTGTATGAGTCCCCTGCCTTAACAGATTCCATTCCTGTGTTTATTCATTCTATATTATTAGAACTTTCAACTGTCGATCATAGATAGCTATATAGCATCACTAAATAAAGCATTGCTATTTGGAAAATGGCTGCTACTTCTGTTTCCAAGTTAGTACAATTTCTCATATTAAACGTTATATAATATTGCTTACATTTTCTTATACTGCCATTTTTTATTCATAATTAGTAATCTTAGACATTTTATTTTAAATGTCAGTTTGAGAAAATTGTGGAGTGTGTAGGTGAGACTCTACCGAAAAGAGTGAATTGAAACCCAAATGTACTGCTTATCAAGCCAAAACACCACTGGAAATGATTGTTTGGCAAGGAATTTCTAGAACATTTGACATTTGAATCCAATAGGTACAGGTTACAAAATCGTAGCAAAATGAATTCAATCACAATCGACGAAATGAAGGTATTTTGGGGGATTTGTATGTACATGTCAGTTGTAGATTTACCATTTAGAGGATGGCAATGATCACTGCAAACAAGGCAGGAAATGATTTCAAACGCGAAGACCGTAAATCTTTGGGAAAAGATTTGTATGCATGTACGTATATGCATGCTGTCCACTGTAGTGAACAAACTCTAGCAATTATTTAAAACGAAATTTGAATAAAATTCATTCTTTTATTATTACTAAGGTTATTTTAAGTAGAAAAAATACAAACGTTTTTGTGTAACTTCTCTAGATTATTTGTAGGCAACAAAGGGTTAAGTGTGTGGTAAATCAAGTAAGAATTCACTATGAAAATAATTTCTGAAATAAGTGCGTTTAATTTAATACGAATGGGGAAATCAATTGTCAGGACTAGAGGAAGAAATCAAGAAAAAATCAGAAAGGAGAGAACGACCATTATTTCCTTAGTTATTAAACTTGTCTACCAAAGATCTGAAAGCCTTAAAGACGCACATGCACGAAATCATTTAGTATTGCATAGGAAGCAAATTTGCTTTTTCTCTAGAAACAAGTTAAATTCTCTGCTATGGTGAAGTATTATTCTGTGAGCCAAACGTGGCACAGAATATAAATTTGATTAATTTTTTTAGATGCAAGCTAATTGTTGTTCGGCATTATTCGTGAAGCATCTCCATTATACTGGCGAAATCATCTGTTGCTCGGAAAGAGAAGTCTATAAATCTAGAATAAAATCTAAAATACGATAAAATTATTTCATTTGAAGTAAATGTGTGGAATGATATTTTAATGAATCTGTGATATTTTGTAAAAGCGGCTTTTCCTCCTTGCAGGGAGAGAGACCTACTTCAAATAGTCTTTCTTTACAACAAGTTATAAAAATAAAAAGCAACACTCAAAGACGTAGCATTTTAGGTGCAGCCAGAAATAACAGGAGAAGGTAGAAGAAAAATCAAATCAAAATGATTGTCTTAGTTATTCAAATTTTCCTGTATGTTACATTTAATTTTCCCTTTTTTCTCTAGATACTTTTAAAGTGAAAACTGGTAACCTAAAAAAATGTAACTGTTATACTGATACAAAAGGTTGTATATGAATCTGAGAATATAAATAGCTTCTTTTTCCCCTCTTTTCTCACTTTCAGTCATTTAAAGAGAATCCATCATTTTCACAATAAAGATATATAGAATTTTATCCTTGTCATGTTTGTTTCTTGAATTAAATCATGCCTTATGACACTGGAATGAAGTTTTTGATGCAATATTACTTTGAATTCAAATTATATCCAGTCGTAACGTTTACGTTTTAACCTTAACAAAACTGGAATTTTGAAATTTTGAGCATATATATAGCAAATGAAAAATTAATCATCCAAGAAATAAGATACTTACGCTACATTAAAGTGATACGATTGAAATAATCTAGAAAACAATATCTTCCTATTATTCTATTAATAACGAGTTAATACTCAGACGTTTTTAGTATTATTAATGCAGAATGTTCAATGATGTTTATTTGACTCCTGAATTCTTGTTTATATAAATTTCTTAATGAAATATATAGAAATTGGCAGAGACCTTTTATATAGTAGATATTTTATATCATGCATGAGATCGCTAGTTTCCATTTCCTAAAACCTTGATTTAATTCCGGAAGCTTTTATTTACGACTTGTTTTCTTCGAGGAAATTATTACATGATTAATAAATTAACAGAACAAGATGCTTGTCTAATCGCATTTCATAAATATTTATAACTGCTTTTCCAAAAGCTCCCAAATTTAATTCAATTAGGTTATTGCTGATAGCTTTTGTTCTTTATGCAATGAATTCAAGATAAGTGATGAAAAAAAAAGTATTAAGTAACTATTTTTATGTGTTCCAGTAGAATAACTAGGAACAGAGCTTTGTAAGTTACTTGCTTGACATTTCTGATAGCTATAGCTTCGCATCTTTCATGGGAGACATTTGATGTTTAATTTACTTACTTAAAAATATTAAGCTGTAATTTAATTACACTTAGTAACACAATAGTTCTTCACATGGTCCGCATTATTAATCCGTGACCTTTGATAAGTATTTAAGTCTATAATTAACTCTGCTTGCATATAAAATAACAATAATGTTTTACTTTCATTTCTGTCATTTAATTTCATGCTGTTAATTTTTGTCAATTACTTTCCTTCTGTTTAGTTTCAGCCTGTAATTCATGTCGATTAATTTCATTATGTTGTATTGATTGTAGGGTTTATTTAATTTATTTAACCTGTAGAGACATTAGGATTTTTTGGAAGCCAGAGAGATGAAAAATTAGCCTTCGCGGGAATCGAACCACGGACCTCTGGAATACCCGCCCAGTGTGCAGAACCACCACACCACGAAGGCACGCTAGGAAGGTTGGAAAAATACCTTATATACTCCCCCTTTTAAAGGGGGACTGGAGTTTTTAGGGGATCCAATCGCCAAATCCTGGGTGTGGAGAATCATCATAAACAACCCTTTTTGGTTCGGGCGCCACTGTACAGACATTAGGTATTTTGGAAGCAGAAAAGATGAAAAATAGCAACCGCTTTCGCCTGGAATCGAACCAGGGATCTCTGAATTACCGGCTCAGCGTGCAGAACCACTACACTACGAAGGCACGCTAGAAAGGCGGGGAGAAATACCTCATAAACCTGTTATTTTACGTTTTGGATCGGTACTGTCACTACTCTCTTTCCGTTTTCCCGCAAAAATGCAAGTTAGTTAGCGTCCATATAAATGAAGGTTTAAGATCGTGAAGGCAAAACGTGTTTTTCATAAAGAAAGCCAAGCTTCTACATGCGAGCTCCTAAGATAAGAAGAGTTCCTTTCTGTAGACTTGTACTTAACTGCAGATAGTATTTCAGGCTGGTGAAGCTTCAAGAGATAAAATCGTGATTAATTTACTCTGCGTAGCTATTGGCTATTAGTAATTTAGATTTAGTTTTGCATTGCATTTCTTCATTGCGTTCTCGCCATAAATGTTGGCTGATTAGTAAGCACCAGGTGTGCCTTCTGTTCATCTTCCTTAGTTTTAAAATAAAGGGTTTTTTACACCTTTGTTATGTCTCTAAAGTACTTCTGAAAACATAACGACAAGTCACTTACAATCTTATTGAAGATTAGTCAGAAGTTGCATATAGTAAAAGGCTAATGCCTTGCAGGGTAATTATTTGAAATAATTGTTAAAATTAAATTTTTCGTTCAGGTTTAATTATCTCACTTTATACAGTTTATAGAAACAAAAGATTGTATGCAAAATCTCAAACACTCTTGATAGGAAATAAGATCAAAATCACTTGATAGGAAATAAGATCAAAATCTAATGTGAAAATATGGTAAATAATAATCATTGAAACCATACCTATTTCTTCCGAAGGTGGTACGCTCCTGTACACAGCACAGAAGCCTCTTCCATTGCCCACTTTCCGCAGTTTGGTGGTGAAATGTAGAGTCATAATATTTGTAAATGAATAAAGAAATCCTCTTCGGTTTAGATTACAGAATCCACCTATAAGATTTTCTGATCTTATTTCTTCCCCATTGTATACCCAAAGAATCCCGCTCTCTGGGGTACAGTTTCTCGATCCTGGCACAGCTGGTATATCGAAGTCTCTAAATTCCAGTTCCACTACATCCGTAGCACGAGGGGAACGCAGGATCCAAGTATGACTATAGTCAGTAGAGTTTTCTATAGTAAAGTAGTAGTGGAAAGGGAAAGGGTACCTGGTAGGAAAAAAATTAAAAAATTAAATAAATGCTTAACAAATAAAAGTAAAAACTTTTAATATTGTTACGAAATTTCCAGCTGCGGTAAGATAGCTTCCTCGCAAAGCAGGTTCAGGTTTGCCAGATAACTGCAAGGGAATCCAGGGTTGCCATATTTGACGAGAAATCGCCCATTTGGCGACAAAATTGGCGATATGGCATAGATGGATGGAGAACATTCTAGAACGAATTCTGACCAATTTGGACCATAATGTTCTCGAATACAGTCCAAAAGGTATATAAATCCTGCCTTTGTCATATTCAATTCGAGGTCGTGGGCGTGTCAGGTAAAATTGTGCTTTCTAGGAGCTGCTGAGCGGGACTTAGAAGCAGAGCACATTTTGGACTTGACCGGACTTAGCTGGACGAATTGTAAGAAACATTTTTGATATTCGGGATGCCAGTATCCAATTCGAGTTAGGTTAGGCTACGAATTCAGCATAATGGATAAAATAGATTTAAAAGCGCAAGCCGCAAGAGCATTTTAGGTAAAGATGCGTCTAATGAGAAAATTCAGGAATTTAAAACCTTTTTAAAAGCAGAACACTCTCAATTAATGAGTAAACAGGATATTTCACAAAGATATTTCACAAATTAAAGAAATTGAGGATACAATTCTACAGATTGATACTCACCTTGCAAAGGAAAAAATGGAAGTTTTATTTGTTGATACTTCTTCCCAACCGAGATCGCAACCCACCTGGGGTGCTAGTTTGAAATCAAGCAAAAAGAAAATGCAAACTGACGCCGAAGGTTTTGTCACACCTAGAATAACCCGAATATGAGGCTCCAGCCCAGAAAAATAAATTTGAAAACTTAAACCCTGAAGATAAAATGGATCAGGATCCAATTAATGATGATAAGCACAGCGATTTTATTACCCCTAAAAAGACTGCCGGACATATCCCTCCGATAGTGTTAGCGGATTTCAACTCGGATTGGGGAAAGCTAAAAACTGACATAGAAAAGGAAAGGAATAAAAGTTAAAGGAAATATGGTAGGAGACACTCTTACGATAAAAGTTTTCGAATCAAATGTCTATAGAGCAGTTACTTCAATTTTGAGAGAGCGAGGAGTCCCCTTCCATACTTTTGTGATAAATTCTGAAAAGCTGATTAAGGCCTTAATTCGCAAACTTCCACGAAATACAAATATGGATTTAGTTAAATAAGAAATTCCCGATCAAGGAATCCTCATCGAGAAATCCGACAACTTAACAGTTACAAAGATGGAAAAGTCACTACACTGCCCTTATTTGTAGCACAGTATAAAAGAAATGTAGAAGGAAAGAGAATCAAAATTCTTAGACGTCTAGATGTTAGAGTTGAAACTTATAAATAGCGTCTATGGCCCGTGCAGTGTCCTAAGTGTCATCGCTATGGTCACTCAAGGCCCTTGTGTAATTATAAAGCTAGATGCTTAAAATGTGCAGAATATCATAAGACGCATATCTACTAGCTCATAAAAGACCAGAAATCTCTGCGGAGGCCCCCACGTTTCTTCGTACAAGGGTTGTTCACAACACCTGAAAATGTTAAGAAAAACATCGAAAATTGGAAAAAAACTAAAAGCTGATAAATCAAACAAATTTACTTTGAAAGAAAGCGAATTCCCTTCGCTCCCAGGAACTAATACATAGGAAATCCCAAAGAACGGCCTATCTTGGAAAAATCAACCCCCCCCCCCCCCAAGGAACCGTCGTTCTTTGATTGGATAAAACCCCAACTCCAAAAAGCCAAAGATTTCTTTGTAAAATTTAAACAAGCTAAGAACTAAATGCAAAAGCTCGAAGTGGTATGGAAGCTTTCGAAAAATTTTCCGGCCTTGATTATGACTTTTAATCCAAATCAAGGTTCAAATCAAGGTTCAAAATCCGTTCAGGACCAGCGTCGTGTATACGCAACGCAACGATTCCATTCCTACCAGCCCAGCGTCCCGTATACGCGACGCAACGATTCTGCTCCTACGAGCCCAGCGTTGCGTATACGCGACATTAAAACGGAACGATTTATTTGAATTTTTAAAAGCCAGTAAATTGAGCTAAGTGGTAATTTCTTTCACATAGGTTGATTCATACGGCATTTGACCTTCATGTACTGGCATTAGTTTCTGTTTGTGCTTCTGGTTTTGAGAGATTTATTGAAATAAACAAACTGGAAATCACGGCTCTTTATAAATGCGCCTGTGAATTAAAGGGGCACAGGCGTTTTTGTTTATTTCGTTAGGATTTTCTTTTTTTTTTTTTTATTTTGAAACTCAACATAAGCTTTCTTGATTAATTAAAAAGTAACACTACAATATTGTTACAGAAGGGTAAAGCTTTCTCAACGCGTAATGCGTCTTGCTCATATTTCTCGGGAAAGAGCCAGCGTTTTTGTTTTTCTTACTTGATTTGATAGGTCATAATATATAATGCTCTGAATGATCATTACATACAATGACACAGGCATTATATTTTTGTATAATGTATTTACTTTACATATAATGTAATTATATATAATGTATAGATTGACATGATCAGTAATGGATATCCCGCCAGTGAGGGTCTTTCCTTGATCACTTTCCGGTCATCGTGGACGCAGTTTTTGATTTAGAAAAACAGGAAGTTTTCTAATATAAACCTGATGTCACACAGGGTTTGAGAATGAAATATTTCTGAGTGTCTTTTGAAGAAGTTTTGGGACATGTGTTGGGGTTATATTCAGTTTTATTCCGTTAGCCATGGCTAAGAGACCTTACTTAAAAACTTAAAAAATTTGTCCAAACTCACCGGACGCTGGACACCGGACACAAATCACCACCTTTCCGTCTAACTGGAAGAGAGTTTCCGAAAATTTACGTTGACGGAAAAGGTAATAAAAGTAGGAGAAGATGCGTTGTGTATGCTAAAACCAAGGAAAAGCGAAAGCAAGCAACGTATTTTGAATGCGGAATATGCAATGTAGGACTGAGTGTCGATCTTTGTTTTGAATTATTTCACGCACAGCAGAATTTTTAAATTGGAATTTAATTACCTACAGGTAACTATTGTTTAGTTTTTTTATTTCTTATTTGTAATTTTTTTTCATGTTTATAGTACTTATTTCTGAGTGTATAGTAATGATTTTAGTACTTTGCCTGATTAATTTATTTCTATTAAATTGATATTATTTATATTAATACACATTAAAAACAAGTTTATTAAATACGCAACTACTAACATTGACGTCATAATATCAAAATGCTGATTTTATACGATTTTTTTTTTTTTTTTTTTTTTTTTTTGTAAAATTAGGCTTAACTACTGAAAGTGCTTGGGCCGGTGGCGACAATCCATTTCAGCCTGGTCCGGTCCCGTGACTGCGCTTCGTTCAACCGACGCTGGTCCTTAAGGGGTTAATTCAGTGATGGCAGCTAACGCCAGCTAACTGCCTCATTAAGACAATTTTCTTCTTCTAATGGACTTGCTGCAATAGTTTTCAATAGTGCACTATCTCCACTATGTTATTCTGTATGAAGCAATTTTAAAGCTCAATGCACATATTATGCTCTCATTGCATCTTAATTATTTATGTCTACCTTGAACCTTATGCCTATTGTCATTGCCATTGATATAAACCTGATTTTTACTGATTTAATATTTGCACATACTGTATTATTCTCTTTGATAACTAGTCTGTACATAATTTGTTATTGTATATAGTATTTTTGTATATTGACTGTATTATAAACTTTCTGCATGTATTTTGCCTTATGGCGAAGATGTCTGTAATACTACTATACTGTCAATGTCTCTGTACCTTTTGAAATATGCTCAATAAATGCCCGACTGACCTGTCTCCACGGGCTGAACAATTCTGATAGGAATTCATAGGTCAGAAGTTCAGCCCGTGGCGCTCAGTACGCTCAGCTAACGCCAGCTATATTAAAGTTTCCTTCTTTAATGCAAACGGCATTAAAAGGCAGACTCATGAACTCAGAAATTATCTTGATAAACATCAGATCGACATAATGTTAGTTAATGAAACTCATCTGAGACAAAGTTTAAAATTCAAAATCCCAGGCTATTCAATCATAAGGAACGATCGTGTTCAAAATTGACGCGGTGGCACAGCAATAATGGTGAAAAATCACATCAAACATTCAGTTTGATATGATTTTTTCCACCGAGATGAATAAGACTGAATGATTGATAATTGATGAATAAGACCGAAAGATGAATAATTGATACACCGAGATGAATAAGACAGCCACAAATGATGCTATCTTATTCATCTCGGTGTATCTCCCACCACACAGCTTAATGACAACTCAGGATTCAGACAAGTTGACTTCTACAAATTATCCTACATTAATTCCAGGAGATTTGAACGCTAAGTTCCACACCTGGAATTCGCGAAGTAATAATGGTTATTGAGGTATTCTCAACAGATATTTACTGAACAGCTATATCAGAATAGTGGCCTCGGATCGACCCACCCGTTTGCACACAGACGGTACAGGTGATATTATGGACATTTTGTTACTTAAAAACACCATTATCACTCCATATCTCGAAGTTCATGAGGATTTGGCTTTGGATCATTTCCCTGAAAATTTAATTTCTACGGTATCCACCCACCACTTCACCCAAAAGTTACAAAAGTAGACTGGAATGCGTGTGCAGAGAAGCTGAGAGATTTTCCGTTAGTATTTTTAACCATTGCGGTCATATAGAAACCCAAGTGCATAGATTTACGTACAAAATGCGATGAAAAGCTCGACTTATATTAGTAATTCAGGAAATATCTCGCCCTTCCCAACTAGAACTAAGGAAGAAATAAAAAAGAAAAATCAAGTCAAAAAAATTTGGCAGCGTTTTAGAAATCCCAATGATAAAAGAGAACTTAACTATTTAAACAGAAAAATAAAAGCTGATATTGCAGATTACTGTTCCGAAAAAAGGGACTTTTTACTCGAAAATTTGGATTATCATCCTGGCAGAGTTTGGAGGATAGCACGTTCTATAAGAACGCAGAAGACAAATGACATCTCCCCAATTCATCACATGGGAAATATCCACCACTCAGAAAGCGAAATAGCAAATGTTATGGCTAGTGAACTCAAAAAAAATTAAGCCACACCCTCAAGAAGACTCAAGAAGACAAGAAGATCATGAAAGCGAAATTCAATGCTCAGTAGACTCTATTAAATATAGTACACTGATTCATTTTATATCTCCCACTTCCCCAAAAACGATCTAGCAAATTATTAAAAATCTGAAAATCCGCAAGTCAAAGGTTTTGACGATATAAATAATGAAGCCATTAAAACATTCCCTAGAAGATGTATTGTACAATTAGTTAACATCTTGACGCATGTATCAAGCACTGTTATTTTCCACAACAGTGGAAGCACAGTATGATTATTACCTTACCAAAACCAGACAAAGATCCTAAACTAGTTCACTAGTTTTAGACCGACAAGTTTATAGCCGTCTCTGGGAAAAGTTCTTGCAAGGGTGATAAAAAAACAGGCTAACTGCTCACCTAGAGAGACTCAACTTAATTCACAACGCGCAATTTGAATTTAGAAGCGGGCAAAGTACTACCCACAAAGTTTTGAATTTAGTGGAATTTGTTGCAAGTAATTTCCAAAAGAAAACTGCAGTCGGGGCGTGCTTCCTCGATTTTGAAAACGATTTCGATCGAGTGTGGCACGCATGATCTTTTCACAAGCTCCGCAATTTCTTGCTCCCCACCAGTTTTATTCATTTGATAATTTCTTATCTTAAGCAAAGAACATTTCAAGTTAAGTTTCAACTTAGATTGGCAAAAGCTCTCAGTAGCTGTGGCCAACTGGCAAAGGATGACGATGACGATGGCCTGCCTTTGTTTGAGTTTTATCTTGAGTGTGTTGAGCTCCGAGAGCGATCGACCGAGTCGGAAGCTGTATTTAGTGTTTTGCTGTAGGAAGAATGCTGTGAAGCTGTCTTCACCGTTATAGCCTGATAGCTGGAAGGCTGTGTTTGCTGATTGTTTCAGCGTGTTTATCGTAGTTTTCGACGACTCTAAACGTATCTTTGGAACCTCCTGTGAAATACTGGCGAATAAATTGGGTTTTGATTCTTCGTCGAGTGTTATAGTCAATCATTCCAAATCAACGAACTCGTATAAACATAACAATATTTTTAGATTACAGATCCCATATTTCAGACACTGAAAAATTCAGCCTGCAGCTCTAACACCTTTATGTTATAAATAAAATAATGTACAAAATAAGCTAAATAATAATTAATAAATGTAAGTAAAATATAGAAAAATAAATAGAGTAAATAAAATGCAGAATAGTGAATACAAATAAAAAGTTGTAACATTAGATTAAAGATTTCAAATTCTAGATTCTGAAAATTTCAGATTGTGGTCTAAATGTATTTAAATCTTAAAACATAAAAATCATAAAGGTTTAAAAATTTTAGTTATTTATGGCCATTATATATTAAAAATTTTATATTCCAGACATTTCGTGCAGATTCAAATTTAACGCTTAAAAGAACATTAATTAAACTGCGATTAGTTTATAAATTTAAAGATTACTCACCATTAAATTGAAGATATGGAACATGAAATCATATATTTAAAACAATTTATGAGAAATACTAATGATAAACCGTTGGAAAAATTGCAGTGGTATTACTACATCATATATTAATTCCGTGGGGATTTGCATACTACTTATTTAGTAAAGAAAAGACTCATATTCAAGGCGAGACTGGTCATTTTTTTCTGTCAATCATTTATACACGAAGTTTGCCTCGAATATTTTTTCTCTAGTGGGGAGCAGAATACTGCTAAGACATGAACTCTTTTAGTTTAAAGAAAGCACATCAGATGTTGGTTTCTACCGGAAAAGAACATTTTAGCCTTATCGATGGCAGAAACTGGTTGCAATTGATCAAAACCGTAGAAAATGTCAGCTATTGATATAAGCTAATGCAATAATGTTGAGCATTCTATTGATGATGAGAGCATACGTTAATACTGTATTAAATCATTTTAAGAACTTTTATTACATAATTTTCAATAAATAAAAATTGCATAATTTAAAAAATAATATATCTTTTATTTATTGCAACTAAGGCAATATCTTTTTGCATGATAAAAATTAATTAAGCTAAAATACTAAATATAGTTATTATTTTAATCATTATTATCACATCCTTTATCTCTCCTCTATAATTTTATTATTTCCATTTTACATCCTAATGACAGTAAGTAATTTATTTTTAATATACTAACTCTTTAAACTCTGTCATCTTAAAAAAGCCTTCCCCAGTCATGATATTCAAATTTGGGAACTGAAGCTTAAATTAAACAATCAGCTTGAAGTTAAATCAAAACTGAATCAATTTCGTTCAACCCTTTGAAATAAATATGTTTATTCATTCTTCGCTTCTCTGTGTTTTTAATTTGCTCTTGTTGCTTTTCTTACTTAACTAGGAATAAGTAAAAATTCGCTGAAGAAAAACTAGACATGTCTTGCTCTCGTTTAGTTGTATGTGTTGAGAAATTATATTGTCTGGCATAAAATGTAAATGTTTCAATAAATATTGCCACATCTTGAATTCATTGTCACATTGTTATAGAAATATAGTAAATTAGTGCACACACATACATATATGAAATATAAAAATTACGTAAATCAGTTTTATAATTTAATTTAGTAATAACCTCTTAATTCCACATTTTTAATTTCAGTATTTAATCTCTCTATTCTGAAAATAATAATCCCTTTTCTGAACTGAGCATTTCTAGATTAATATGCGTCACATGGCTTCCGTAAGCTGATGACGTAGCTTATTCGAAACTTGAACTCTTGAGAACTGAAACCTTTCTAATTTAAACCAAAACCTTTTATTGCTAAGCTTTCATATTGGATAACTGTGTACTTTTAGCTTGATCCTTTGTGCTGCTTGGATACTCATTGCTGTGCTCTCTTCTTATCACAATAATATTAAAAAATTTAAATATTCTGAAAATAGGCACGACTAGAGTACCAAATGAATATGGCGACAAATGCCAGTTGAAATAAAAATTAATATTTAATCCTACTCGGTTGCTAGGTCTCCTGTTCATTTATGGATCAGCAGTCTACTCAATCAGAAGTCTTCCTCTTCAATATGCCATCTACGTGCTTCATCAAACAACATTGCTACTTCTTTTTCTTTCCTTTATCCCACACACGCATCCATAAAGAATAAGTTTATCAGTTCCAATTTATTTATGTCGTCTTTTTCCTATAAAAATATGTGCTTAAAATATTAAATGAACAAAATACTGTGCATTAATAAATATATATTATTGTGTCATCAGGAGAGTTAGCCATCTCATGTTTTCTCTTCTTGGTGCCTTGCATGGCACGTATTATCATTACAGTAACCTTGTAACGCTCGCTGAGTTTTTTTGCTGTTGTTGGCTGAGTAAATTATTGCTTGGAAAGATGGCTCGCATGTGATTAAAATTGTAAAATAAAATATTAATATTACTGCCCAGTTTTCGTTAATTTTGAGTTATTCGTAAAGGTAACGAATGCACGCATCGTTATATATAGGGCGTTTGGAATGCTGTCGTTTTTGTTTGGATTACACAATCAAGATTGGAATCCGTAATGTGAATGCCAATTAAGGCGGAAGCGCTTAGAGTTTTAAATGAATCAAAATAAAACTCGAGTAAAAGACTGAATTATTTACCTAAACACATGGGGCGCAATTCCGAAATGAAAACTTGTATGAAGATTTCATTAAGGAATGTAATAAATTAGGCCGTTCCAAAGAAATTGCTGAAATGAATAACTCTAGTTTTTCATATTATCTTCGTCATAATGAAGTTTCCAGGCTCGATAAGCCTAGCACTAAACTCTGGGTAGTGCTCAATGCTACTGCTCTTACGACTACTGGAATTTCGCTAAACGATGTTTCACTGAATAGAGGGTTAATTCAAAACGAACTATTTGATTTTATTTACAGATTTCGTACTCATTGCCTTCACGGCAGACATCGTTAAAATGCATCGTTAGATTTTAATTAAGGAGTTTTAAGGTATTAGTATGGCTTCGTAGTGCAGTGGTCAGCACGCTCGACGCGAATTCGAGAGGTTCGTGGTTCGAGTCCCGGCGACAGAATGCCCTTATTCGGGTCTAGACATACGTTATTTAAAATTGGATCGCTCTAGGTACCGTTATTTTATCACAATACGAGAAACAATTTTTCATTATTTAATTTCTTTAAATAGTATACAGGGGGATCATGTTTGGTGGCAACAATTTGAAAAGTGAAACAACGCTTGTAGTGAATAAACGCAAAATGCCAAAACGAAATTAATAGTCCTTCTGGGCTAACTGTTTTTGGGCTAGTAATAATGATAATAATAGTAACAGTAGTAGAAAAAGTAGTAATAATAATAAATCTCAAAATGTTCTTGATAATTTTTTTAATTTATTTAAAATTTACTCACTCTTTTGAAGCAATGATTCCACATCCTGCATTACAGATCGTTGAACCTTTGTCTTGTTCTAATCCAATATTACATCCAGCACATTCTATGTGTACAAAATTAAAATAATTTCATATAGAATAGCATTCTGTATGGAAGATAATTACATATTATACTCGTATGTTGACAGTTCAGAAGGCAATTATGATAATTTGAAATGCAATACTGAATTTTACCAAGCACTCCTTACTATTATCGATTTTTTTCAAAGTTACATTTAAGTAGTCATTTCCTACACGGAGAGCAAAAGATAGAAATGGATGTTTTTTCAATATTAAGAAATTTTTATTGCAGTTTTAAAATTTATATATATGATTTGTGCTGGATTTCTTCACATAAAGTGTTAAGTAATAGCAGGACTTCCAGCTATCTAATTTATTGCGTACAGCACAGACCCCCCCCCTTATACTTAAATTCCTAAGCATTTGTAACTGATGAATTACGATTCATTTATGCAGCCCATATCCAACAAACTTAGTTGAGTAGGCTTCAGTATATCGTTACTGGGGATTGTGGACGATATGGAATTTTTCCAGATCCAGCACCCATTTGTTGTTGAGCATATCGCTCAAGAATGAATAAAGAATAAAGGAAAATTACCAATTTTAAACCTGCCAAAAAGTTAAACAAACGGCATTAATTTATTTCGAAATGGTAATATTGAGAATACAAGGCGTAATAAACACTAGTTATCTAGAAAATGCTGTTAAGGTGAAAATGTTAACTTAAGACGAGTTTCATTGCTAGGCAACTAGACATTCCTACGTCACACAAACTGGCATAAATTATTGGCATTTTAAACAATATTGTTAGCAGGACGTATTCATTGATGGCCATATTACTCAAGCATGAATAAAGAATGAAAAGAAAGATTTTAAGTTTTAAACCTCCCAAAAAACAAACAAGGGCATTCATTTGTTTGAACTAGGCACTAGTTATCAAGGAAATACTTTTAATGAGAAAATGTGGCCTTAATTCGAGTTTCGTTGCTACAAAGACCTTGTTGCGTCACAGAAACTGGCATAACAATTTTGCCTAATTGCTCTAACTGTTAAGATTTATGCCAACCTGTTATAAGAATCGAGAAATCACAGGGAAGCAATCATAGACTCAAATTCATTGATCGAATTTCACTCAGCTATACATTTATGCATGAGCAATTTTGTCATTCTTACAATGATCTAGTCGTCATTATTGTCATATGCTTAAGGCGTAAAATGCATTACGTCTGTTCACATGTCTGGAACAGGGTTTAAAGTTCTGGAATAGTAAAGCACTTACTTATTCTGTGTTTACTTAACTCATGAACTAAGGGAAGCTGATCATGTTAGAAAATGAAATACTTGTGATAATTTCAAGGCCTTCTGTTAAGATTTTTTTCCCATTTGGTGGGCGCTTAGTCGACTTAGACTTGGCCACTACTAAGGTTGGAAGTGGTGGCTACTTTATTGTGGAAGCACCTAAAAGATGGGCCAGCGTTACCTCCTTTGAAAGGACAATTACAGCTGTGCCTTCTCCGGGATTCGAGCCCGGGCCTTTCGGTATTGCAGTAGACTCCCCTAACCACTATATCGTCCGAGAGTGCTAATCCAGTCAGCTCAATCCGTTACGGGTTCAGTACCCTTTGTTAACATAGGAAATATATATTGAGGCATTGTCACCTAGTTAATCATTATGCGTCAGGAATTAGTATGATAATGAGATGATTATATTTTTTAAATTGCTCAGGTATGTTTATGCTAGTTGCAAGACAATTGTCTCATCATTCGCCAGTGTCTTTCCTCCTGTAGAGGTATTTTAAGTAAGAATAGTGTATAGTAAAAACTTATTTCTTATGTTTCAAATAACCTAAAACTAGAAACAAGAATTGGTTTTAAGTCAGAAAATGAGCAGATCTATATCTTCTAAGTTAAAGCAAAATCCTTTTTTTTTAGTTACGAGTGTGAAAACTTCTACATCAAACCATGTTATTGAATTTTTATTATAAAACTTATGACAAATAAAACACACTTAAAAAATAATAATACACATATACCACACGTCAGATACATATTTGTCCTCATTGATCACATATACTGTACATTGTGGGGTGTGTTTACAGACGAGGGGCCATAAAATGGGAATAACATGTGGGGGACACGTAGAGGTCCGGCGAATATATATTTGTGGAGCGCATAGGTTGCTGAGTGTATGAGAATGCCGAGAGCGGTGACATGTTAGCAGCACAGGGTGATGTTCATGTTGACTTCTGTTAGTGGCGGACGTTGTGGGATTATGCAGCGTCGCATATATCTTGGCCCATAGCGGCGTGCTGGTCAATGACCTTACAGATTTTATTGATTGCAGGTTTGTTTTTAATAATGAACCGTTGAAAGGCGTCTGTAGGAGGAGTGGGATGCTTAATGTGGTTGTCTGCTGTGAGTGGGCAAGAGTAGATATAGTGGTCTGGTGATCCAAGTTGGCCGCACACGCAAGCATCTGTAGTGGAGATGTTGTGCCTATATAATAATACGCTGGATAGGGGCCATGTCCCGTTATGAACCGGGTGAGTTGGGGTATAGCTATGAGGCGTGATAGAGAGACTTTGGGTAGGAGATTGTAGGTCCGTCCGTCCGGTGTCACACGCGTTCCATTCCTCTTGCCATATTTTGAGTAGGTCTTCTTTGAGAAGCCTCTTTAGATGCGATGGTGGTGCACGGATACGGATTTGCTGAACTTCAGAACTGATGGCGGCTTCTTTGGCTAGGGTGTCTGCTGCCTCGTTTCCAACTAGACCAGCATGCGCCTTGACCCAGGTGAGGTGAATGCGTTGCTGGTGGTTTACAGAGAGTAGCTTTTGGATTTCGGAGATAATTGGGGAGGTGTGGCTTAAGTTTTGAATCGCCAGGAGTGAAGATTGGCTGTCTGTACAGATGCATGCTTGGTGGTAGCCGTTACTTAGTATGTCGTTGGTGGCGTTGAGGATGGCCAAGGCTTCTGCCTGGAACACAATATTGAAGTGCCGCAGTGCTGCCTTCCAACTGGTACGTTCATTATTTTGGTGGTAGCAAATGTAGGCGCTACCAACTCCGTCTTCAATCTTGGATCCATCGGTGTAGTAGACGTACGTTAGCGTTGGGAATACTAGAATTGCTAGTGTTGTCTGGCGAATATATATTTGTGGAGCGGAAGGTGATCTATGGTGATGCGGAAGTTTCTTCCTTGAATGCCTGGGTGTGGGCGTAGGGTGGGGCGAGGGTTTTCATATAAGGTCGGACTGTGGGTTGTATCGTGGAAGGTGGAGTCTTTGCGTAGTTGCAGGACTCTGGTTATTGTAGCTTCTTGCTCGGCTCTAAGATATAGTGGCGGTATGCCTGCAAGGATGATGGCCGCAGAGGTGGCTGTGTTGCGAAAACCTTTGCACATCATTCGTGCGAAAGGTCTTTGGATGGTCTGTAGTTGTTTACATTTCCGGCTTTGCATCGGCGTCGCCCATATTGCGGCAGCGTACAGGACTATGGGTTCAATCACTGTCGTGTACAAAATCTTGTTAATATATGGGTTTCGTCCCCAATTTATACCTTGAAATTGACGGGCCTTGCGTGCAATGGCTTGTGTCTTAATTTTGAGTTGCTGTAGATGTGGGATCCATGTAAGGCCTTTGTCCCATATTAAGCCTAAATACTTGAGCTCTTTGACGATTTTTAGATTTTTCTGTTGGAGTTTAATACATGGATTTCTGCTTGGGTTGGTGCCTGGCTTGGGAATGATAAGAGCGGTTGATTTGGCAGTGGAGATGGTTAATTTGAGTTCTTGACAGAGGAAGCTGAATTTTTGTAATATTTGAGTGCTTCAGTGTTCCAATTCGTTTCTGGTGCGACCCTGGATTAGGAACGCAACGTCGTCTTGTATAGGCAACTAGTTGTGTATGCTGTGGCCAGTTGGTGGAGATGATGCTGTTAAAAGTTAGATTCCAGAGCACTGGGCCGGCGCAAGATCCTTGCGGGCATCCTCTCTCCTGCTGTTTGATGGTTGTCCCGTTGTTGTGTGGGACCAGGAGGAAACGATTCTGGAGGTAACTGTCAAATATGCCATAGATGTTACGGGGGCATCGAGATGAGCGGAGAGCTTGTTTAATGGCCGGCCACCAGAGGGCGTCAAAGGCACTCTGAAGGTCAATTGAGACAAAAGCCGTGTGAAGCTGTTGTTCTTTGTTGTGGGGGATTATCCGTCGAACTTCCTCCAGAGCATGCAGTGCGGAGAGGCCAGAGCGGAAGCCGAACTGCCTGCTGCTTAGGATGCGGTTGTCTTGCAGATGAAAGATGAGTCTTTGTACTATTAGTTTTTCGTAGACTTTCCCTAGAGCCGGCAACAGGCAGATCGGTCGGAGAGAGCTTGGGCCTTGGGGATCTTTGTTCTTTTTAGTGAAGAAGACTACATGACCAGTTTTAAAGGCGCTTGGGAAGAGCTCATGTTTCAGTAGTCCCTCTGGTTTGACTGTGGGGATATGCCTCCTTGCGTCGCCTCCAAGGGTTGGAGAATTGTAACCGTGTAAGGCATCTTAATAAGCCAGGTCTTGGAGTCTCTACTCCCTAGGGCACTGTTGTAGCTATTAAAAATCATTATGTTTCGTCTTCCAATGGTTCTTCTTCTTCCAAGTAAACGCAGCTTTGTTAACTCCACTATCTTCATCTTATTAAGATGGTTAATTTATGTTTGAAGGTTTTATCAAGAGGTAAGCGATACAAAAGCATTTGATTCTTACAAGTGTTATCCATATAAATAATAAGGTATTTTTAGTACCTTCAGCAATAATATTTATTGCTCTGATAGAAGAGAACAAGTAACATATCCAATGGCTCTCTTGAAATATGAAGAATTGCTTGAAATTTTCCTACTGTATTCACAATATAACAAAACCTTTCCTACCAGAGCTTACAGTCCCCGTATACATTTAAGGAATTTTCTCGGGAGTAGGACTAGGCTTTTCGAAGTTTTTGCATTTTAAGGTTTTGGGGTAGGGTTCTGCAGCTCTGAACGTAGCGAAAATAGTACAGCTTTAGAAAAATCTGTAAAGCTAGAAATTAGCAAATTTTTGGCTCTGAAAATTTAAAAAGTAATAGATGTGTTTTGTAACCATCACATTCTAATGCAAATGCAGTCTTTTGAAACGTAATGTCTTTACTTTTGTATTCATTAATATGAAACATGTTTTAAAAAAAAATCACCTTGTTTTATTTAAATGCACTAAAATTAAAACTAACTTTGCTGTTATAATAATGTTGGTCATGTATTTAAAAATACAACCGCGAGACTGTTAAGTACGGCGAATTTTCCCACAGTTACTAAAAATCATAGGGCTGCTAGCAATATACTTTTTGATTTAATCATACAATTATGTCATTCTTAGAAACATAATAACAGTAAAAGAAATAATATGGAAAAACGACTAAATAGTGTAAATTACTTCATAAATTTCTAATAAGAATTTATTTAGAATATTATTTTTAGTCTATTCTCTGATGTAAAAACGGAAATTTTACTTTGATTAATTTGACATCAAACAAGTGAAAACAATTCAACTCTAAAACCATTTATGTAAAATTTTGAACAAACTTCTTGAGAAACATTGTATTGTCTTCTCAAATAAACACTCACTTATGAGCAATTTGAAAAAACTTGGATCTGCATTGGGCCGCAAAAATTAATTTTAAAGATGGAATTCAAACAAATAAGCAAAAGAATGCAGACACAAGAGTCGAGTTAAATAAAACAGTGTGTGAAACAGACGTAGCGGGTGAAAGCCTCTACTATTTTTAAATGTTTCATAACTTTTCGTAAAGTTACATAAAGTAATTATTGTATAAAAATATATGTTTAAAAAACGTAGATATTGAAATCAAATTTTAGTAGTCACCTTATTTTTCAGACTTTTCTACGTATTTTAACTTTATAAATGGCATGAGCAAAAATGTTCGACCCCTAACGTATTTATTGCTTTGCTCATCATTCACCATCAACATCATTTACATTTATATTCAAGAATTCCTACTTACCAGCTTTCCTAATGTGGGCCTTGAATCCCTTTCCTAGTTTTAACTTTGGATCCTGATTGCATGTAGTTAAAGATATATTTACCGTTGTCTCGGATCCATCTGACGCATAGTAGGGAGGAGTCTTTTGTCTTGTGAGGGTCACAATTTCATTTGTATTCGTCTTCTGCGCCTGAACAGTTACGACGTTTCTGCAACCGGGAACATTATTATATGCTCCGTAATGTACTACATCATATTCAGGAAAGACTAATTCCATGTAATCTCCTTCAGATATCGTTATTGTCCACGTATGTCGAAGGAAAGAAGCTGGGTACTTATCTTTGTAACCAGGTGTGACAAATTTACAAGGAGCGTTGAAACCATCTTCGAATATATCTATGGGATCAAAATTAGTCATTGTAGAATTTTATTATAAGAAAGACGAAATAATAAGAAACCAAATTTTATTCTGTTGTTTCATAATAACGGATACGAACTGCACTGTAGCACAGAACAATATTATTATATTGTAATGCATGTGATTATATTGCATTATAATGTATTGTAATATTATATTGTATTATATATTTAAATATTATATTGTATTATATATTATAAAGTAATTATTACAATATTGATTTTAATACTACAATAGATTTAAATGAATGACTTTTTTTTTTAATTACTCATGTAGGATTTAATGCTCAAAGATTGAAAGTTCCGTCAACTTTCACAAAATTCCGTATAAATAATTAACCAATGAATGAAAAATTAAATGAATGAAAAATTAGTAACCAGATCCAGATTAATGCAAAATTTGAAATCGATATACTAAAAATTAATTTTTAATATGAAATTGATCAAATTTTCAAAATATGTTCTCCCCTCAAAAAAGATTTCTTGTAAACTATTCTTCTTCTTTGATACATGCTTAGTGTGAATTGAAAAGGGTATTGTTTTTGTAAAAGAGCTTATGAATTTACACCTCTACAAATAACCGATTTTGTGTAATATAATATTGCTTTAAAAATGGAATTATGAAGTTTTGAACTTAATAACTTATTTCAGCTTGTACTATCTTTGCCTACTTAAGGGAGATTATCTCACTTTAGCCATTTTAATGAGAGGGATGGGTTAGGGAGTTTTAGTGAAAGGGATTAGTTAGCTATTTTTAACGAAAAATCTTAATCTATGTTCACCATTATATTGATTCTGATAAAAATAAGTTTAGAATACTTTAAAAACTTTAATAACTATTGTATTAACCTAATCGCCTTAGAAGAAATTGCCAAATTTTGAAAATATGCCAGACTTTTTTTCTTTTTGCTGTATTCCGAGTTCCAATAATTTATACACAAGTCGTGATATAATTTTGCCTTAAACTTAATTTTAAACTCTGCGCTCATAGGAATGGTTAGTAAGCGAAGAAATTGAGTGTAAAAATTCTGCTGGAATTATATTTTTCGCCAAAATTGCTGAAAGAATTGTTTCGTTTATTTATTTATGACAAAGCACGCAAGCACTATCTCTCCATTAAAATAGGGAAGGACTATTTGCTTAGGGGAAGGGATAAGTTCAATATAAATGAAATCAGTTCTTTCTTTCCAAGCAACAATAAATTCGTAATTTTTTTTTTTTTTTTTTTTTTTTTTTTTTTTTTTTTGTTACCAAACCAGAAAACAAAAACTTTTCATACTTCAGGTTAATACGTATACATAGGACGTCTTGGTTTAGATTTAATATAATATAACAACTTTTATCTCAATTTCAATAAAAAAATTAACTTGGCAATAATATACCTTGTCTGTTGTCTTAAAATGAATCAAAAAAGTTACGAAGGGCAGCTATTTATTTCAAATGCTGACATTACTGAAACATTTTCGACATACAGTGACGTCATATGCAATCGCATGCTTTCTTCAACGTCAGAATATAACCTTATATAATAATAATGTATTTAATGTTTGGCAATGCCATTTTTATTTCATATTTTGTAAAACTTACAAATATTTTATAAACAAAGTTTACGATTTGAAAGCAAGCAGTGGCAACACGTTTCGAAATGAAGCAGATTTTTATCTCCAGCGCGCAAGATTGTTGCCACTCGAAAAATGAGTGCGAAAATTAGCGTTTTTGGAGTTTTTAATTAATATCTCCGCTGATTAAAGTAGTACGATCATGAGAATGGTGATTTACCACAAATTTTAGGAATCAGGGGGTGCCCTCTCGAAATTCAACTTCCCGCCGTTCGGAAGGAGATAATGCTACAAACAAACACACAAAGAAACAGACGCGCACAGGTTTTAACACTATAGATTTGTAATTATTCTTACTGCAAAATTTGCATATATGAATCTGAAATTGTGCATATACAACCTGTCATTAATATTTGAATACTATAACTACAACAGACATCCATGTACATTTTTGTCAGTCTAATTTTGTACATTTTTCTTGCTTCAAATTATATGATGTTTAAATATTTTGTTTGATTGTTACGAATTAAGATTATTATAATTGCCCTTTAAATCTGATAATTCACGATTTATTTTTGATTTAATGCTTAGGCTGGAAACATAATTTATGAAATAGGAACAAAAATGTTTTGCTTTTTTAATCCCAATAAATTCAGTACTTACAAAATTACAGCGAGAGGCTGAATGAAGTGTAGCAACCATAGCATGTTTATGTTGAAGTAAATATTCAGTATGAATGATAGCACTACACAACTACAAAACTATTTCTTTTTAATAGCCGTTATTAGCGATTCAGCTGGAAACAATATATGTACCTTGTCGTATGCCAACATCTTTTCAATTTCCGATTCAGTCAAACTGGGTGTGGAATCTTAACTCAATTCTCTGTGCAATAATAATGTTTAAGTTTACAGATCGAACAAGTGACCTCTGGGACCTTATTAGATGGAAATAAGCAATTTAAACAGAGTCTATGTTTCTTGACGACATCAAATCTCCTCCTCTTAAATTCATATCCCTGAATGCAAGTGTTGAATGAATTATTAGTATATGGAGTGCACTTTTTTGCAACCAACATAAGATGGTTTTGAAAGGTTATTCGAACAAACTACAAAGCGCTTTGACACATGAGATAAATTTGCTCAGGTTGCAAATTAATTTAGGCACGTAAACGCCATATTTCGCAACAAGCTTTCTAATATCTGACTTGGGTGTCAATAAAACTACAAATATTCATCGAAGTTTGGGAGATTATTTAACGTGAAAGTCATTTCAAATTGTTTTCTAAACTCTTGATGAAGTCTCTGAATGATAACATTTATTAACAATATAACAGAAAGTTTATCAAAATCGAATGATTTCAGTGCCCACATATTCTTTTTTCATGATCTAGCATTTCTTGAAATTCTTTAGCCAACTCTTGATTAAGTTTTGGGATAGTTTATAGCATTCTGAACATGTGCATCTACAATTATTCTTTTGTTCTCGTAATGGTCTTTTAATGCTTTAAATAATGACTCATGCGTATCACATGAGTTTGAATTGGGTGGCCTCAGAGCGTAGTGTGTAAATAAAACATTTGTGAGAATCTGTTAAATGAGATTTGTTTTAGATATTAGATTAGATTATATGCAGTTTTGAAATTACTCCACTCTTTGTACAAATCAGAGAATTCCTGTCAAGGAATTTGGGGAAGAGAAATATAAAGACACTTCATATTTGCGGCACAAGGATCATCAACTTGTAATTCATTTTTCAAAGATCTGTTTGTATAATAAGTAAGGTATACCTAAAGGACACACGTCATTTGTCTCATGACGTACTGCGAATTCATCTAAACAATCATTAGTTTCTCCTCATCTTTATTTTTTTCATAATATCCAATATGCAGCTCCTTCAAATTTTGAAACAGAGTATTACAGAATCCAGTTTCCGCTGCAGTTCTATTATTGATACAAATTCGTCAGCAGTATCCAAAACGGCTAAAGTGAATTATTGTTTCGTGGCTTTTATAAAATTTTTGTGCGAGCAAACTTAATTTTTAAAGCAGCTGGACGAAACGAATGTTAGGAATTAAGAGGGACAGAATGCTATCAGAAGCAAGAAAAACTAAAATTTAATTTAGTTTAAAAGAATTCAAACTACAAAGAAGATAGCAGACGATAACTGAAGCTACTAGAAAAATAATAAATACAAGTTACTTGGAACTTAAATGTCTTTTTTCTACTGGATTTTAGATTAGATTGTATTTACCAGTCCATCAAAACTGTATCCTAGGGTTTTTCATATTATAAATAAATGTGCAACCGCAGAGTCATCCGAATGGACGAAAAGAGAATGTCTAAGAGTAACAAAGTCAAGGAATGTAATGCACAGGAGATTTTGAGATTACTAGAAAGTGACTTTTGGTGGTACTCACGTGAGGATGTAGTTTAATGTAAATTTTACAATAAAACATAGATGAATTGCAAAAATATTTACAGAATAATAGTTGAAATTCAAAGTTCTAGGGATCAAGTAAAACTCCTGATCTTAAATTTCCAAGAAAAGTGCTTTCCCACTGCGCTGTTAAGTCCGCATGAAAATCTCATTTACATGACAGGAGAAAAATACTGAATAAATGTTATGTAGAATAAATTGATTGATTCTTGAGTAGAATGAAAATCGTTATCAATGTCAATGTACGTTATAATTATGATATTCTTCCTGTACCTTCGATAGAGAACGGAACATATTTTTCTGTTTTTTAAATGCGTTTCAGTAGTTTATACTAGGGTGCAACTATGTTCTTATATAGCTGAAGATTATGGATAGCAGTTCGAGGGTTCATTGATCTCGCTAGTATTGCGGTGTCGTCTGCGCATTTTAAGACTTGAGGTGAAAGCGGAATCAGAAAATCGTTAATAAAAATACTAAACAATGTGGGATCTGGAATAGACCCACACGGGACACCCACATTGATGACATGTTTAGAAGAAAGGGTTTCTTCACATGTTAATTGGTACATTCTTCTTTTTAAGTAGTAATTTATGAGCTTAATAAAGCTGATCGGAAGATGAATTTCTGCTGATTGGGGAATCAGGTGATTGTGCCATATTCTATGGAATGCATTCTCGAAGTCGGGAAAGCAGACTGCAACTGCTGATGTTTTTTATGAATGCGTTAGCAATAATCTAGAAAATGTTAAGAATTTGGTGCGTATTGCTATGACCTTTGCGAAAACCACTTGGGAGGGATTGAGAAGATCACATTTTTCCAGATGTTCAGTGAGGCTAGAGTTCAGAATTCTTTCAAAAATATTCCCTACGCACGGGAGTAAACTGATGGGCCTGTAACTGGAAGTTAATTCGGGATTTTCCCCAGACTTAGGTAACGTGATGATTACGCAGTGTTTTCACTGTTGTGGAAAATATCACAGTCGTATGCAAGCATTAATCATATTAGTGAGAAGGACGAGACATTTTTTCAGGCAGATTTTAATGACAGACTAGCTTATGTTGTAGAAGCCCTTCGCCTTTTTACTGCAGCGGAACATCTATATACGAGAAATTCGAGACACGAGGAAAGTATGAGCGAAACATTCGTCTCTAAATACGAGCATTGACTCGAGTAACGAGCAATGAGCCAGGCTGCTGGTATGCGTGGCGCTACTCCCTTCGTCAGATCACTCAGTACTCTTTGATCTACGTGTTTGTGCATTTGTGAGTTAATTGGTTTTTACATTTAACGTGAAAATACTTGTTTCGCGATGCTTCCCAAGAAGTGTTTTGCCTCAGATAGTGCTGTAAACAAAAGGAAGGAGATCATGGCCGTTGAAATTAAGAAGGAAATCCGACACAAACATAAGCTTGGTGTAAGAGTGACAGAATGGCCGAAGACTTAAGTTCGACATCGACGATCTGCACTATTCTGAAGAAGAAGGAAGAAATTAAGAAACTTGATGTGGCCAAAGGAGTTACCGTTACTTCCCAGCACCGTCCAAATCTCCTAGAAGATGTTGAGAAGCTGTTTTTGGTATGGATTAACGAGATATAGTTAAAAGACGATTCGGTTTCAGAAGCTATCATAAAGGTAAGCTACGGGTTATATTATTTTCCAGTGTTATTTGTTAGAAAAATTTATTTCATGTTGATATTTTTGGGGGTGCGAAACGGATTAACTGGATTTCCATTATTTTCAATGGGGAAATTTGATTCTAGATACGAGAAATTCGCTATACGAGCACAATGCTGGAACTAATTAAACTGGTATCTCGAGGTTCCACTGCATTACGTTTCCTGAAAATATCATTTACTTCTCTGGGAGAGCCATAAGTGATGTAGTTGGAGAATTTACTACTGAGGATGTTATTTACAGAGTTTTCGATTTCTTTTTCATGTTCATGGATGATACTAGGGTTTGAAGTGAAAGTGCTCGCCAGCTTTGAATTAATTAGTACAATATTTGCAGTCATTTCTTCCGAGCGTGTAATCTGTCCCATGTGATTAATTGGGCCAATTTAATGATTTATCTCTGTTTTCATGGAATTGGCAAATTTCAAGATGGTTTCGGTACGAACTCATTATTCCCAGCATCTTGTTCAGCAAACTTGAAAGTTGTCAGATATTTATCAAGCAAGAGGGTTAATTGGCTTTGTAACTTTCCACTGTTTTCTTAGTTGATTTCTCATTCCAAATGTATCTGTAATAAGTTCCAGAAGATTTGTAGATGTGTTGGGAGCGTTGTTAATTTTATTGCTGAAATGGTAATTGAAGTTCTTTTATATCTCCGAAGTTATCGAGATGTGTAGCTCTATTGGTAATTTTCACGATATTTTGAATATTTTTCCAATTTATATCCTATTTTTTTATTTTTCAAGAGTCGAATAGTATCCGTAGAAATACATATTTACGGGATAGTGACCAGAAGAGAGATCTTCAATACCTTAACGAAAAGGGGTTTGATAAATGCGTTTCATGATGGCAACATGACGAACATCACTCGTGCATGTATGATGATATGCTGTAAGGCAAATGAAGAATTCTGAGACTGTTATTGTCAGCAAAATGTTTCAGATGCCTTCCACTGGAATTTACGTGGAGGAAATTCCCACCAGGATGTTTTGAATTGAATTTTACGGATAAAGTGCGAAGAACATGTTATTTAATAAATAAAGGTAACACTCAAAACGTTAAAAAAACGCATCTTTGGACTTAATATAAAATCTGAAAGCTTTCAGTATCACTCTTTCAGTATTGTACGTAATCCTGTATAGTACTCACCTTTGTGACCAGTAGCTCTACATTTGAGAGGTCCAAGTGTGTGTTCTCCAGCTTCATTCGATTCTCCCGTATCTCCGAATCTTAACTGCAGCACAGGAAGTCGTCTAGAATCCAGAAGAAGTCCTGAATCATCCAGCCATTTTAATTTCTCATTAGAATCGCAGTTGCATGTACTATTTCTAGATGTTGGATAACAATACGGATGACAACCACAGCTCCCGCTGTCAGTTTCAGCTCCACCCCAATAGTATTGATCTTCCCAATTTCTTCCCACCCACCTAAGGAAAATACAAATTAGAATATAAATGAGATTTATTCAGTAATTTCATAACAAAAATTAAATACATTTGTGTAAAAGGCAGCCAGATCGTCTGGATTTACTTCAGAGATGAAATATGTTTGCATAAAAATGGCTGTAATATAGTAATACATTTCTTATTAGCAAACAACTAAATTTCTATAAATAGCTTATATATATTTGTTTCGTAAATAATAGCACGCAGTTACATTATGACAGTGCCTGATTAATTTATCTCTGTATTTGGTTTCTTTTTACATTGCTTCTCAAAATTAAATGATAATTTGTAAAACATATGCTCAATGATTAAACCTTTCAACCCGTATCCATTGGGGGATTCACTTAAATTAATTATCTGCAGCTAAACGAAAATCTGAACTACAACGCATAGGTCAGCGGATGAAATATGCAGTTAGGTGACTGGCAGGATGCTATACAATGTACACATGTTAGAATTCGGAGCGTAATGTATTTTCTGAAAGAGATATGTGTTTTACGAATTAGGACTCAAAGCTACAATTTAAGTGGAGTGTAGAAGTGGCGGTTAATTAATAGGCTCGAAGATAGGAAACTACAAACAGAAGTCTCCTGAGATCTGAATATACTAAAAAATGTCGGTACTTTTCCGTTTTGCCGGCGCAGGCGATAAAGTCGCCAATAATGGTAAAACTGAAGCCAAACGGAATATCCTCGCTGGTAACATTTTACGCCTCATTTTCAAAACAAGTCGCAGCCATTTCTTATCAGATTGCTTGTTTCTTTAACTACTGGCATACAATTACATAGAATTTTTACCAGATTGCTCAATTTTATACCCTAAGGCCATTCGCGGTAATTAAGTCAATTAGGATGCAATCACACCGCTCACCCGAAGGCGAAAATATACTAGAAAAGGCAAAGTAAAGGATTAAATTAATCAATTCTAATCAGAATGAACTACCGAAGTAAAGCACTGCGGTTTTACATAATTTCTGAGTAAGCTAGTCATACGAATTGAAATAATTCCTGCATTTAAAATTTGTATTTAAAAGTAAGATTTAACTTGAAATTAATGTAGATAATTACTGAGAGAATTAGATTTTTGTAGTGTAGTTTACGCGAGATGCGATCACTTGAAATCACGTGATATAAACCGGTGAATCAGGATGTTGAACCATGAGAGCATAGTAAATTCTTAAATTAATGTTTTTTTACAAATTTATTGTCTTTATTTACTGGTTTTTACAAAATTTTAAACGATATTAAAATGTTTATGCATTCAAAATAAAAAATTCTTGTAATTAACATTTGTAAAAAAATTTATGTGTATAGTGTATGTTATCGCCAATAACGTCTGCTTGGCGAGATTTGCACCGGCGAAACGGAAAAGTACCAAAATGTCATATCAAGAGCCTGGAACCGCCCTCTAATTCATGATTGAATCCTGCTAAAGGGCGGTCAAGTTTGTTTTCTACCATTTTCGGTTAGACGAAGCCATGAAGCTGCTAAAGAAGTTCGTTTAAGCCCTTTAGGCTGGCACAGGAGCTTAAATTAATGATTTTAGTTCTGCCTCAGGACTTCACAAGGTTAGACATTATGCGAAAAGAACCAGTGGTTTGTGTTTCCTTTCACCTTCTAAAGGGGCTATTTAAGTTAGTAGCATCGTTATGTTCAATAGATATGAGTGATGTGATGTGAGGGGCTCAGCCCTACGCTCCTGGCAGACTTTACATTGCCTTATGGCCTTTTTGCGGGCTGCGCCAGAATTATGTTCAGTTGAGTTCAATCGGGTACTTTTAGCTGAAAAATCTAGATAGAACATGAACTATGCTTTTAGACAAATTTTGATTAGAGGGAGCGATGAGGACGTAGCTTACCTTCCCATGGTTATGAAAGGTTCTGCTTCAACGAAGGCCGTTTCGTGATTTGGCAAGGGTTCATCGAGAAGAGGTGCATAACCTTTTTCATGAAAGTTCTGTAAACGGTCAAAGATATACGAACGAGATCTAAGAACCCAAGTAACATTGTTTAAGGGTATTGATGGCCGAAGTCTTTGGAAATGGATGAAAATTCTCCTCTGCATCAAATTTCTGTGGTATCAGAAATAGAAAATATCACTGTGGTATCAGAAATAGAATTAGGTAGCTTACAAACGAGACTTAAATTCTCTTGAGCATACTTGAAACACCTTAGCGCTGAATTTCAGGGCCATAAATGCATCCCCAGGCACTGCAGGTTCTGATAAATGCATTTTCAGAAGAATGGATCGCTATTTCACAAAATATAGTCACCATTTTGGTAACTTACATGAAATAAAATGTAAAGCTTGCAGTTCTGTTAGTGGTCATCATAAAAGTATATTGAAGAAATATGTTTGTAAAATACAATAGGTTATTTCCAATTTTCCCACTATTGTTTAATTTGCATAAATTTGATTGAATTCTATAATGTGGAATTAATCAGCTTGGAAAACGGGTAATTTACATTAATTGATGCTGGTGTACAATTTTGCAACAAACAGTTAAAAATTTTATTTCAGTCACTAGCCTGCAATTTTCACGAACAGTATATATTACATCTAAATTAATCACTAGCGTAAGATGTTCGAATGTTTCGCATTTATTCAGAACTCTCGACCGGATAATAAAAGAAGGAATGAAAGAATAAATGTGATTTTTTTTTCTTACTGCTCTAATATTTAAGGATTTTATTTTCGACAAATTATTAATGAACATCACCGTTTACTTTCAAAGAAAGAGTACTTATTTTTGAACATATAATTATTAAACAGTTCTCAGCCAACAGTAACTTTAAAAAAATACTTATCCTTATGTTGTTGCATGTATGCAGTTACCTTTATTGACTAATATACTGCTATTTCAAAAGCTTAAATTTATTAATATTTGTGCAATTGTAACATATATTTTAACATTTAAAAATTTTAGCAAAACAGTTGCTCTCATTGCACTCTGTGCACATTTAAACCATTAAAAACTTACCAGCTATCGATAGCATCTGGATACCAAAATCCAAACATAGAACCTTTACAAGCCCATTTTATGTATTGTTGGCAAGAAAAAGATGACTCAATCAAGGCTATCAAATGTTCTTCGGTAGTGCCATTGTACGTAATATTTCGAAAATAAGAACCAGCAGATTCATAATGTCTAATATGTACAGGACGTTCACAGTCATGATGTATGACAGTCATCACCTGCAGTAGAAAACAATTAAAAATGATGTCAAATGTATTTGAAATACGTTATATATTGTTTTAACTCAAATTGTAGGATATATACTAGCGGGCTGTAGTCAAAGCAAAATTTATAAATTCTATTTACACCCGAAATAAAAGTTAATAATAAAGGCGTGAAATTGTGCAGTGCATTTCAATATCTTCTGAGGGTACTATTGACGGAATTGTTTTGTGAGTTCTTTGCTTGGATGAATTTACGAAGCTCCAGAATTCGTCGGCCGAGCTGTTTTTTCCGAAAAAAAAAATTCTCTTCCGGTCGATCGTGCGACTTTACCTTGGCCTTTAATGTTGTGATATATGCCTATTTCATATTTATCAACGGTCAAGAACCATGAGCGTGTTTCGTCTTATCCCTGATGTACTGTTCCCGAGATCGTGTTATCCCAAATATCCTAGTTGAGGTTTCTCCAAGAGCTAGCCGAGTCTACTGATTTCGTCTAGGCATGTTCCTAAATTCTTCAGAGGAAGGGATAGGTCTTGGTATCTCCATTTCCTAATCCTTGTGTACCCTACTTGTCCAGTGAAAGGTGCCTGTTTTTCTCTCAAGCTTCCGGTTACCGAAGTATCTTCAAGGATAAGTTTCTTCCTTATCTTTATTTTCCTGTTTACATTTTATCCACTTAAGGAATGAAATTTTGATGCACTGTAATTAACTTTGCAAGTTCTTTTGATTTGAATTAATATAATCACAATTAGGGCTAAATTGATAATATTACTATGTTACGAAAATGCCTCTTCCGCCTATCTGGCTGAGTATAAAATTTTGCTCTTGAATAAAAGATTAATAATGTTTGTTTTTTCTTCTCTGTAACGGGCTTAATGTGTAAAAATGTAGTGTACGCCAATAGTTCTACTATTGAACCTGGCATACAGTATTAAAAAAAGAGACTGTTAAATTGTGTAGACAATCTGTTCTCCATAAATGATAGTTTAATCAAGTGTTTCCTTAAAAACATTTATAATCAATCTCTAAATGTTTAAATAAATAAATAAAAAAAAGGATACTAAAGAGCTTAAATTAATCAGTTGAGTGTAAGTTTTACTTTAAAATTATTTATTAATGATTCTCTTGAATGGTCATTCAACCGGCACGAACCCGGCAATCCCTAATACAACACAAATAACGCTATATTCGGCTTTAATTAAGGTTTCAATTAAATTGAATTTAATAAGGTTTTTGAGTCATACCTTACAATTTCATTTATTATTTGGAGAAATTATTGAATTGGTTTGAATGATATGTATTATTGGTACTGTGAATTTAGTACATAACAAAATTATAGTGCCGTGTAAGCGGTACATTACACAATTGTTGCGTTCTGCAATTTTGGAATGCCTTTAAAATATTTCAGGATAACACTTGCATGGGAGTTAAATGTGGTAAATTAAATTATAGCTTTATTGCTTTCACAAGGAAAAAGATAACTTTTTAAACCTCTCAAACAAACTATTTCAAAAAATTTTGTTTAAACCTCTCAAACAAAATATTTCAAAAAATTTTGGAGTAATATTTTTTCAAAATTTAAACAGCTAACTATCATGCCTTACTTGATGAGGATCGTCGTTCTCGACCATTTCACAGGAAACCCAGATGGGAGAAAGAGGACCATCGCCATCGACGTCAATTTGGTAGCTTCCCGAATCTCGGATGTTTCGATAATTCCACAGATCGTGACAATTCCTTTCTTGGATGGCACCTCTTGCTGTAATTTCAGGGAACGTGTTAGTTATAAACCTTTTCATAAATCACATTATCCTCAATGTAAAAGATATCAATCACTAAAAATTGATCCTTCAAACGAATCCTGGGAAAATGAGCACAGTTCATTGATTTCTGAAAGTTATAGGAAATTTGATTTTTGAACGAGAAGAAGATTTTTCAGTCTGCTGGACTTCTACCTTTAAATTATGAAGACAAAGTGTGAATTCATTCTCGATGTATATGTATAAGTAAGAATGTGGATTATGGTGCTACAGGTGAAAACATGAGCATCATTTTAATGGCTGTCGATCAATAAATCGAGTTGTAATACAAAAGTGTTCGCTTACATAGAGTTTGCAGACAAAGTACCAGTAACCACTTCTATAGCTCTTGAGAAACCTATACTTCGAAGAAGACTAATTAAGGCTCTTTGCTAAAGATACAAATGACCCAGGTGAGTACAATTAATAGACCGCAGAGAATTCTCAGTAGTACATCTAATCGAAATACAATGTGGACATCAATTGAAATTTTCACTGATGTGAGAATGACACGATGAAATATTTCTAACATACTGATATTACCATTCTTTCTGAGTTATTTTACATTCATATTTCTCAAAATCTTTTATTTATTTGTTTGTTTTATAAGGTATTATCTCCCTCCTTTCTGCATGCGTTCGTGGTGTAACTGAAAGCATACCCAACGCGTATTCGAGAGGTCCAGGATTCGAAGTCCGTCTAAATTATTGTACACGTTCATCGTCTCCTGCATCTAATGACTCTATAAAAGGTGGTGGACGGTAATTCAGAACTTGGAGACTATGTCTCCTAATCACCAATTGCCCTTTAAAAAGGGGGAGTAGTAAAAGGGGTAGTTTCTCCTTCCTATCCGTATGTCTTCGTGGTGTAATTGGAAGCACACTCGAGGCGTATTCAAGAGGTCCAGGGTTCAAATCTCGACACTGCACATTTTTCACATCTCCTGCTTGAAAAAAGCCTAGTGACTTCACAATTTAAGTATAATTATTTAATTTATAATTTGTGTAGAATGTCAAGAAATCTTTTAACCATTTCCCCGTCCTAAGCTCAAATATTTACTTCTAATTTTTGCATCTAGAATTGGCCTCAGAAATGTTTTGTTTCCGTTTCATCTCCTGCTAAGACCTATTTAGAAGGCCGTTTGGAATCAACGTGAACCGGTTGCTTGTCTCACTCAAGGATTTTGAATACTGTCACCTTTCTCAGGACACACAAAAAAAAAAAAAAAAAAAAAAAAAAAAAAAAAAAAAAACCACCCTTATTTTTTCTTAATTTCTCATCTGAAAATCAACAAAGATAATCCTCTAAAGCCACGCTTTTAAATGAGAAGTAGTCCCTCCTGCAAGCTGGCTGAAAGAGGTGGAAGTGGAAGTGCAGTCCTATTTCCGGCTTTTTAAGTGAACTTCGTTTTGTATGCAAACCAGATGTGGAGAAAACTTAACTAATTAAGTCATCAATTACCTTTTTTCATTTGCGCTGCATTCTGGGGGTTTGAAAACATTAAGCAATTAGTTTCTCTTGGGCGCAACGGTCTAGGCCACATTTTATTCCATTAGGTGTGTACCGTTGCTGAAGCTTGACAACACTTTTCAAATCGATGAGTCTGTCTCGGGACAAACGGGGAAGTGGTTTATATCGTAAAGTTCCTGCGAGGGCAGTGATCTCTAGGACGGCTGTAGTTGTAGAGATTAAGCATTAGGTTTCATATTTCTTTGGAATTCCTTGGAAACATTACAAAAAAAATCACGTGATGAAATTATAAATATGTAACAGTCGTTTTCTTTTTACAGTCTGCGAGTTGATGTTATTGAAAGTGGCAGGCTCCGGTAACTGTTTTATTCTTCAAGAATATGTGTTTATATTATAATTATGTTTCCCTAGAGTAACAATAAATATTGTTGTAAAGAACGTTTCTTGACTATGCAAAAACTCCTAACGGAACCATACCACAGTAAAATGTATAGAAAAAAAAATTTTGAATTTTAAAACCTCCTCAACAAATCAGTAAATAAATCGAAAACATAACTAAAGTAACAAAATTAATAAACGATTACTACGTTAAATTTTAGACCGTGAAACGTTTGTACAATGATTTAAAAATTAAAAAGAAATTAATAATAAAGGTAGAAAATAAAGGTTAAAAAATAATAGGTAAACATTGCTTTAAACTTGTTGTCATCGAGAATAAAACGTGTTTAAAATGTTCTTAATTAATCAAATTAAATCTAATCTAATTAAATGAAATGCTGTAATTCTGAAATTATACAAGACGAGGTAAAAATCTAGAATGGCAAATAATAAAAGCAATATAAAATCAGTTGTGGCCTTGGTCTGGAATAGCTCAGCCACACGTACAATGTTAATGTCATAGAAATGTCTATTTAGTCAAATTCAAAGTACTATAATCAGAATAAATTTTAGACATTAAAATCAAACACAAATTAAAAATAAATATGCTGTGCCTTCAGGAAATAAAAATAAAAAATAAAAAAATAAATAAATATGCAGAGTTTTATCTAAGACAGATTGTAAGAATTCATTATGGCTGCTAAGTCAGAAAGCAATCCTAAAATAACGTCATTAAACATTTATAAAGAAAAAAAAAAAAGAAAGAAAGGCAATGCCTAAAATATAATCAAATAATAAAGCCAAATAATGGTGTTAATCTTAAGTTTAAAGTGTGTTAATTTAATGAAAAGATGAGCAACATGTTAGAAAATAGCTGTATGGCGAAATTAAAAGTCCTAAATTTGGATAAATGTAAACATTCTTAAAAAAAGAAAAATAAACTAGCAGTGTCTAAATTTAGTTAATTAATTAAAAATGAATAAAGGCAAAAAATAGGAAAGGAAGGAAAGCCAAAATGGCTTTGTCACGTGCAAATAAAAGCATGGCAAAAGGAAGGCAAATTAAAAATATCAGATATTAATAATTAAACCGAAATATGTTTAGTGCCTGACCAGTAACTAAATAATGAAATCATACAAATAAATTACAAGGAAAAAACATACAAAGAAGAGACTAAATTTACAGAAATATCGGCAGCAAAATTCCATGCCGCAATATTGGGAAAAAAGATGGAAGTGTAGTTGCCAGTGCTAAAATGCAAAAGTGTGGTTTCCGGTGCTAAAATGCAAAAGAGCGGCTCTTAGTTCTAATGTTATTAATTTCGTCACTTCAAATTATATTTTTTATTAGTCCAAAGGGATTTCAGTCCCGAAGGACTATTGCTTTCGTTTTGGCATTTTGCGTCGGACTCATAAACGTCGGTTCACTTTTCAAACTGTTGCCACAAAATGTTAGAGTCCTGCATTATATTTGAAGAAATTAAATAATGAAAAATCTGCATAATGATTGTCTATTTCTCGCATGTGATAAAACATGGTACATAAGCCCATCGAATTTTGAATGACGAAATCCTACTGCGAATATGGGCATCTGAAATCCCAAATTGGAATTTGTTTTATTATAGATTTTATATTTTTGTAAACTTTAAAGAATTTTTTTGATTTACAACTCAATGCTTTAAAAGCGAGAAATGGCAACGCTATATAGAAAAAAAAATACTTTTATCTCCAGCTCGCGAGACTGTGTCTATCGGAAATTCTAAAGATATGCTTAATTTAACATTATTTTGCGATATTGCTCTTGAACGAATTTTATGGTTTAAAGTGCAAAGAACATGATATTTAATAAATAAAGGTAACACTCAAAACGTTAAAAAAACGCCCCTTTGAACGTATTTAAATCTGAAAAATTTCAGATTTTTTTTTTTTTTTTTTTTTTTGTTTATTGGTTTCTTGAGGAATTTTAAAGTTTTTTTTTTTTTTTAAATTCGTTATATATACTATATATTAGGATTTCCGGTTATGTTTTTACCACCAATCCTCAAATTCCATATCACAGATTATGTTCTTACTGCATTAATATAAATATTAACAAGACATAGTGCACAATAAAAATTAAGCTTTATTTAGGAACTTCGCGCACACTGCCCGACAGCCTGCCTGTTTCGCTCTGCTCGCTACTCGTAAGAAGCTTCTCCTCTAGGGTTGCCACACTTATCGGAGGGCGCAAGGCGCGCTCCTTATCGCCATCACCACAGAGTTTCCCCCCAGTTCCTTTAATGGCTATTCAAAGGAACGACATAGGTTATGAAATTATCTCAGAGTATCCGTGCTGTCGGGTATTTTTTTTTATGATTACAAAATTAGAATATAAAATTAGAAAAGATCAAAATGCAATTCAATATATAACAAGGTATTGACACATATAATAAACATGAAATAACAAGAAATATGTTAAGATATGAATTTTAAAAAAGTGTTTTAAATTGTTATGTAAGAAGCAAGTTTCTTAGGGAAGTGAACATGTCTTCCCGATCTGGTGACAGTTTGTGTCTTAGAGAGTTCGTTTGCAGATTTATTCTGCTGAACTGTCTTTAAGTCTTTATTTGTTTTCAGTTCAGGCAAATTAGAGTCCGAAAGCAAATAGGCTGGTTTCACACGGTCTATAGACACAGTAGATTTCAGACCGTTAACATCAATTGTGAAAGTTTTGTCTGTTCTAGAAAGGACTTTATGCGGACCTGTATATGGTTGGCACAGAGGTGGCTTTACTCGATCGACACGTAAGTATACATGCGTACACGACTTTAAGGTAGCACTTACGTAACATTTTTCTTGGCAATGTGCAGATGTTGCTATTGGATTCAATTGTTGCATTCTATGCCTAAGATTCGTGATAAATTGTGTGTCATACGGAGATATCTTAGATGACGTTATCATATCACTAGGCAGCTTGAGAGTTGTGCCGTACACCAGTTCAGCACAAGATGACTGTAGATCTTCCTTTACGGCTGTCCGAATACCAAGCATAACAACTGGTAGTGTTTCAGTCCAGTTATTGGTCTCGTGAGCCTTGAGAGAAGATTTTAAATGTCGATGAAATCGTTCAACAA